CAGAGGCGACGACGAGGACTGGCGTGCGGGAGGCCAGAGGTGACTGTGGTGCCAGGTCTTCCTGGACCCTCCTACACTTTCTCTCTTCTTCTCAACAGTCATGGTTAACTCTGTGGAAATACTCCAGCTTAAACACAGGTTTCCAACACTCACCAAACATTTTCCTGCTTAACATTTTATATATATATATATATATATATATATATATATATATATATATATATATATATATATATATATATATATATATATATATATATATATATATAATATAATATAAATGTTATAAGCGTGTTATAAGATAAAGGTAAGGTTACGTGGTCGAATATTTTAATACAGTCGATGGCAACCTTCGGAGTGAACTGGAAGCTCATCCACTGTGACGTGACATGTTGGCTCTCTTGTGGGACACCCTGGTGGACGCTGGTTTTGGTGTGGGTCACCTGGGACACCCTGATGGACGCTGACTCTGGTGTGGGTCACCTAGGACACCCTGGTGGACGCTGGCTCTGGTGTGGGACACTTGGGATACCCTGGTGGACTGGTGGACACTGGTTCTTGTGTGGGTTAACTGGGACACTCTGGTGGACACTGGTTCTGGTGTGGGTCAACTGGGACGCCCTGGTGGACGCTGGTTCTGGTGTTGGTCAACTGGGACGCCCTGGTGGACGCTGGTTCTGGTGTTGGTCAACTGGAACGCCCTGGTGGACGCTGGTTCTGGTGTGTGGTCAACTGGAACGCCCTGGTGGACGCTGGTTCTGGTGTGGGTCAACTGGAACGCCCTGGTGGACGCTGGTTCTGGTGTGGGTCAACTGGAACGCCCTGGTGGACGCTGGTTCTGGTGTGGGTCAACTGGAACGCCCTGGTGGACGCTGGTTCTGGTGTGGGTCAACTGGAACGCCCTGGTGGACGCTGGTTCTGGTGTGGGTCACTTGTTACATTCCTCGAACTTGAAACTTCCTATCTGACTGTGACTCTACTTTCTGTCCTTCAGTTACTCCCTGATCCAGTTCAGTGTTTTCTCAGTTATCCCAGCAGGGTGTTCCATTCTATATAACAGTGTTTCAAGGGGCAACATTGTCAAATGCCTTTTGACACTAGAAAATACAGTCGTCCCAGCCTTCATTTTCCTGCCTTATTTTAGTAACATTGTCGTCAAACTCAATCAAGTTTTATAGGCACGATTTCCATTTCTAAATCCATGATTTTTGTCACAAAGACAATCTACTCAACATGCTTCACTATTCTTGCCCTGATTACTTTCTCTGGCACTTTACAACGAGTATTTGTCAATGAAACTGGTCTGTAATTTAGTGACTTCCCATCTGTCCTCCTTTTTGAATATTGGGATTATGTTTGCCGTTTTCCAGACATCTGGGAGACTTCTTGTGTCAAGCGTTTTATTAAAAATTTTAGACAACGAATGGCACAGTACTTCTATAGCCTCCCTAAGCAGCCTTGATGAGATTAGGTCCGACTCCATTGTCCAAAAGTCCTAACACAATTTTTTTTTACTCTTCCACGGCGACTACAATGCCATCCATTATTTCCTCTGGCCTTTCAGCTTGGAATCTTGTTCTCCTGGTTCCAATGTAAAGAACTGAAATTTTTCGCTTGTAGCGCTCCTCACATACCTCCTTATCATTTAGAGCTCCCCATTTGTTTTTTTAATCTGAATACATAATCTCTCACTTGCGTTTTTCTCCTTTCATGGCCCTAGAAAGCTTCGGCTGTTCCTTAGCTTTTACAGCAAAGTCATTTTCAAATTACCTTTTGGCTTCTCTCTTAATCTGGGTGTATTCATTCCTTGTTCTTTTTTGTGCCTTTCTGTTGTTTGTTCTCGTTTCTCTGTACCTTTTCCAGTCGTTTTTGTACTTTCTTTAGCTTCTCTGCATTATCTATTGAACCAGGCGTTTACTTTACTTTTTCATCCACTTCCTTCTTGAGAGGTATGAATTGTTCCGTTGTCTCGGCACATTTCCCAGCAATGAACATCATCTCGTGTGCTGTCTTCCCTTCTATTTCACTTTCCCAGTGTATTTCTCGCAGAAAGTCCCTTATCCTGTTGTCGTCCCCGAATCTGTAATATCTTTTCTTCTTCAATGGGTTTCTTATATAACCAATTCCTTCAGCTCCACTGTGAAATCAAGCGTGTCACTGCTTGATCGTTAGCTCTGAAAGGCATGTTATAATCTATTTTATCAACATCGGCTTCATTTTGGGAAAACACCAAGTCTAGTGTTGCTAGTAGGTCGTCTCCTCATACGCTTGTTAGTTCTGTGACTTTAAGAAGTATTTGTCTGCCATGTCTGCTCTCCATGCGTCATCACCCCTTGTTGGGATCCCTATTTATCCAGTCTATTTCTCTTGGGTTAAAGTTCCCAATATTAGGATTTTTAGCTCTAGTTTCCCTTACAACTGTGACTCCTTTTTCCATTGCCTTTAGACAATTCTCATTGCAATTGTCGTATTCTTCCGTAGGTCTTCTACTATTTAATGGGGGAATATAAACCACTGCTCCACTATCTTCACGCCTCCCAATGTTGCTATTCTTAGTATATACTCTTGCTGGTCAACTCTCTTTGCTAATTTTAGTTTTTCAAAGCTGCAGTGTAGCTGTAACAGCAGAGCTGCACAACCTCCCCTTCTGTGCACCCCATCTCTCCTTATTACTTGATACCGTCCTGGGAAGATGGCGTTTCCTATAATGCTTGTCAGTTTCATTTCTGATATAAGATCACGTGTGGTTGTAATTCTGCCACTCTGTTCCTTTATTAGCAATTCCATCTGCATTGTGTACATTACTTTTATGTTACTCATAACAACTGGGCTGCTGTTGTTTTCCCCGGGAAGTATTTGTTTATGTGGCAGCTGTGGGGGAGGGAGTAGGGAGATTTAAGCCTACGACTAGCGTAAATGTTGTATGTGCAATAGCAAAATGGTGCAACCATATTGCACCATTTTGTAAATGGTTGCGACAGGTGCCCAGGTGGTGCGCACGCTCGTCGGCGTCAAGGGGTTAAAGTATGTAGAAGGTAGCTCCTCCCCTTTTGTGTGATAGAGCGAATGAGAGAATGTTGATGAATAGTGGGAGGAGTAATATGGGAGGAGTGGAATTAGTGTGGAAGAGATGTGGAATTCCCTCCCTCCCTCAGGTGATGGAAGGAGTGGGAGGAGTTTAGCAGTTTTTTTTTTTAGTTTAGTTCATTTATTATGCACCCCGTACCCATCCCGTGGGGGCACGGGAGACATCTCCCGTCACGCTGGGTGCAGACGCACCTCCACAGATCTCCAGTATCATCTATTAATACTGGCGATGGCTCAAAAGTGCCACCACTTACGAGCTATTCATGCCCGTGCCACCTTTTGGGTGGCTTCATTTTTATCTTAACACATTCACAAGGGAGACATCTCCCGTCATGCAGGGTGCATTTGCACCTCCATAGATCTCCAGTATCAGCTCTTGATACTGGTAATGGCTTAAAATGGCCACCACTTACGGGCTATTTATGCCCGTGCCACCTTTTGGGTGGCTTCATCTTCATCTTAACACATTCATATGGGAGACATCTCCCATCATGCAGGGTGCATTCGCACCTCCACAGATCTCCAGTATCAGCTCTTGATACTGGTAATGGCTTAAAAGGGCCACCACTTACGGGCTATTCATGCCCGTGCCACCTTTTGGGTGGCTTAATCTTCATCAATCAATCAATCATCCCGTGGGCGGTAGTGGAAAGGGTTACAGAGGCACATAATGGGCTTAGGGACTGAACCCCACAATTCATTTAGCTAAGCAAGTTAGTCTTGATGAGCTAGTTACAAAATTCAATATAAGTCGTCACATCAACAATGTGTTCGAGATCGACCTCAAGTACAGTTTCTAAAATAAGCAACTGACATATGTGCAGAGCTAGTGTCACAATTGATATGTTTGTCCTGCACACCGCCCCCTTCCAGTGGGCAGCGGTGGATAGGTTACAATCATTCAGTTACTACCTACAGTTAGCAAACTGGGGATATTTGGCTAAAATTTCTGGTAGCAGATAATTTTGAATGAAATATTTACACATCGCTGGAACATTGGTTAGAGAATTGCCTCTAAATTCACGTATCTTTTCGCACTCCATCACATAGTGACGGAGGGTGTGCGAATAATTTTGTTGACACAGTTTACATTTGGTCAGGTCTACATCGGCAGATAATGAGAATTCCCAGAGCAGGAAGAAGAGAGATATGAGAAGATCCGCCCTCTAAGAGGGTGTGTGTGTGTGTGTGTACTCACTCACCTATGCAGTCACAACGTGGCTAAAGTATGTTGTCATTGCTGTCTTCTTATATGTGCTATCAATATGCTGTATTGTGCCTATTAACCTCTGTTAAATTACCAATCAAGCTGTCAGTGCAATCAATGAGAGCAGCCGATTTGCTTTAATATACCTACTAATCTCTCTCATCTCATTTTTTTCTTGTAATGTACCTGTTATCATGTTATAAATTTTGCTAGAATTTACCTATTTAAATTATCTGTTAGATTAAGGACCTTCTCGAAACGCTGCGCGTACTAGTGGCTTTATAAGAATGTTAGCACCATGTTTGTGTCCTCACAAACCCAATGTACCTTTTTATATGTAAATAAATATATAAATAAATAAATAGGTTTCAAAATCTCTTAGCGAATCATCTTTTGTACGATGTGACCTGCCTCTCGCCGCCTGGTGAGGGGACACGGGTCACATCATACACAAGACCGTTCGCCAACGGGTTTTGAACCCTCCCTAACTTAACCTAACTTAACCTAGCTCAACCTAGCTCAACCTAGCTCAACCTAACCAAACCCAACACAGCCTAACCTAAGCTAATACATCCTAGAATAACAATATATATATACCGTAATAAGTTTGTAATTTGTATTTGTAAACCGCGCTCCTTGGAGTTATCCGAGTCATCTGGTGTGGGAAGCCTGGCCGCAGCAAGAGGAGGACCCCGAGGCGCGTGCACACTCATCACTCATCATGTCTCCTGTCAAGGTGTGTTGCTGCTCCTGTGTAGTCCCCTGGTGCTCCTGCGTAGTCATGCTGGCTTGTGCTGCCTCTTGTGCGGGGCCACACCTTGCCCTAGGGGACCCCACACCTCGCCCTAGGGGACCCCACACCTCGCCCTAGGGGACCCCACACCTCGCCCTAGGGGACCCCACACATTGTCACAGGGGGGGGCCACTCCTCACCCCATGGGACTCCACACGTTGCCCTAGGGGACCCCACAGCTTGCCCTAGGGGACCCCATACCTCGCCCTAGGGGACCCCACACCTCGCCCTAGGGGACCCACCTCGTCCTAGGAGACCCCACACCTCGCCCTAGAGGACCCCACACCTCACCCTAGAGGACCCCACACCTCACCCTAGGGGATCCCACACCTCGCCCTAGGGGATCCCACACCGCGTCCTAGGGGACTCCACACCTCGCCCTAGGGGACCCCACACCTTGCCCTAGGGGACCCCTCAGCTCGCCCTAGGGGACCCCTCAGCTCGCCCTAGGGGACCCCACACCTCGCCCTAGGGGACCCCACACCTTGCCCTAGGGGACCCCACACCTTGCCCTAGGGGACCCCCACACCTCGCCCTAGGGGAACCCCATACTTTGCCGCAGGGACCCCACACCTCGCCCTAGGGGACCCCACACCTCGCCCTAGGGGACCCCACACCTCGTCCTAGGGGACCCCACACCTCGTCCTAGGGGACCCCACACCTCGTCCTAGGGGACCCCACACCTCGTCCTAGGGGACCCCACACCTCGTCCTAGGGGACCCCACACCTTGCCTTAGGGGACCCCACACTTCACCACAGTCACATCCTAGGAGTGGTAGTAGAAGTACATAATGGGCTCAGGAACTGGACCCTACATTTTTTTTTTTAATTTTTTTTTAATTTTGCTCCGAGGGGCGAGTTTATCGGGCAACGTCGCTCATCTTGTGAGTGGGCACCCCCCCATAGTGACAGTATTGGGCAGTGCCACTCATCCTGTGAGTGGACACTCCACCATAGCATAGTGTTTACACTTGCCACTAGTAAAACCACTAGTACGCGCAGCGTTTCGGGCATAGTAACATGTACAACACTCCTCAATAGGAAGAAAACCTGCTGGGTTGTTCTTCCTGTCACTTGTACCCAGACACAGCTGGGACTTGCTTAACTGTCTCAAATGAACAGCTCTTCAAACAAGAAGATTAACATCTGTCAACCCTTAAAATCTTACGCTATCTTGCGGGTGCAAAATGGGGTGGATCTTTTAAGAACAGTGTTTATATTTGAGAAAGTGTTTTCCTAACTCAAACAATGTGGGGTTTATTATTCTACACATATTTCTAATGACTTAGATGTTCACATTCTCTCAGGTAGTGTCAAGGTGGTGTCCATCACTCATCACAGATTCTGCAACTCCTCTGCTCAACTGTTGTTTCCATTCTGAATATCCATGAATATTTGTATCCAAGATGAATTTTTTATTAGATGTGAAAGGTAAGGTAGTTACATAATATGCCGGCACAGGAATGATGCCACAATCTTCACTTTTCATCAAACTAACATCACTGACTGCAAGAAGCCCTAACACAAGATGTGAGAGCATCTTAGTTGAGCTAGTTACATACAATATTAATTTGGTGATGTACCCCACAGCCAGTTTGTGCATGGGGGTGGGAAGGTTACAGGCACCTATACTTACACAACTCGGCAGAATTGGCTAAATAGCTAAAATTTCCGGTAGTATGCCTGGCGGAAATCTTCAAACAAGTCTTTCATATTGTAAATACAGAACTGTATTTTATTTTCATTTTCAGCAGTTATTTTGCAACAAATAGTTTGTACTGTACTTTGCAAACAAATGCAGTTTCTAAATATCATATAAAAAATGTCAAGTGTTGCTAAATATCTTAAGCAGAATTAAATTTTTTTAACTTCTCATTTAATTTTAAATATTACACCATTAAACTTTTTAAATAAATCTAATTATTTTCATGGTATACAGTACCTGAATTGCTGTGCGTATTTGTGGCCTTGGGTAATATATATTTCTTGACTACAAGTTCCCCATTGTTTCATGTATGTACTGTACTTTTATATAAATAAAAAGATTTAGTACATAATGTTAACCCAGCAGAATTGGACAAGAAGCCACATTCATTTTTTTTTAATTTATATATACAAGAGTTGTTATATTCTTGTCCAACCACAAGTAAGCGTAGCATTTCGGGCAAGTCCTTAATCCTATGTTCCCTGAATATAACCCCCGCGAAGAATCGTTTAACAACCAAGTACCCATTTTACTGTTGAGTTCAACAGAGGCTACAGTTAAGGATTTGCGCCCAGTAAATCCTCCCCGGCCAGAATATGAACCCAGGACACATACATACAGTACAGTCTTTAAACAAACCTCCTGTATCCTAAACTAACATAAACTGGCTTGCACAATGAAATTGCAGTAATGTGATGTATCAATGAAAAAATCAGTACAGTACTGTAGTGGTTTAGGGCATGGGCTTGCAAGTACCAAGTGTGTGGGTTAAAGTCCCCCTCGTGGCTCCCACTGATTTTCTCATAAACTGGCCCGGCTTGGCCCGACACAGGAAATGTACTGTGCACGAGGTCGTGGTGTCAGTTTTAACTCCAGGGACCTTTTTCAGTACTGTACTATTTCATAGTATGGGTAGTCAAATTTACACAGGCCTTTTGACAAAGCTTGTTTTCTAATTTTTAATTTTGTTTGAAATCATATTCAGGTATATAGGTAGGTTAGAGGTCGTTAGGCTGATTTACCAGATGGAATGATTTACCAGTGGAAAGATGATTTACCAGTGGAATTTAAAACCTACTTAACCTAACCCAACTGCTCTTAACACAGCTTAACCTAAGCTAATGTATTCTTACCTAATAATACAGTTTTGAAAATGAAAAAAAAAAACTTTGTTGAAGCCTGTTGTGTATGATTTGACCATACCTCATTCCATATGATGGAAAGGCAGGCAGGGGGTACTTGGATAAGAGAAGCCCTTGCTTGCAAACAGCAATTGGGGTTAGTCTTGTGATGCACACTCCGGGATCTGTTCCTTATCTATCATAAAAACCTACCACAAGCAGTGTGTTCTGTGTTCATACACGTCTGCTTTCTACAGATCTAATAAGGACAGTACAAATTGTGGGGATACAATCATATCTTGTTGGGTGTGGTAAATTTGTACACAGGTTTCAAAGAAGCACATTTTTTAATTGTTAAAACCACATACAGTATATTGATTGGTTAGGCCTAAATCCCAGATACATACCAATTACTAATTGAACAGAGGTATTAGGTGAAAGGAAATGCTGCCCAAACACTTATGTGGGATTCGAACCTGGCCTTTCTGCTGTGACCTGACTGCACTTACCAATGTGCCACAGAACCTTATCAGTATTGCTATTATGGCTATTATCTATTCATTTGTATACTGTTATCATTCTTTATTCTTTGCTTTTGTAGAGAATGTAAATTAAACCTTCTTCAGTTCTTGTCATAAGGGAGGTTTCTAATTCCTGGGATTAACTTTTTCATCCTTCTCTGTACATATTTGACTTTGTTGCTCTTTTGCTTGATTTAGTTATCAGCAATGTCCTTCAATACTCCACTACCATGATATACTGTTCCATGATATTTAGGGTCCAAGTAATACAGTCGAGTTTGTTCTCGATGCACAATCGAGAATTATGCGTTCAAATCCCAGGCGGGACAGAAATGGTTGGGCACATTTCCTTTCACCTAATATATCTGTTCACCTAGCAGTAAGTAGGTACTCAGGAGTTAATCAGCTTGTTGTAAGGTTGTATCCTAGGTGGGGTCAGTAGTTGCACAATGAATTATTATTATATACTTTGCACAATATTTATCTTGAGTAAGGCTTCTGTAAAATGTTTGGCAGGTTTTATAGAGTATTTTCATTATTATTGAGCTGTTGGATTGAGTACATATGCTGTACTCACCTAGGTGTACAGTATAATGTATGCACAGTATGTATTTATCTCCCTCTGGTATAAGTGAATCTATACATCCATAGTATTTTAGGCCTACACACAATAAGGAAAAGAAAAATAGAAAAGTAATTTTGTAACATCATGTGCTGTATGACCAAGCTGTTCTATTTCTTCAGAGAGCAACTGTTTACTGGAGCATTTGCTACTACTGCTGCCCCATTTATGAACTAGGTTATCTTTAATTGTGTCTTGTTACTGTACTGTACTTAAATACTGTGTACTGTATAGTTCATCTATTTGGATTAGTTGGTATGACGATGGTCATGCTTCAGGTAGGGCCGCCTTCTAACCCTCTTTGGTAAATGTTATAGGGAGAAAAAAATTTCCAGGAATAATGGAAAGACCTTTGAAAAGCTGCTGCCTTCCTTTCCTCATCAAGGCCCCTAGGAATGGTGGCCACTCAGCTAAGTTTAGGTTGGAGACTGTTCCTTCACTCAGTCCTCATGTGCTGGCTTACCACTTTCTCCAATAATTACCTTATCTTAAATTCCATGATAGACTGTATGTACACACAGTCCTCTTTAATTATATAAAGGCCACTGTGGCCAGAATTATGTTTGAGTGATTGGAAGAAGATCTCATTCATTAATACTGTCTCTCAGATTGGAATCATTGGGGGCTCAGGCCTCAACAATCCAGAATTATTTGAAGTCTCAAGAGAAAGTGTTGTCGAGACTCCATATGGCGCCCCATCTGATGTCTTGGTGGAAGGAAAAATTGGCGATGTTCCGTGTGTCTTGTTGGCCAGGTAAGAACATGTAGTTAATTGTCACTAATGCAGTAACTGTGTGAACTATACCTACATTGATTTAACCAGTGTGTATTGTATTGATACATTATCTCATAGGTATAATGTTACCTAAAATGTTTTCAAGTACTGTACTACTAACTACTACATATGTACATAGTACATATGTACTACATATGTATATAAAACACATTCACAAATTATGTGATGTTATGTGAATAGTTTTTTGTTGAATAATGCACAAAATTAAGTTGTTTGCTTCTGTATTTCTTGTGTTTTACAGTTTTTATTATACAGTATTCTTGCATAATTGTGAAAACCTCAAACATTTGGTAGTTATGTATTGTATTTTGGGCTGGAAAGTGGAGGCTTTTATTAAGTAATGAGATATTTTTGTGACAGATAGGTACTGTATGATCACATCTAAGATGAGCAAAGTTATTGTGTATGTGAGGCATAAAGGTTCGGATTTGTTCATTTGCCTATTTGAATATTAAGTTGTACTATTGACCCTTTATCTGCTCCATTTTGAAGAACTCAAATTCATGGGTATGCAGATTTCTTTCAAGACCTAAGTTCTAGGGGATGCATGGTCAAATTTACCCATGACCGAATTATCTGGACATTTTAAAGGACAAAGTTGATTGTACATAAATTTTCCACATGTGTGCAAGGCTTTTCATGAAACACAAGTTATAATTGGTGTCCTGCTGTTTAGGTGGAAATTCCATCTTGCAGGTCTCTACCTCCTAGTTGTGTCAAATGGTGAAAGTGACTTTTCCTTATGGTTAGACAAGTGTCTTACATATGTGCAGTTTTGGATTACATTTTTGCCTCACTCTTTGAACTAAACATCCAGTACAATTAAAGATTGTACTGTATAGTAATTTAACATGCACAAAACCAAGTATTTTATTTAAAAAGTGGAATACTTTGAGTTCTGGAACCTGATCTCTCTTTCTCACATAAAGTCCACTCTACACTAGGTTTACAAGGAACATAGGGCCAAATGCATATCGAGAGTTTACAGTATATGAAATGCAGTACTTGGTACTATTAAGATGCCATTTACCAGGTTCATTCCTGTGGTTAAGTGTGAAGATTGCTATTAAAAGCTTCCAGTCCCCTGACTAGAAGATTAATTGTAGCCAAAATGACCATTGGACACTCCCATGAATGTTTTGTAAATGGTGTGATTATTTTGTTTATTTTCTTGTTTGATTTCACTGCTACTGTCATATGGTGGTACCTAACTAGTGAATGTGTGCTTCAGTATCCAACAGTACATGAGATATTTTCAAAATTGAATGTCTCATAATCATGACCTATTCATTATGAATAGGTCATGATACATACTCATAATCCTATACATATACATCATGTATAGGATCTCTCTAAATATTAACTTTTTACAGTACTGTATTATCTTGTGTAATATCGTGATAAATAATAATTTGTTGCCAGTTATATTTATTTCAAAACTGCTTTGTTTATACCTTTAGGCATGGAAAAAAGCACAGCATAATGCCCACCAACGTCAACTACAGAGCCAATATTTGGGCCTTAAACGAGAAAGGGTGCACGCATGTTATTGTGTCTACAGCCTGTGGCTCGCTCCAGGAGGACATTGAGCCAGGTGATTTTGTAATACTGGACCAATTCATTGATAGGTAAGTTATAACTAATAAAAATTACCTTATTGGGGATAAGAATCTCTGAATTGGAATGTTGAGGTCCTCCTATTCAGGGATGAGAATATGGCCATATGATCACCCACACAGTTATTGACCAGACCAAATAGATTAAAGCATCTGTACGGCAGTAATGCACTTGAATTGAAGTTTCTTTACTTGAAATACAAGAGTACAATACAGACAAGTCTACTATAACTACACTAGGCAGGATCAGAGCCATATGTCAGCAAGTATGTATCATCTATGCCACAAAATATTCAATACTAGTACTTCCTAGGTGTTGTTCTTGTTGCCATTACCAGAGAAGAAAGACGTAAGATTAGTGAAGTCAAAAGGAATTGGATGCACCGAGCATTTTATTAAGGGGCATTTGACTCAAAGGGGAGGGGAAGAGGGTAATTATATCTTTATGAATACTTCATAGTCTGTCAGTGAGGGATACCTCCCTTGATCAACAGTAATAAAACAATAGTTTATATTGGAAGCTTTGAACAATATGCTTGTTATTATTATGTTGTGTTTTACACGTGTTTTCCTGCTAGGACGACAAAGCGTGTGCAGACATTCCACGATGGGGAGGAAGGACATCTACCAGGGATTCTTCATCTACCAATGGATAGCCCATTCTGTACAGATACTCGAAAAATTCTTGTAGACACCTGCAACGAATTGGGTTACAAAGTGCATCCTAAAGGTTAGTTTCATTTTGCTGCAGTTATTATTCCAAGTACAGAAATGTATATGGTTTAATAGTTTTGGATTAGTTAAGTTAATTGTTGGATTTGGTGGTGGTAAATGGCTTGCACCAGTCGTGCAGCTGTTAGCGGCTTGCACCAGTCGTGCAGCTGTTAGCGGCTTGCACCAGTCGTGGAGTGGGCAGCTTGCACCAGTAGTGGAGCTGCTGTTAGTGGCTTGCTCCAGTCGTGCAGCTGTTGGCGGCTTGCACCAGTCGTGGAGCTGCTGTTGACGGCGGCTTGCACCAACCGTGGAGCTGTTGGTGGCGGCGGCTTGCACCAGCCGTGGAGCTGCTGGTGGTGGCGGCTTACACCAGCCGTGGAGCTGCTGGTGGCGGTGGCTTGCACCAGTCGTGGAGCTGCTGGTGGCGGCGGCTTACACCAGTCGTGGAGCTGCTGGTGGCGGCGGCTTGCACCAGTCGTGGAGCTGCTGGTGGCGGCGGCTTAAACCAGCCGTGGAGCTGCTGGTGGCGGCGGCTTGCACCAGTCGTGGAGCTGCTGGTGGCGTGCATCAGTAGTACAGCTACAATGGATGATTTGCATCATGATTGTTATAGTATTTATAGTATAGATATTTCAAAATTGAGTGATTGCATTCAATTTAACACTTGGGTGTTTGTCATGTATTTTAGGGAAGCAGTGTAACAAACTAGTTTGTTGTAGAAATCACTTATTATAGATCTGGCATGAATATTACAGGGAACCACGTGTCCTTACACTTAAAGAGTTGGAGTCAGACGTGAGTTTGTACCTGACTAGCTGTGGAAGGTCACTCCCTCGGGGATTAGAACAGGCCTGTAGAAACAGGGTCGCCAGCTCTCCTTGGTTGTAAAGTATCACGTTTGGAGTAATTCGGGTATTAAAGTAACTAATTAATAACCTCTTATATCAAACATGTAATTAAGTTATCACGTATGAGTAAAGAATCAAATCTCTTTAGTTCAAGATTAGCTGACTGGTGCAGGTGGCAACATCGACCAGGTCAGGGCGTCGTCAGTAAGAGGCTCATCTCTCCCCCCCCTTCATCCCCTTGTACTTCTAAGACTCCATCTTTTGTTAAAATTCAGTAATTTAGAGAAATTAAAGTTTTCATTAATATTGTATTCAATAATATACCTGCTCCAGTACCTAGAAATTTCTCAATTGTTGGAATAATGAGCAAGTCACCTACAGTGACGTCAATAAGGAGGGGACTAGCCTCGGAAGTGGAAGAATCTTAACTACCCTGGGTCCAGAGGACATCAAAACCCTCCATATTATTTAATTTACAAAGTACAAAATTCAGATCTCTAGTGAATATTGCAATTGGAAATAGCCTTCCCTAAGATGCCTGTACCATTACCATCAGTTTAATAAGAATTCAACCATCTGGGTTGTTCAGTACAATAGATTAGTTGTTCAATTTAACCCTGCGTAGTAAATTTATTAAACCTGGCGGAGTAATACTCAGCCTCGGTTGTGAGGAGAACTAGGCGAGATCAGTGTGGTTTGGAACAGCAACTGAAGAGGTCAACCATTCTAACCTTTCCAGAGATCAGCACTCCATCGGCTGGTCTCCTTAGATTAAGGTAAAAGTTGCAGTGAAGTTTAGTAGAGTAATCTTATGTCTGCCTCTGTAGGAAACTAAGTTCTTTTAGGGACTGATAGCTAGGGAGTGTTTCCAATTATTTTATATTTCTTAGCTTTTGATAATAAACTGTTAAGATTTTCTCGTTTCGCATTTTTGAGTATTTCCATGAATGATTTTACATGTGATGGTCCTTGCCATGTGGTCTCCACGAGTCTGGGTTTATTTTGGTCGCAAGCCTAGCAAAGTTTAAGAGCAAATATATCCCTTTGTTTTGTTTGAGTAATTCCCACACTTAACGTAAATTCATCCCCCTTTTCCAAGTAATTTGGGGATTAAGCCCCAAGGGTTAAATGATTAATTAATTGGGTCAGACCCCGATCAATTGACAGCTTTGGTTACTGGTCTGGTGGTGGCGGCGTAAAGAGATCCCTTGAGTTGGCTAGCAAGCCTGGTATGACGTCACGTGGCTATAGAATCTTAGCTGATCGAGCAGCTAAGACTGCATGGCGTGGGACTCGGGTGAGTTAGCTCTGGGGTCCTTGGAATTAAGTTTAAGTAAGTTAATTACGGGTGTTGTAAAGGACAAAGAGAGCCGATACTACGTCCTGTGTTACAGCAGCACATACAGTCTACTGTGCCATGTTATGTACCAGACCCCATTTATATACAGTCTACTGTGCCATGTTATGTACCAGACCCCATTTATATACAGTCTACTGTGCCATGTTATGTACCAGACCCCATTTATATACAGTCTACTGTGCCATGTTATGTACCAGACCCCATTTATATACAGTCTACTGTGCCATGTTATGTACCAGACCCCATTTATATACAGTCTACTGTGCCATGTTATGTACCAGACCCCATTTCCTTTTTTTTACTATAAGCTCTATTTAATGATGTCATAATGTAGGTGAAAAGGTTTTAATTGCAATTCATTGGCATTTTAGGTACAGTTGTGACTATTGAAGGTCCTAGGTTCAGTAGTAAAGCAGAGAGCCATGTGTTCCGTCTGTGGAAAGGTGATGTTATTAACATGACAACAATTCCCGAGGTTTGTTTTATGAAAGTTTGTGTGCTATTTAGTATATATTATGGGTATCTTGTCTGGAACTGACTTTATTAAATTATCAATTAATATACTGCATATCTGTATGTATCTCTAAGAGTGTGTGTGTGTGTGTCTGTCTGTCTGTCCGTCCGTCCAAGGTTGGAGTCCAGGGGCCAGATTCACGAAGCAGTTACGCAAGCACTTACGAACCTGTACATCTTTCCTCAATCTTTGACAGCTTTGGTTACAATTATTAAAGAGTTAATGAGCTCCGAAGCACCATGAGGATGTTTATAACAATAACAACAGTTGAATGGGAAGTTTTCATGCTTGTAAACTGTTTAATAATTGTAAACAAAGCCGTCAAAGATTGAGGAAAGATGGACAGGTTCGTAAGTGGTTGCGTAACTGCTTTGTGAATCTGGCTCCAGATTCTTTGTGGTTAACCTCACCCAATTGCAATTCCTTGTCCTTATGTATGCATTAGTCCTTCCCCTCCCACTCTGCAGGGTGGGAGGGGAAGGACTGTCATAGCCTAGTTGTGGTCTGCCCAATTTAACCCTTGCATTGTGCAAGGGTTATATATATGAGGACTGGCTTGCATGCTTACATAAAAATAATATTAAAAACATGGAAACTAGGGTTTTTATCTTCCTATACAGTATTGTTAAAGACTATGCCCTGAACATAGGAAAAATGTGCCAACAATTGTTACTTTGCAAGATTGCAGATCGTTATTGGAGGCAGTGCAAGAGTTAAGGGGTGGGGGGGGGTTTGGCTGGCTCCCGTGAAGTCTGTGGAGATGAAATGACGGCCACTGAGTCTATAATTTCATTATTTCGAGCAACCTTGGAATATAAATACTAGAGCAACCATGGAATATATGCAGGCCAGAAAAGGTGGGCGGCCAGTTGGTATGGGCCTATGATTTTCAGGGGGCCTGCTTAAATAAAATTGCTTGCCATTAACTTTTCATAAATTGTTCTATTTATTTTATTCTGTTCTGTTACTTGTAAGTACAGTGGTACTTCCGTTTTCAAATTTAATCCGTTCCCAAAGACGGATGGAGAGAGAGAGACTGATAGATAGATAGATTATATATATATATATATATATATATATATATATATATATATATATATATATATATATATATATATATATATATATATATATATATATATTATTATTTTTATTTTTATTATTATTATTATTATTATTATTATTATTATTATTATTATTATTATTATTATTAAATATGACCGAAAAAGTAAGATTAATAATTCTAACACGAATTTTCTCATTGTTTCTTATATTTTTCTTCACTGTTGATGGTAACTGAAAAATCAATTCTCCAAAATTCATTTTTATTTCTAGTCTGACGTGACACTTGAGCGCGTTTCGTAAAACTTATTACATTTTCAAAGACTTTAGTTTACACACACACAACTATAACTGAACAGAGCCTAAACATCTTCGATTTTATACCTGCATTTGGGTGAGGTGATATGTTACAACAGTTTTGGATGAGGTGAAAACAAACTTTCAACACAAGACAGAACATGAAACAACGGGTGTTGTACCATTGAGGCATTGGCCTCAATGGTACAACTTTAAGTCATGTATGGATGGATATATTGTAACCCAGTCACAAGTTGGGCAATTCCTAAACTATTGTACTGTTGCCAGCCAAAATTTGGATGACCTTCAGTAATCTAAATAAAAAAATTCAGGTTTTTGTCATATTGTTTAAATATTAAATTGCAATATCATTGTTTATACTGGTTGTGTACTGGAAATATGCACACTTTTGTTTTCTATCATTGTTATGAGAAATCTGAAAATGTGGTGATACAGAGTACAGTATGGACAAAATGTAAGGAATTCTAAAATCCGGATTAGGAGTGAAATTAAAATGTTAACGTTCTCTTAACTTTCCAGCAGAAATTATCCCCTGACTTCATTGCAGCAACACATTAACACTGTTGAATTAATTAAAGGTTGTCCTTGCCCGAGAACTTGGCTTGAGATATGCAGCAATTGCTATGGCAACAGACTATGACTGCTGGAAGGCAGGAGAGGAGCCTGTATCTGTAGAAAATGTTATGAAAGTCTTTAAGTAAGTATCTAATGCAAATTCTTCTATTAATTATTAACATTCAGTATAGAAAGTCTGCCGCTAATGGAAACATATAATTTTCATGACTAATTTTTTATTCTTCATGACTAATTTTTTATTTTATTTTATTTTTAGATCCAATGTTGGAAAGGCAACATTGGTACTAAAGAAGGCAGTGGCTAAGATTGCAGAGGAAGATTGGACTGACAGGATTGAAGCTCTCAAGGTAAAATAATAACTTCTTTTGTGGAGAGCCCCTTTGGCTCCCCGGAAAAATGGGCTGAAGTGTATATATTAGGCCGTGGAAACAATCAATCGAAGGAGTTCTAGGCTTACCGGGGACCAGAACCAGAACCTGGCCCCCTCAAGAGAGGCACGAGGAGCAATGGTTTTTCACATTTTTCATACTCGGCCTCTGAACTGAGGAGAGTGGCCAGCATGGATGTCTGCCTCCCCTCCCCGTCTCCCTCCCGGGGAAGGGGGAGGTTGCGCAGACGTATGCGCGGCTGTTGTGGTGACATCATGTTTGTTTCCTTGGTTTTGATTGGGGGAGTTCTGTTTGCTAGTTTGGCTTTTGGTTTTCAATTTTTGACCAGTAGTAGTTTGTTTTGAGATTCCTACCTTTCTGGGTGCCTGACCTGGTAGATGGCAGACAAAGACTGCCACCAATTACACAGGGGTGTCTTTAGGCCATTGCTCCTCGTGCCTCACTTGAGGGGGCCCAATTGAGGGGCTGGTCCCAAACCTGCACACAGAAAGGTCCCAAACCTGCACACAGAAATAACACCACATGAGACCAGAAGACATGGCAGGATGTGCAGAATACCCCCGTTGAAAAGCAGAGGTGCAACAGGTACTCTGAGAGAGAACTCTATCAACATCAGAGGCCCGAGACTGTTCAACACTCTTCCACTACACATAAGGGACATAACTGGCAAACCCCTCACAGTGTTCAAGAGAGAACTGGATAAGCACCTCCAAAGGATACCTGATCAACCAGGCTGTGACTCATACGTCAGGCTGCGAGCAGCCGCGTCTAACAGCCTGATTGATCAGTCCAGCAACCAGGAGGCCTGGTCGACGACCGGGCCGCGGGGACACTAAGCCCTGGAAGCACCTCAAGGTAGCCTCAAGGTAGCCCAGGTTCTGGCTCTGGTCCCCGGTAGGCCTAGAACTCCTTCAATTGACTGTTGCCACGGTGTAATATATACACACCAGCTCGGTATAGTTCCAGGGAACCCCCGGGTCTCACCCAGAAAATGGTGTTTCATTACATTCAACGCTGGTTTTTTTAGTACACTGGAAATAAACTGCAATATTAACAAATGTTCTCTACTTAAATCTTTTTAGTTGAGATGGACAGTAAATCATTTGTATTTAATTGACAATTTAATATACATGAGCATATAGTTTAAAATAAACATTATTACAAATCATAGATAATGGATAAAAATTTGCAATAAAGAGCATTCATATTTAGGAAAATGAAGTGTGGTTTGAGATATTTTTAATGTAAGCACAGAGTGCTCATCACAGAGGAGGATAATGACAATGTTTCTTTCTTTACAGAAGAGTGTTCAGAGCAACGTTATGATGCCACACTGACTCCTCAAAAGAAAGACCTGAATTTTAATTATTTTAGAAATTGACTTATTTTGTGACAGCCACAAAGGACTACACGAGTTGTCGTAGAGCACCTGTGGTGACCTTATTCCTCGCGTGTGCTGTATATCACTCGGGACTTTCTGTATGAACATTTTAACCATTTTAAAATAAATTACATTGCAAATTTTTTTATATATATATATATATATATATATATATATATATATATATATATATATATATATATATATATATATATATATAAATAAATAAAATATACATACACAAATAATGAAATATTAGATAGAATAAAACAGTATAATAATTTCCAGCCTTTAATAACCTGTCTAGACTACATTATTTCACAGTATTGTTCCTGTTGAGGACAGAAAGCCATTTAAGCTTATTGAGGTTCTCCCCCCTCAATGGTCTCCCCGTTATGGTGAAGGGGTCATGTATGACTCCCTGGGGCCAGTGCCCTCCTCCTCCCCTTTCCGGGTGTAGTATGTATGGAGGAGATCCATGTAGGGTAACCTTTTGGGTCATTGCACCACCCGCTGGGAGCCCCCCCACACACATTTTCTCTCTCACACACTCACTCATGCTGTCTAAATTCAATTATGGTTCCTCCCTTTTCTTCTGCCTCGAGTCGTCATTGTTTTGATGATACTGTACTGGGTTACGCCTTGACTCTCATCCTGCACCCAGAGCTTATACTGTATATTGAAACTGGCATCCTGTCTCTAAGGATTACTGTTACCTTCACTACCTTGCATGGTCTTTGCAACATCCTCACTCGTTTGTGCCATGCTTTGTTATTGTGTTTGACTTGCAGTGCCCTCATGGCTCTGGAGTCATTTAACCCTCTGCATCCTGTGGTGATCGATATCCAATACTGGCCATTTCTTATCTAGCAGATTTAAGACAATTGAATTTTGCTTGGCTTCCAGCCATATTGGTGTTACCTTTAATGAACATAAGGACACCAAGACCATACGCTCATTCAGTATTGCAATAGATCTCCAATGCTAAGGAGGACTATCACAGTTATCCTATTTCTCCAAAAAGAAATTACTTGTTCAGATTTCTACCCAGTCATTCATTCTGCAATCCACAACTGTTGTCAAGGTCATTGGTCTGAAATTACAACTAAACTGTTCACTCATAAAGGTGACCTCTCTCCTTTGCCTTCCCCCACCACCGTAAAAGACACTTAACTTGCACTCACTCAATAATATACTGCTCTGCTCCTTGTCCTAATGGCATTGTCCCACTTGCAATCATACACTTTCTTGTAGAATGTCCTGATTTTTAAGACTTGTCATGATTTCCTGATGTACCTCTCAAATTCTTGATGACTTTGATACCTTTTATATTGCCCACCTTGTGTCCTTTTGTCATTGACAACCTGAATGATATTTAGCACCTTTTAAATATCCAGTGACATAAAAGATTCTTTTTGACCTTTGCAGGATGCAGCCCACAAGAGTTGCCTAACTCCTGTGTACTTATTTATTGCTAGATGAAAGGGGGTAATGACACTTCAAAATCTCTTTGTATCCAAAAACTGAACTACACTAACTACCAAATCACACAACCAGACAAGTGAACTGTATGAAGCTCCCCCTAAAGAGTAACTCGCCTGCAGAAGCCAAGACGAGCAACATGTAATTTTCTGGAACAAAAACAGCAAGTTGTTCAACCATCTTGAGCTGTTAATACCATTTTAACTAGGCAATTTATGCTTTATCAGCTGGACATTGACATATGCAGAAAACACGAGGTAGAGAAACATGAAGTAGATTTTATTGATAATGCTGTTTAGCATGTAAGTACGTATCAAAAGGCATCAAGCCAGGATGATTATGTAACATTCAACCCATAAGGGCTTTTGATAAAGCTTTACTAAGGTCTTTTTGGCAGTAAAGATAAGTGTATACACTAAACGAAATTTCTCTACATTATGATTTCATAAAGCCCATCAATAAAAAATGTCCTTCTATAGTCTACTTTATTCTTGGTGTTCTTTTGTCATCCTACTTGTAGCATGTCTGTTCAAATATCCCTTAATTCAGCAAGGCTTTCTTTCATTTCATTGTGATGGATCTTTTATAATGAGTATCTCTTTATGTGATTACACAAAATAAAATACAGTACAATCAATTTGATCTTAACTGTTAGACAAATGAGTTTTCTAAAATTCATTTTACTCCAGCTCTGGTGTGTTTGTATGGCTCCTGTGACTGTGGGTCCTGGATGTCTCAGCATGCCCAGTTCTGCAGGTTTTATGGTCGCCTCTCCTTGGTTTTGGACAAAGCAATTGGGCCCCAATTTTGGGTCTGTTTATGTCTTCCCTCCCAGGCCCTTCTTCAGAAAATATCTTGAACCTCCATTTTTCTTGCTCCTGGTGCCCTTTTTACATTCTGTGCAGGTTGTGGTCTGGTCTAGTTCTTTGTCAAGGTTTCCCTCTGTTGGCTGTTGTTCCTGTGTCCACAACTAGCTGTCCTAGTTTGTTCCTCCAGTTGCTGGTTATCTTCTGCCTAATGAGGTAGATGGGTAACCAGGACCCTGGGGTGACCTTGGCTGTCATCTAGTGGTGGTCAAGCACGTCAAGGTTAGCATTTCTGCCCGAGGCAACAGTTATTTATGTGACAACTTATTTCTTCAACTACTTCCCATAAATACTGATAAGAATAGACTGATAAGTCGATACCTTAAGATGCAGAATCACAATCTTGGCCCAGTCATGCTATAGGAGTGCCCATGCTTTGTAGTTCGATGTAATAAGTGGTGGTCCCTAGGGGATTTTCCAGTGAAGTACTGGTAATTATAAAAAAAAAAAAAGGCACCGAGCTAGGAGGACTATGTAGCTCAAGGAGTAGAACACACGTAGGCCTAGTCACCACCTCCCCCTCATGTGCCGAAGGTATATTATATCCACCACACAGCTCAACAAGGTGAGGTTAACTTAACATCCAAGATAACCCTAGGCCTTTGAATGCCCATTTATCCCTAACCGGAATAAGTCAGCATAGATTTGGCTGAACCCTCACTGAACTACCAGTTTTACCCCTGTCACCCCACCAGTGTTCCTTCCTCTAGGGTGTGTAGTGCCTTAAGCCCTCAACTTGCAGGTGGAGTACATGGGTTACCATGCACACAGACACAGGTGGTAAGAAGCCACCTGGGACACCTTAGTCTCACTCCTCACCTTCAACCAGAAGAGGGGCTTTGTGGTCACATTTCACTGCCCTCTGGATCACTGCAGACACTTAAGTTTCTCTGCTAAGTCAAAGCATCATTCTTAACAGGGCTTGTGTGACTATAGCACTACTGAAAAGTATAGTATATAATATACACCTCCAGAATCAATTCATAATAAATTTATGTGGTTAAACTTAAATAACATGCAGCAGAGTAACAGGTCTTGGTTTGTAAACACCCTATAATAACTTACAGAATTAGCTTTAATAAAGGTCAGGTGTAGGTACATGAAATATTGACCTTCCACTTAGGGTAATTTGTCCCCCCATATTTGATTAGTCACCAGACTATGATAATATGATAATAGGAGAAGAACATATTAAATTTTGTGGTGAAATTTTTTATTATGATCATGGGTAAATAATTTGAACTAGGAAGAACACTCCTTGAAATACCTTATACCAGTAATTGTATTTGAATAAATATTGTTTATAACCAGCCAATATATACGTTTCATGGCACTAAATCTTGGTCATTACTTAAGATATCTTTAATTGTTTACAATCTTGTTTCTCAGATCACCTGCATGACAGTCATTTACAGGTGATGGAAACTACTGAAGACACTCCAAAAGATCCTGAAATGGAGAAGTAAATATTAAATAGTAAGCCACTGAAATTTTCATATAATCAGAACTAGGTACCCCTTCTCCCTTTCTGCATTTCAATTTTTTCTACGAAGCCTAAAATATTTTTGTATTTACGTAAAAATTTGTCTTTAAAATCGTCACATACCACCTTCATCGATCACCTTTGAAATTACTAAATCTGATAACATGTCTGCTACCTGCCTTCCATACAGGTGATGGTACAAATAATTAAATTTGAAACATAAATATTGGTGGATAGTCGAGAAAGGATTGGCAGGAAGGCTTGAGAGATTGTTGGTAAGGGTATTGGATGTGGGCAGAGAGCAGGGTCATTTCAGCCCCGTGGAAGCCAACATGACACCGTCTGACCTGAACAGCATGTGAAGGACTGCAATTCAAATGAATAAATAACTGAAATAGCACTGACTCCAGTTCAGACATTGTTACTGAAGCAAAGGCCTCCTGACTAAGCAGTAGTGCCACAAGCACAATGAAAGCTGGTGGTTCCATGCAGAGAAAAAGCATCTACCTCTAGGAATTCTAATGTCTTAACAGAACCTCCTTTCAGTGGTTATGTAACTTACCTTTGTAAATGGATGGAAGCGGGAAAGACCACTTAAACATTGTGAACTGCACTGAGGACTGGATTCAGAGATGACAGAAGCAAACTAGAATAGGTAGAACCCACCAATAGGAGATGAGTGGGTTCCAATTTCCCCACAAGAAATTGGAACAGGTAGAACCATTGGAAGGCAATCCAAATTCAACTGAATCAGAGGTTCAAAAAATAGGGATGCTACTCGGTCCAATCCAGACAGCCACAAACTCCCTCAGTGATATGTATCTGGAGCAATCAAGGTGACCAGAGCCCCTACTAACCCAAATAGCAATGACTGTAGACAAAGCCCCTCCCAAAGTTAGGTGCATTTGTGAAATACTTTAATGGCAGAGGAACCAGTACCCCCCTTTGATTAACTTCCTTTGGCTAGTACAAAGGCAGTATTGTTACCAAGATATTAAAAATGTAAAAAAAAAAGTGGGTTTTGCAAGTTCAACATTAGCACAGGATTCAGAAGTCTTGATTACTAATTTGTCTAAAACAGGGAGGCAGTAATTATGCCTAATACAAATTGTGTTCAAGATCATATGACACTACTCAGTTGCTGCCACAAATGAGTGCCAGGTCAAGAAAGGTTTATCTACACTACACCATGCTTTTGGATTGTTAGCTGGCAGTATAAACTAATTATACTGGTACTAAAACCACTAAATACAGTTCCTATCATATTCCTATTCAAACAATATCCCTCAATACACTATTGAATTTGTGCACATTAATAACCTAACCCAACAAAATTAATATATACAAACAGCATAAAACCACCAGCATTTAATGCAATGAAACAATTTTCTGGGTGAGATCCAGAGCTTACTAGGCTGATATGCTAATGTCAGACTTTGGCATCAGTCATGTGTATGGAGTTCTATGGGCCTACTGGGGACCAGGAGCCAGAACCTGGCCCTCTCAGAAGAGGCAAGGGAAGCAATGGCCTATAGAAACCCCTGTGTGGTTGGAAGCATTCTATGTCTGTCATCAACCAGGTCAGGTACCCAGAAAGGTAAGCACCCCAAAACAAACCACTATTCTAGTTACAATATTGCTACCAAAAGCTGAACAAGTGGATAGAACTCCTCTAAATGAAACGAGCAAACGATCATGACGTCACTGCGCCACTGTCTGTGCAGCTTCCCTCTGCCCGGGAGGGGGAAGGGGAAGCCCCAGACCTCCCACGCCGGCTATCCATCCTTCAGTTCTTAGGCTGGATGTCAAAACACACAAAAAAACACCAACCGGAGAGAGGGAGGGATGCTGGGGAGCCTCTGAGTCTCTCCCAGAAAATGGTGTTTCATTACATTCAATGCTGATTTTCTGGGGGGGGGGGCCTTTGGCTCCCCGAAGCTAACTACCCACAGAGAAAAAACTTAGGGACTTACCTGGGAGGCGGTTGCTGCTCACTCCTCAACTCAAAGTCGAGACAAATAGCTGCAACCATTGACCCAAAGCGACACAGGCTTGACGAGGCCCAGGACTGTTCACAAGGTAACGAACAGCCAGGACCCTGTTCGACCTCCTAAAGCCCCGCGCCCGAATGTCAGCCCAAGATATGTTGCCGAAGACGGCAGCAAGAGCAGCGAACTTACGAACATCATGGGCACAGGGATAGACTGCAGACTGGCTAGCCTAAATAACTCTGCGGATGACCTGGGAGACCCGCACCCGCAAACAGGGAAGAAGGGAAACCAAATCAACCCAAAGCGTGTTTCCGGACACAGTAGCCGTGGCGCGCAAATAACAGCGAAGAGCCGCAACCGGACACAAAACATGATGTACCCCCAGCCTAACCAACCAAGCATCCACAACCCAGGGACCCCTCCAGAAAGCAGCAGTCTCGTTCTTTGCCAGAAAAGAAGGAGACGGCTGCAAATGAACAAAACCATCACGAAGACCGAAAGAGCGGAAACCCCTGCGCCGGAGGAGAGCATGAAGCTCACCAACCTGACCCCCAGAGGCCAATGCCGACAGAAAAAGAGCCTTGGAGAAACAATCTTGATTTGAAGGGGCCACAACAAAATGAGGAGAAGAAAGATAAGAGAGCACTCTGTCCAATGACCAGGACAGCTCAGGCGGCGCATGAGCAGGCCAGAGGTGAAACAACACCCGAAACAACACACAGCTTGCGAAACAGTGCAGAATATCAATACCGAAAGCAATCTGAAGCGGCTCCGCCAGCGCCGCACAATACGAGGCGACAGTATTTGGTATAAGGTGACGGTCCTGGAACAACCAAGAGAGAAAGGACAACAACACCCCTAAGAGAAAGCAAAGTACAACGACAAAGACGCAAGAAGAAACGGAAGGACCGCCAGGAAACTTCGTACTGCTAATGAGACGATACCCGTAGGTGGGACACTAACAAGGAAGCCATCTGATCACCTTAGAGATGATGATAAACTCGAGTCAAAAATACCATATGCAAAGACTCGAGGAGAAGATCAAACCAGTCACATGACGTTCTGGTCCGATCTGCTGAAAAAGGCGGAGCTGCGGGAAAATCTCCGGGTTCGGACACTGATCAAGCTGTGAAACCACGGCTGGGTCGACCACCACGGAACCAAGAGGACAACACTTCCCTGGTAAGTCTCCAAGCGAGTCAGGACCTGGAGCAACAGCTGAACCGGGGAAAAGAGGTACAGGAACCCACACCTCGACCAGTCCTGCTGAAAGGCATCGACCCCGATGGCCTTGCTGTCGGGGACACCGAACGTCTGGCAAAGCCAACTGAAGGAGTTGGCGTCAACCGTCCATTCCGTGGGGAGGGGAAAGAAACGGAACAGGTCATCGGCTAAGACTTTGGACACGCCCCGCATGTGAACTGCCACGAGAGCCAAACCCTCAGAACTCAGCAGACGAGTCACCCAAAGCAACCAGCGCCAAGGAGCCAAGGAGCCAAGGACTGCATCAAACCCCCCCCCCCCCTTGTTCACAATGAACCACCAGGAAGCAGTCCGAATAGAGCCGGATCATCGATCCGCAGGTGACCCGAACCCTCCAAAGAGCAAACCTCACCGCCGCGAACTCCCGCACTGTGCTGTGGACTCGACGGAAGGACAGACCACACTGTCCCTGGCCGGCCTAGTGAGCACCGGGGAGACACGGAACCGAACCCTGGAGAGGGGCAGACACCAAATCCAATTCGTACGCAGAGGGGAGAAAAGAACCCCACTTCCTGTAACAACAAGCCTTGCTCAGAGGCTTCGGCAGAGAGACTAGACTCGAATGCCTCCGTAGCCACACCGCAAGGGGCATCCCCCGAGACTGCCCGAGTCTCAAGACATCTAAACCCTGCTCCGGCTCCGAAACCCTCAGAAGCAAGGGAAAGGAGGGACCAGAACGAACCACAGGAAGGGAAGGACGAGGGGTGGGCAGACTGAACCAAGGTCAGAGTCACCCCCCACCCGAAAGTCTGGTTTATCTTGAGATGATTTCGGGGCTTTAGTGTCCCCGCGGCCCGGTCCTCAACCAGGCCACCCCCAGGAAGCAGCCCGTGACAGGTGACTAACACCCAGGTACCTATTTTACTGATAGGTAACAGGGGCATAGGGTGAAAGAAACTCTGCCCATTGTTTCTCGCCGGCGCCCGGGATCGAACCCGGGACCACAGGATCACAAGTCCAGTGTGCTGTCCGCTCGGCCGACCGACTCCCCATCGACCGGGTCCCTATAAGCAAAACAGGGCATCCGGGTGAGAAACCAACCAAGCGCGTTGCAACAACCTAAAACGCACATGCAACGCCTGCGCTGCCTGTACCCTCATAAGATAATCACTGGACTAGGTAAATTGAGTCACTAGCAAGCAGCAGAACTCACAGGACTCAGGGTCGAAAGTGTCACCAACCCAACAGGCAGAGTGACAGAGGCAAAGACAGTGAGGGTCACCCTGAGACAAGGGGACTGATTAACCTTCAAACTTTCACAAAGCGAGGAGGAACCCCGGGATCACATTCATTAGACCCACGCGCCCCGTGGGAGCCGGTCGGCCGAGCGGACAGCACGCTGGACTTGTGATCCTGTGGTCCTGGGTTCGATCCCAGGCGCCGGCAAGAAACATTGGGCAAAGTTTCTTTCACCCTATGCCCCTGTTACCTAGCAGTAAAATAGGTACCTGGGTGTTAGTCAGCTGTCACGGGCTGCTTCCTGGGAGTGGAGGACTGGTCGAGGACCGGGCCGCGGGGACACTAAAGCCCCGAAATCATCTCAAGATAACCCCCAGGGGTTTCCCAGGGCCCTGAGCGTTTAGCGAGACCCACGCCCAGGTAATCCCAGGCAGGGTACTGCTAACTGGCGCCCAAAACTACTAAGCAAACTCATTAAAGCTGCACCCCAGGGACGTGTACACTCACGGGGACCTAGCAGGGGGCACCACCAGAGAAGAACTGTAATAGGTCAAGCACAAGTGGCCAAAAAGCAGGGCAGATCCCCCCCACAAGGCAAAAAAAAAAAAAAAAAAAAAAAGCAAGAGGACAGCGTACCCTAAAGGAACAGGGCCGGCCGCTAATCGGTGAAAACAAGCTATGCAGCAGGCCTGGTCGACGACCGGGCTGTGGGTACGCTAAGCCCCGGAAACACCTCAAAGGTAAGGTAGCACCCCGCGCCCCAAACCAGTGCAAACTGCCTTTTACCCATAGGTAAACAAGGGAGACAAAACACCCAAGTACCCAAAGGGCAGCTGAAAAACTGAGCAGTAAGACGGCCAGCAGAGACAGGACACAAGGAACTTGTGGAAGGTAACCCCAAGCCCCAAGGGCAGTACAGTACTTACAGGGCACATAGGGAAGGGAACCCTAGGCGCATGCAGCCGGAGTACTGGAGAATAACTCCTGGCTCTCGCACCCATACAGGACAGCCACCACACTCAAAGTACAGTACTGAAACTAAGTCTGGAGCAAGAGTACATGACCGGAGCCTCTAGCATCAGCCTAAGAACTGAAGAGAGGAGAGCCGGTGTGTGGGGTCTGGGGCTCCTCTTTCCCATCCCGGGGAGGGGGGGGGGGGCGGAGCTGCGCAGACAGTGGCGCAGTGATATGTGACATCATGGTCGTTTGCTCATTTCATTTAGGGGAGTTCTATCCACTTGTTCGGCTTTTGGTAGCAATATTGTAACTAGAATAGGGGGTTTGTTTTGGGATGTTGACCAGACCACACACTAGAAGGTGAAGGGACGACGACGTTTCGGTCTGTCCTGGACCATTCTCAAGTGATTGTGCTGGGGGAAGGTGGTGATGGCAATAAATAGGCAAGAGAGAGGCGAGGAGCAAGGTAAAAGGTACGAAAGGTAAGGTGTAGTAGAGGGGAGAGTAGTAGGAATAAGAACTGCAGAAGGCCCATTGGCCCATATGAGGCAGTTCCTATTTATAACCACAAATGAGAAGGGTATAGTAATAGGAATAAGAAGAGGATAGCAAGGGAATGTAAGAGAAAACAACTTATGTTGGTCTGGTCAACATACTTCAGCCACGTTATTGTGACTCATCGCCTGTTTTGGGATGCTTACCTTTCCGGGTGCCTGACCCAGTCGATGGCAGACATAGAATGCTACCAACCACATGGGGGTTTCTATAGGCCATTGCTCCCCCTTGCCTCTTCTGAGGGGGCCAGGTTCTGGCTCATGGTCCCCAGTAGGCCCATAGAACTCCATACACATGACTGATGCCAAAGTCTGACATTAGCATATCAGCCTAGTAAGCTCCCGGCAGTTGAAGGGGCTCCCCCCAGAACAAAATTATACTTCAAGCTGACATACACTAAATTGTTTTATTGTAGGAAGATGTTAACACAATAATATAGCAAATTAGCAAGGATGATAGAGTACCTCAACACTCTTTGGGAAGGAAAGCAAGGACTTGAGCTGCTCGTACTGACTCTTGAGAGTGGCAACTGGTGTCCTGTTCGCTAGAGACTGAAAACAATAAAAATGTGTTAATGTCAAGACTGAGGTACAAAAACAATAGAGAATTCACAAAATTTAAATCCAAAATAAGGGATGCATATATATATATTCCTCAGTATATAAATATAGTATCCTTCAGTAGATTTTCTATTAATAGTTTAAAAACTAAACTTCATGTACATACTGTACTGTAGTACCCCAGAAAAAATGTTACAGCAGAAGTAATTAGCAAAAGATGCTGCCAAGGTAGGAAGATTATGTAGCTGGTACAGTAGAAGACAACTTCAAAGAATTTTTGTTGATATAGGTGGAATAAGGATTTGATATCAAATTATGAGCTTTAATACAAAATAGAGGTATTTTGGGAACAATGGCATGACCACGAATACAGTATAAATGTTGAACTGCACTCCTGTCTGTAACTTTCGGTGAGAAAGTAGATCCACACAAACTGTTTTGACTTCGCGCAACAAATAATAAATGTTCAGTACTTTGAAGAGTTTAAAGAGTACATTAGGTACCCAATTTTACACATTGTTTTGTTAAAAGTTAAATTTATAAGTAATAAATGCTCTTCTTCCTAGCTTGGTGCCTTTAAAATTATTTAGCTCTAAGCAATAAGTAAATGAAACAAAGGGGGTCTAAATATAACAATTAAACTACATGTCAGAACAACGTGAAGTGAAGCAAGAATACCAACAGTGAATAAAGAAACTGAGCAAGGCTCATGTCACATTTCATATACTAATTGGTATACCTATTGGTATACTCATAGTATGTCAAATAGGTATACCAATATCTCTCAGTTTTCTTAATTCTAATACTAACCTCCCTCCCTTTGTAACCAATACTGCCCCCAAGTATTTACAGCTTACTATCTTCTCCAGTAAATATGGGTGTATTTTCACCCTACAGTTCAAACCACGACTTTATTCACAAGATACTTTGTATACACTCTTCCACACTACAGATATTGGAGTGAATGTCTCAACCGTGAGTGGCCTGAGTTAATGACATAGGTGGATGAGTGGCATGAGTAAATGAGGTAGGTGGATGTTATATGATGAGTTTATATAAGTGGGCAGTTGCAGGAAATAAGAATAATGGCTTCCTGGTACAGTAATAAACTCATGAAAGTAATTATTAAAAGAAGGCACCAAAACATACCTGCTTGATGGGGTTCTGAGAGTTGTTCTACTCCCCAAGCCCTGCCGGAGGCCAGGCTTGACTTGTGAGAGTTTGGTCCACCAGGCTGTTGCTTGGACCGCCCACAGGCCCACATACCCACCAGTCCGGTTGGTCTGACACTCCTTGGAGAAAACTATCTAGTTTTCTCTTGATATCCACGGTTGTTCCGCCAATATTTCTTATGTTCGCTGGGAGGATGTTGAACAACAGTGGTTGTTTATATATGATGTTGTATACAGTGTTGTATACCTCTGATGTTTATACAGTGTTCTCCAATTGTGCCTATGGCTTCCCTGCTCTTCACCAGTTCTATTTTGCATTTTCTTCCATATTGTTCACTCCAGTATGTTGTTATTTTACTGTGTAGATTTGGGACCTGGCCCTCCAGTATTTTCCATGTGTATGTTATTTTATATCTCTCGTCGTCTTTCTAGCGAGTACATTTGGAGGACTTTGAGATGATCCCAATAATTTAGGTGCTTTATCGCGTCTATGTATGCTGTATATGTTCTCTGTACTCTATTTCGGCAATCTCTCCTGCTCTGAAGGGGGAAGTGAGTACTGAGCAGTACTCAAGACAGGACAGCACAAGTGATTTGAAGAGTACAACCATTGTGATGGGATCCCTGGATTTGAATGTTCTCATAATCCATCCTATCATTTTTCTGGCTGACACAATATTTGCTTGGTTATGCTCCCTAAACGTTAGGTCATCAGACATCATTATTCCCAAATCCTTTACATGTTGCTTTCCTACTATGGCCAAATTTGATTGTGTTTTATACCCTATATTATATTTAAGGTTCTCATTTTTGCCGTATCTGTGTACCTGGAATTTATCGCTGCTGCCCAGTTGAAAACTTTATTAATATCTGCTTGTAGTTTTTCAATGTCTTCAACAGAGGGAATTTTCATGCTGATTTTTGTGTCATCTGCAAAGGATGATACGAAACTGTGTTTTGTATTTGAGTCTATATCTGATATGAGAATAAGGAAAAGCAGTGGTGCAAGGACTGTACTTTGAGGTACAGAGCTTTTAAAGGCACTTGGACTCAATTTTATATGATTAACTGTTACTCTTTGTGTTCTGTTTGACAGAAAACTGCGTATCCAGCATCTTACTTTACCAGTTGACCTCAATGACCTCATTTTGTGTGCTATCACTCCATGGTCACATTTATCGAATGCCTTTGCAAAATTCCTGTACCACATCTGCATTCTGTTTTTCTTCTAATGCCTCACTGATTTTGTCGTAATGGTCAAGTAGCTGTGAGGCATGATCTTCCTGCTCTAAATCCATATTGGCTTGGATTGTGGAGGTCATTGGTTTCCATGAAAGTGATCTGACTCCTGATCACTCTCTCAAATACTTTTATTTTGTAAGACGTTAGTGTAACTGGTCTATAATTCTTTGCCGATGCTTTACTCCCTCCCTTGTGTAGAGGGGCAATGTCTGCTGCTTTAAGCGCATCTGGTATCTCCCCCGTGTCCAAGCTCTTCCTCCACACTATACTGAGTGTATGTGCTCCTGGCACTTTTCATTTCTTTATATAAATATTGAATTCCATGAGTCTGGATCCGGGGCCGAGTGCATGGGCATATTGTCAATTTCTCTTTCAAAATCTGCCACGCTCGTGTTGATATCAGTTATATTTACAGGGGTTTGGATATCACCTACAAAGAAATTGTCTGGATCTTCTACTTTCATGCTGTTTATTGGAGTGCTAAACATGTCTTCATACGGCTTTTTAGGATTTCACTAATTTCTTTGTCATCCTCAGTGTATGAACCTTCACTACAGTAGTATGAATAGGTCGAATACTGGCAGTGGTTTTTGCTTTTGATTTAGCATATGTGAAGAAATATTTTGATTTTTTTCTTTATTTCTTGAATTGCTTTCTGAATACAGTAGTTGCCTTTCTTTATTTCTTTATTTCTTGAATTGCTTTCGGTTATAGTTGCCTTTTTTCAATCTGATATGAATGCTTCAGTCTCCCTGTTTAAATTATTCCTCCTTTGTATGGAAAGTCGTGTCTGCTTAAGCATTTCCGTTAATTTTTTCCTCCTTTTGTAGTGCCGTCTGCGTTCTCTTTCTACATCAGACCTCTTTCTGGTTTCCTCAAAGAACATGTTTTAGACAGACTTCATATGCTTCAGAAGTCAGTTTTTCTATTCCTAGTGTAGGATTTTTATTATTTAGAACATTTTCCCATTGAATGTTTGTAAGTTCCCTGTTTTTTGGGTACATGAAGGCTACATAGCAAATAAACTTGTAGTTTCACTTGACATTAAAATACTGAATGTTCTTATTAATTATAAAAATGATTCCCAGAGAGCCCTGATATCAACAAATTATTTACTCGGTATTAACAGTAAAGTTGCTTTTGCGATCATAAGTATTGGATATTTCAAGTCAAAACAATGCAGCAGTCTCAAATAAAAGTACTTAGTGGTAAATAAAAAATACACGTAAATAGAGCACCTGAATGATATTCATACCAAAAATACCAGAACCTACAATAAAATATCATTAAATTAACATTCTTTATATGAAATAGGATGTGTTTTGTAACTAACCTGAAGATCATGAGATTGCACTTGGTCTGCAGCAGCAACAGCAAGAGCCAAGACGGGCAGTTGCAAGTTGTGACAGAGCTTCACTAGAGGGGCAATGGGCACCACTACAGGGCAGTGCCGCAGAAGCAAGTCCACACTGTGCAGGCACGACGCCAGGTTGTTGTCATTGACGGGATGGCTGGCTGTGCACAAGTACATCATAACAAGATATTTACCACCAAACAGACTTTTTATCAATCTAAATAATACTTCCTAATTTATATTATTCCAAATAATCATCAATTAAAAAGGTTGAAATCTCATTGTGACCAATACTTTTCTCCAAATTTGGACATGAATTTGACCTTTCAGAGCAAAACAATAGTTTTGCTATTAATTTTCTTGCCTATAAGAATATATAATCTAAAAAAGCAGTGAGTTTTGTTTGAACAAGAATATAAAGAAACTTTGTAATTCAATTCAGTGTCATGTATGCCATGCAATGATGCAAATGAACAGCAGCCAGTATATGCAAGAACACAGGTCAAAATTTGTTATAAATCATTGTAAAGTCCTCTATATAAACAAAATTCATTACTCCGCCATCCTTATAGCAAGAAACATAAGCTTGCTATGTGAGCAGTTTGAGTGCTGCACTTCGTGAAAGCTTTATCCTAGCCTCAATACTTATCACAGTGGAAATCTTTGCGAGATGTTGCACAGAACAGTCTCAGTTTGAGGAAAACTTTCAATTTACAAATTGAATAAAGTATATCAGAATAATGATATAGCATTACCTTTTGTAAATGGGTAGTTAATAAGTGTGATCCAAGCAGTAGTAAGTGCTGGAACAATCCAAAGATGAGGTAGGCTCTTCACACGAATTAAGACACGCTCAAGTGCAGTGATGTCCATCTGACCTGACTAATGGAGGAAAAACATTAAGTAAATACCTAAGACACTGAGATAAATACACAAACAAGTTAAAAAACCAGTGTTGAATGTAATGAAACCCCATTTTCTGGGTGAGACCCGGAGGCTCCCCAAAGGCTCCTCGGAACTATACCAGGCTGATGTGTATATATTAGACCGTGGCAATAGTCAATCGAAGGATTAATAAGCTACCGGGGACCAGAGCCAGAACCTGACCCCCTCAAGAGAGGCACAAGGAGCAATGGCCCTTGTGCCTCTCCTAGTGGAGGGCCACCAAAATCCTACAAATGGTCCTACTGCCACACCAGGCAGACCCCCACCAGGCAAAACAAAAAACAAAACAAAAGAAAATCCCTGCAAAAGCACGTCTCCAGGTGAACAGAACCGGTCGCGATGCGTATATCAGACAGCAGAATAGTACGTCGCGCCCTAGCCAGCAACGAAACTACCTCCTACCCAAAGGGCAAACAGGAGTAAGATCCTCCCCAACTGAACACCCAAGGGCGGGCGAGCAGCGACAGAACCACACGGAGGAAGCTGCTCCTGAACGGCTCATGGAAGATAGCCCTAAGGCCGCAAAGGCAGTATTTACAGGGCACCTAAGGAAGGTGGCCCTAGGTGCATGCAGCCCCAGTACTCCTGTGTTACTTCTGGCTCACACACCACTAAAACAGAGCAACAACACCGCACTGTAGCACTGCGCAAGAGTGGAGCCAGAGCGATCAACTGTCACCAACACAACAGCCTCTTGAACTGAGGAGAGTTGCTGGCGTGGAGGTCGGGACCCCCAGTCCCCCTCCCTGGGAGGGGGGGGGGGGGGGGTTGCGCAGACAGATGCGTGGCAGTTGTGGTGACGTCATGTTTGTTTCCTTGTTTTTGATTGGGGAGTTCTGTTTGCTAGTTCGGCTTTCAGTTTGCAATTTTTGACCAGCAGTAGTTTGTTTTGAGATTCCTACCTTTCTGGGTGCCTGACCTGGTAGATGGAGAGCCGGTCGGCCGAGCGGACAGCACGCTGGACTTGTGATCCCGTGGTCCTGGGTTCAATCCCAGGCGCCGGCGAGAAACAATGGGCAGAGTTTCTTTCACCCTATGCCCCTGTTACCTAGCAGTAAAATAGGTACCTGGGTGTTAGTCAGCTGTCACGGGCTGCTTCCTGGGGGTGGAGGCCTGGTCGAGGACCGGGCCGTAGGGATGTACGAAATGTAGACAGTTACAAATAAAATGTGTATATAATGCAATAACAGCAAAACGGTGTGTTTTATTGTTCTAAGAATATAACTTGGTTCAAAATTAGTGACAAATATATTTGAGCATTCTGATGCTCCACATCTCCACATTTTATTACATACTATATATTTCTCAAATTACATGCTATTGAACAAGATTACTGGAAAAAAAGAGAAAAAACAATTCAATGACATTGAAACAAATACTGTACCCAGTACGTAACAATATCTTTGCAGTAATTCCCACTCCACACCTGGTTTAGAGCAACAGCTCCAATATGTTTGTGAATCATGACATTGCAAGATTTCCTCACATCACAATAGCCAAAGTAAGCCACATAAATTTGTATTTTTCATGTGTCCAGGGAATGCATTATAAACATGCGAGCAGTGCAGGAGTCAAGGGAGCGACCAAGAAGTCCAAATTTAATAATTAAACAAGTGAATTGGCAACTTTCAGATATTATGCCAGTCACTATATTAACATTAGATACAAACCTTAACAAAACTTGTGATCTGAACAAGTACTGCACCCCAGAGTGATGCTGTTGTCACCTGAAAATAAGATGAGAAATAATTAGAAATGCCTATGTTCCTAACACATTTCAATATTTAGACAAACATAACAGAAATTTAATACAATATTTACATTTGAAATCTGTTCTTTATTGACAACATTAGTGTTTTTTAGTTCTGCATTTTTATGTGCTTTCCTTACATATGTGTGTATGTATGTATGTACATCGTGATAGATGTAATGTGTATTATAATGTGGGTTTGGTTAGAGGTTAGACAGGTAGGGAGGGTGCGGGTTGGGTGAGGCAGGTTAGAGGGTGTGGATGGGATGAAGCAGGTGGAAGTACTTACTGCATTGTCAAAAGTGCTACAAAGGTTCAAGTCCTACCTTATAGTCATGACACAGGTCGGTAAGTAAAATTAGCGCCATCGGATTGTGCCGTTGTGATCGCCATAGCCCTTCTATTAGTGCACACTTGTCCATACTGTTAAACTGCTTCACACTAGTAGCATGACCCAGTGCTTCCAGGCGGCTCACGTACGTCATGGTCTGCAGGTATGACCTTAAGCACAAAAAATAAATCATGTCCATTAAGCAAATATTACTGTACTTTGAAACAAAGATGTTTAAACAAGCAGAAAAGGAAAACTACCAGTTTTAATTAGAAATTGATTAATCAATGAAATACCATTTTCTGGGTGAGCCCGAGAGGCTCTCCGAAGCTATCTGAATTGATACGTGCTATATTTGTTTAGGGTCATCAGTCATAGGAGTTCTTATGCCAACCAGGAATCACGAGGCAGAACCTGGTCCCCTCAGAGAGCTGCAGGGAGCAATGGCCTATGAACACTTTACATTTAAAGTATGTCACAATTGCCATCAACTAGGAAAAGACCCAGAAAGATAGGCAAATCAAAACAGACCACTGTCTGGTTAACCTGTGCAATCTACATCCTAAAAGATCAAAATAACTCCCCTAGAAAGAAACCAGACAAGAAACCCTTCATACAACTAGCACTTCCGATTGCTAGCACTACCCTCCCTTACCTGGGAAGGGGAAGCAAGGGAGGGGCTTGCTTCCAATATGTTCTGCAAGCTTTCTCGTGCATTTTTTCAACTCCAGCCTGTTCATTCACCGCCTGAGCCTTCTTGGTCTTTAGCCCATGTTTTTTCTTTTCTTTCTTCTCCTAGCTTTGTTGAGGACCCTTTGATTAGGGATTGCTTTTAGAAGGCCTTGGCCTCTCGGGGTCAGGTTGGGGAGCTTTATGTTCTCCTCCGACACCGGCGGTTCTGTTAATATGGTTCAGGTGGTGTTTTGTTCGTTTGCAGCCTTCTTTTTTTCTGACAAAGAATGAGATGGCTGGCTTCTGGAGGGGTCCGTTGATTGTGGATGCGTGGTTGGTTAGGCTGAGGGTGCATCACATGATGTGTCTGGTGGTGGCTTTAACCCGCTACCTGTGGGACACTGGTTCTGTGACGAATGCTTTTTGGGTGGATCCGGTTTCCCCTGGTTCCCTTAAGCTAGGCTACCACACCAGTGATCACACAAAACAATCAATATCATCTCTAATTATTTTAACTAATATGAAAGAATGAATAAGCCGTGTGCGTGTGTGTGTGTGCGTGGTGTGTGTGGTGTGTAATTACCTAAGTGTAGTTACAGGATGAGAGCTACGCTCGTGGTGTCCCGTCTTCCCAGCACTCTTTGGCATATAACGCTTTGACAAAGCCCTGTTCCAGAGACACACGAGCCCTGGAACAGGGCTCGTGTGTCTCAGGTTGTCCACAGTGTCATCAAGTCCAGCCAGCCTGCAGTCTACCCTCGTAGACTGCTAGACGTACCCTCCAGCCAGCATACATGACGTTTGTATGTATGCTGCTCTCGTAGCAGTTTTTGGCAACATGTCTTGGGTAGACATACAGGCGTGGGGGTTTTGCAAAATAGGGTCCTGGCCGCCAGGTATCTAGTGAACGTTCCATTTCCTTCTCAGCCGTGTGTGACTTTGGGGCACCATTCACAGCTTTCTTTCTCTTCTTTGTCTCGAGACCAGTGGTTCTGCCGCCTCCCAAGTACAGTAAGTCCCTCCTTTTACTTATCTTTGGGTATTTAGCTTCAGAGAGCCAACAGGGCTCCCCACAGAAAACCAGCATTGAATGTGATGAAACGCCATTTTCTGGGTGAGCCCCGGAGGTTTCCTGACACCCACCCTCCCTCCCTCTGGTCAGCAGTTTTTCATCGTTCAAGAACTGGAATGGTGAGCTGCTGGCACCCCCTTCCCCCTGAATACAGCACATGTCAGTTCAGATAGCTTCAGGGAGCCAAAGGGGCTCCCCACAGAAAATTTAGATTTTTATGTAGTCAACTTTGAAGTGTTATGCAGGAATGCATTCCAAGACAGATACTGAAATTAAGATGATGCTAGCACCAGAGCCATACTTGGAAGGGACTAACAACATATTCAATAGGGTCAATACTGTACTGTAATGAGAACCTTTCAGTATCTGTCTTTCTATTTCCTTTATGTCCAAATACTCCCCTCCCATGTTGTGGAATGTCTGCTTCAGTGACCTACCATACCTTGCTAATGAAGCTCAAGCCTATGCTGATGACTGCACTATAAACTTAAATTATAGAAAAAAGGATATAACAACTGTTTTGTGGTTGATTTTTTACTTGCAATAATACTGTTACCTGCTTGTCATAATGACAGGTTACATTTGATGCTGCAAACACACAAGCTATGGTGATTGTCCTTGTTCTTGTCTTGAGCGGTACATGGCTGGCAAGCGTAGCTACTAAGAATCCCTCCACTTGCTTCAAACTTCCTGCCTCATGGACTCAACCTGGGGTCGAGTAGTTTCCTGGATTGCAAGGGGTTTACTTCCATGATCTTCACCAGTTGGGTTTCTGTGGCTTACACAGCTGATGTCAAGCCTGTTTCAGCAGAACAGTATGGAACGTGTTTATGCTCTGCCCTACGTTAGCAAGCCCCTGCCTTATTTTGGCCAATCTATCCCTTTGCCCCACTTTGGTGTGTCGTATTTGAGGTGCCTGCACACCCTATCTTTCTGATGGTTGTTTTCAGGGATTTGTCATGTGTGCTTTTCGCCTTCTTCTATGTGCTGAGTTACGATCTCATGTCTGTGACTTGTTTCTTGGGCTGTGAATCCAGAAAACTAGTGTTTTTTGTTTCTAGGACCAAATAAAAGTGTTGAAATAACAAGGGTTCAGCTCTGCTTCTGGACTTCAGGAATTACTGAAGGCATGGGAGTGTATATGGTGTCCACAGCTCAAGACTATGTTTGCATATACTGTACTATACTGACCTCAATGAATGTGCAGACCCATTTACTAGGGTCACCCCTAGACAGAAAAATATTCTTTTCTTGGGATCTGTCAATCAGGATTTTTTTTCTGGCTCCCAGGGTAGCAACTCTGAACAAATCCACAAGGGCCTGGACGAGGATTCGAACCTGCGTACGGGAACATCCCAGACGTTGCCTTAATCGACTGGGCTACAACATGGTAAAAAGAGTTGAAACCGAAGTTCTACTGAACTTACTGGATCCCGCAGCCTCTCCGAGACACAAACCAGGGTTTTACACAATTCCCCCATGCACTTGAGCTATGTCAATAGGCCGTTCTCCCTCTTTGCCCTTACATCATTACACACAGAAATCACAATAACGTGATGCATCAAATGAACTCAATGGTTTCAACTCACCATGTCGCAGATCAGTCGATTAAGGCAGCGTCTGGGATGCTCCCGGACGCAGGTTCGAATCCTCGTCACGGCCCTTGTGGATTTGTTTATTTGACGCATCACGTTATTGTGATTTCTGTGTGTAGCAGCTCTGGTTTCTTAATAGTGGCTTGTTCCCTACCAGCAATGGGGTAAAAACAAAATTCCAAAGTGTTTACTCCAATTTGTTGGGGCCCACCTTGCCTGTGTCCAAAATCTATCATTTCAGTCAAGGTCACTGGACTCCAGAATTGGCAAGTGCTCTCATCAGTGTAGGAGAGAAGGCAGCTGTGTGGATTGGATTTAAACATATCCTTCTCACAAGGGGCACTGTCTGCATTCTTTTATTAGTACTCTGGTGGTCCATTGTCTGTCATTGAAGGTTGTCATGGTAACCACTATTGTGGCACCGAGTCTGACCACAGCATTTTCTCTAGATTCTCGAGCCTAAGTCTTTGCAGTGCTTCATATTTATGAGGTTGTAGCGAGTAGATTATCCCAATAATATACTCGCTCCAAATATAGTGTTAATTAATATTCCTGTCAACCTTTGGAGATGAATGAGGTGAGGTGTTGCCCGAGCAATATAAGCAGCAGAATAGCAAACATTAACTAGTCTACTTTCAAGTGTGGTCTAGAGCAGACACTTGCGAGATACTGTACCAACGCTCAGTGCGCTCAACTCACACCAACGTATCACCTGTGTACTTCTGTATATTCGACCAAATATATATATAGTGTCTCAGTGTCTGTGTTTATTTGTCACCATACTTTACGTAACAATAGAACCGTTACATTGGTGACCCCAGAGAGTTTCGACGATACCCAGCCACGATGGACTACAACATGGACTCTCACTGGACCTCCACTGCTGCTGCTTGCTGTGGACCGCAGCCACCTGTCATGGAACGTTGCCAACACCCTTGCCATAGCTATGATTTTCATCGCGATCGTCTCTGCATTTTCATCTACTACGGCTTGCTGCTCCACGATGACTACTCACTCATCTGGCAGCTTCATCAGTAACTACATAATGTGTGATCTACAGCCTGTCCTGCCGACTCTCCGTCGCTGCCAGGGCACTGCTTGTTCTACAGGGGCGCCCACGAAAGCTGCTCTTTCGTCAGATTCATCTACACGTTCACTGCATTCTGATACTCTGCCGACTCAAGCACTTTGCGCAGTACAGGACTTACAGCTTGCGTTTCCGACTCTTCGTCGCCTCCAGGACAATTCAGCTCTAGCAGTGATTACCTCGTTGTCCTAACTACGTGCCTACATTACCTCCTAATGTCCTGGTGCCCGAGCCCATCCGCCCGGATCTAAATGCTCCACCAGCGACCCAAGGACGCAACAATTATGCACATTCTTCTCTCCTGCTACACCGAGCTTGTCCACACACTGCCTACATCTTTTGGTACCAGACTACAATTTCCACAGTCAACAATGTAGTACTCGGCATGTACAGTCCTAATCAACCCAAGACGCTACAGCTTCGACACAGAGCAGACAGCAGACTACGACCGCATCGAGCCGCCACGCTCTCGTTCCCCGAGTTTAGACACTCACAAATCTTAATCGAGCCGCCACGCTCTCCCACATAGAGCTCCACGACTCCGGCCTCACTCAGCTCTCTGCTCTGCTCCAGGCTTCGTCTCAACGTCTGCGATACTGCTAAATCCAGAGACACATCCGCCGACTACGCAGTTCACTTTTCGACCCCAATTACCAGCCGCACCACAACCTGATCCTACGACGATGGACGATCCTGTGCGACCTCCCACCCTACGACCCCAGTTAGATGACATCAGCGAAGAGGAGGAAGTTAACTTTGATGGTCATGCAACGCGAGCAGGGCGTACAATTCACCGACCAGCTAAGTTCCTTGATCAAGTATTTTTCCTTTCATCCCCTGGGAGGGGAGTTCTGTAGAGTAGATTATCCCAATAATATACTCGCTCCAAATATAGTGTTAATTAATATTCCTGTCAACCTTTGGAGATGAATGAGGTGAGGTGTTGCCCGAGCAATATAAGCAGCAGAATAGCAAACATTAACTAGTCTACTTTCAAGTGTGGTCTAGAGCAGACACTTGCGAGATACTGTACCAACGCTCAGTGCGCTCAACTCACACCAACGTATCACCTGTGCACTTCTGTATATTCGACCAAATATATATATAGTGTCTCAGTGTCTGTGTTTATTTGTCACCATACTTTACGTAACAATAGAACCGTTACAAGGTCTCAAATGCATGTCTGACTTTTTTGGTTAATCTGTTTGAATTGGCAAGCTGCATATTTATGTGATTTTGTTTCCAAATTGGGATTCCTTGGCACTAGGCATGCTTTGTCTGAACTGGAAAACATGGTAAATTATTTAACTCTTTTTTCAGTCTAGATGTTGTTGTCCATGCTGGCAAAGTCAAAGATCTTTGTGGGCTAAATGCTCTTGTTGGCTTCCATGTGGTCACTATCTTCAGAATGTCATGTCACCAGTATGATGTGGCTCGATATTCATTCCAGCTGTTTATGGGTCTCCATCCTTATTCGTGTCCATGTCTCTGGTTATGTTCCATACCTGGTTGCTTACCGAACATCACCTTATGCCTAACACAGTTGTCTCTTACCAAGCAGCTCTCAGCAGAGTTCCTCCTGCTTAGGTTCTTGCATCAATGTTTTATCTCAATTGTTTATTAAGCAAGAGCATGTGTTCTTTCACCATATTTGTAAGGTGCTCTTAGAACTTGTCTTGTTGCTGGATGCTGTAATTACCCAAGTGTAGTTACAGGATGAGAGCTACGCTCGTGGTGTCCTGTCTTCCCAGCACTCTTTGTCATATAACGCTTTGAAACTACTGACAGCCTTAGCCTCCACCACCTTCTCACCTAACTTGTTCCAACCGTCTACTACTCTGTTTGCGTAAGTGAATTTTCTTATTTTTCTTCGGCATCTGTGTTTAGCTAGTTTAAATCTATCACCTCTTGTTCTTGAAGTTCCAGGTCTTGGGAAATCTTCCCTATCGATTTTATCAGTTCCTGTTACTATTTTGTATGTAGTGATCATATCACCTCTTTTTCTTCTGTCTTCTAGTTTTGGCATATTTAATGCCTCTAACCTCTCCTCGTAGCTCTTGCCCTTCAGTCCTGGGAGCCACTTAGTAGCATGTCTTTGCACCTTTTCCAGTTTGTTGATGTGCTTCTTAAGATATGGGCACCACACAACCACTACATATTCTAGCTTTGGCCTAACAAAAGTTGTGAACAATTTATTTTAGTATTTCGCCATCCATGTATTTAAAAGCAATTCTGAAGTTAGAAAGCGTGGCATAGGCTCCTCACACAACGTTCTTTATGTGGTCCTCGGGTGATAGTTTTCTATCTAGAACCACCTCTAGATCTCTTTCTTCAGAATTCTTTAAAGATTTCTCACATAATTTATAGGTTGTGTGAGGTCTACGTTCTCCTATTCCACATTCCATAACATGGCATTTATTAACATTAAATTCCATTTGCCAAGTGGTGCTCCATATATTTATTTTGTCCAGGTCTTCTTGAAGTGCTTGGCAATCATCTAAGTTTCTTATCCTTCCTATTAACTTAGCATCATCAGCAAACATGTTCATATAATTCTGTATACCAACTGGTAGATCATTTATGTAGACAATAAACATCACTGGTGCAAGAACTGAACCCTGTGGTACTCCCCTTGTGACATTTCTCCAGTCTGATACATTACCTCTGATTACTGCCCTCATTTTTCTATCAGTCAGAAAATTTTTCATCCATGTTAGAAACTTACCTGTCACCCCTCCAATATTTTCCTGTTTCCAGAACAACCTCTTGTGTGGAACTCTGTCGAAAGTCTTTTTTGTCAAAAGATGTGCTGGACTTCTTGTGTTCTCACTTCCAGGTGTCACTGTCTTTTGAGAATTAGACACTGACTTTGGAGGCACTGTTCCTGTTGTCTAGGCACCTGGCAGCTGGGCGCCAGACAGCTGAGTGGACAGCGCTTCGGATTCGTAGTCCTGAGGTTCCGGGTTCGATCCCAGGAGAAGGCAGACACAAATGGGCAAAAGGTTTCTTTCACCCTGATGCCTCTGTTTACCTAGCAGTAAATAGGTACCTGGGAGTTAGACAGCTGCTACGGGCTGCTTCCTGGAGGTGTGTAATAAAAAGGAGGGCTGGTCGAAGACCAGGCTACGGGGACGCTAAGCCCCGAAATCATCTCGAGATAACCTCAAGATAGAAAATGTTTATCCGAGCCTATTTTGATTCCAATTGTTTATTTGTAAACATCTTCCAAACTTCAACATTCCGACATTTCTGAAAATTTTATTGAATGCTATAGGTACCATTTTATTTTTTGCCATCTGTGGATGAGGAACACCGACATAACCCGATATACATAATGGCCTGGCTTCACATGTTCAACAAAGCAGCATATATTTATAGAAGTACTTATAAGCATTAAGAAAATCCAAATTAATGTATAAACAAAAGCTTGTACAACAATAATTACCTAATGGACGAGATACCCTTAGGGCAATGCTTCTGGATCATCTCTTCATCAGCAATAGCCAGTAGACAACGAAGAGCTCTCAGACGATGAGCAGCAGAGAAACTGGTGTCCTCATTAAGCGCACGATTCAGAAGGTAACCCACAGCTTCATCTTGAGAGCAGCATCGCAAGAGATAAGTAACCCTGCAAAAATACCAAGACACTAATCAATAAAATTAGCTTTCCTAATCTATAAAGAATTTAAATTGTCAAGTGTTGTGTAAAAACAAAAGCAGTAGAATATAGTTGGAATGGAACCCAACCACTGGAAGTACACACACACACACACAGTGGAAAGATTACATTCACTGTAAAATTGGCATAATTAGTTGCATTGAAAACAATGGAAAACATCAGGTGGAGGGAGTCTGTATTAACTGGATAACAATGTGGTACTGATAACTTGCACAATTTTAACAAATATTATTGCTCAATTAAAAAACCAGCATTGAATGTAATGAAACGCCGTTTTCTGGATGTGACCCGGGAGGCTCCCTGGAGCTATACCGGGCTGATGTGTATATATTAGACGGTGGCAACAGTCACTCGATGGAGCTCTAAGCCTACCGGGTACTACGAGCCAGAACTGTGGTGATGCCATGCTTGTTTTCTGAGGGAGGAGTTCAGTTTGCTCGTTTGACTTTCGGTTTGCAATTTTTCGCCAGCTGTAGTTTTGGGACTCTACCTTTTTGGGTGCCTGACCTAGTAGATGACATATAGACTGCTTCCAACTACACAGGGGTGTCTATAGGCCATGGCTCCTCGTGCCTCTCTGAGGGGGGCCAGGTTCTGGCTCGCTGTCTTCAGTAGGCTTAGAACTCCATCAACTGACTGTTGCCATGGACTAATACATACACATCAGCCCAGTATAGCTCCAGGGAGCTGAGGGGGCTCTCAACAGAAATGTACCATTTCAAAATGATTTTGTTAACAAAATATTTACAAATGCATGTTATACAGTTTGCACTATTAACAATATAACACACTTTGTCATAAAACAGCAGAATTCAGATGCAACAGAATTTGCTTTTAGCAGACAAGGATCCAGACCAAATCACTCCATTTGAACATGACTTATTGAACAGAAGGTTCCAAACTCTGCAAGAAGCTACAGTAAGATCCTTCAGACCATGTGAACAATTAAAGCACATTCATTTTATTAACAACCTTATTAGAACTAGGTACTCACCTAGTTGTGCTTACAGGGGTTAAGCTTCAGTTCTTTGGTCCTGCCTATCAACTGTCAATAAATTGGTGTACAGGTTCCTGAGCCTGCTGGGCTCTATCAAATCTACATTTGAAACTGTGTATGGAGTCTGCCTCCACCACATCACTTCCTAGTACATGCCATTTGTTAACTACCGACGCTGAAAAATGTCTTAAAAGGCTCATTTGAGTACTCAAGTTTCCATTTGTGCCCCCTTGTTCATGTTCCAACCATGCAAAATAGTTTGTCTTTATCCACCCCTGTAAATCCTCTGAAAATTTTGTAGGTGATCATGTCTTGCCTAACTCTGCTGTCTTCCAGTGATGAGGTTTAATTCTCGTAGCCTTTCCTCATTACTTGTACTGCTCAGCTCTGGGACTTGTCTGGTGGCATACCTCTGTATCTTCTCTAACTGTCTTGTGTTTAATTAGGCATTGACTTCAGGCTGGGGCTGTATACTCTAGTATTGGTCTGACATCTTGTCAGACCAATAGTCATATTGTAGTATTTTTGCTTGTCATGCTTGTTATTTCTTTCATTATTCTTTCAATGAATAGTTGAATAATTTCTTTCATTATTATTTCAACTTTGAAAGAAAAATTAAAGAAATAATCCATAAAGGAGTAAAAAGCACAACTCCTAACCAAAACATAAACCTAATCATATTTTATAAAACAAGGAAGACTACCAACCTCCTGACAGCCCGAAGCCAAGGGAGAACACTTTACAGCAGTCAAACGTAGTAAACATGTACACCTGCCCCCATGAAGGATATCTAAGTACACAGGTATGACTTCGACCAAGCTGACAAGGCGTTTGACCTGTCATCTTCAATCAAGTGCCCCCAGAAATCACATGAGACAAGCCCATGACATCACCCTAACAAGATAAATGTTGAATAAAAACACTTGTATAACAAACAAAACCCAAGATGTAAAAAGATTACAAATTCTTGAAGCAATCCACATAAAAATAGAACAACCCACCATAAATACCCAAATTATGGAACTAGTCACTCTACCCACCATGAGAGTAAGAACAAGACTGCAACATGAAGATGCCAACATAAAGACACTGCTCAACATGCCATGCCCACTACATCTGATTAATCTTTGAATGTGTTTCATACTCTATTTTCGCTGTATTCTTCAACACTTTATGCCTCATTCGTGATCCATTTGAATAGACCTATAAACCTCATTGTTTGATCCATTTGTCTACACCTGACCCCATAATGGTATAAATCCAATATGCCTTGTATTGTCCCATCACTTGAGAATGAACCATGAAGGTTCAAAAGCTGTGTAATTTTATAATAAGTGTAATACATTCTACAGTTATTTATTTATTTTCTTCATGTCCATTGAGGTGGAGGTTGTAAGGTGTATACACACACACACTAGTGTAGATCACTTATCTGATGAGTGAAGCATCATCACTTGGCTCACTTACCTAGAGAGTGAAATATCGTCACTTGGATCACTTGGAGAGTGAAGTATCGTCGCTTGGATCACTTATCTGGAGAGTGAAGTATCGTCACTTGGATGACTTTCCTGGAGAATGAAGCATCGTCATTTGGATCACTTACCTGGAGAGTGAAGCATCGTCACTTGGATCACTTACCTGTAGAGAAGCATCGTCACTTGGATCACTTACCTGGAAAGTGAAGCATCGTCACTTGGATCATTGTCACAGGAACTTGGGTCCAAAGCGATCTTGAAATTTGTTACCGTCTCCTCCAATCCAATTCCTTCGCCGGACTCTGGAGGTGGTAGCCACTTTTCCAGTAACTCCAGCTGGATTGTCACCTGCAATATACACAAGAACTCTAGGAACATGCCAAAGCTATGACAATATAATCTTAACTTTCATTACTTTTCCTCCCTTGAAATCTACTTTTGTTTCTTCCTTGGGTTCTTAAGACAACTTATCCATGTTTTAGGAGTGTTATGTATATCCCAAAGTTTTTTAACAATGTACAGTATTGCTCTTCCATGAGGCACATACTGTGGCGACTGTAGCGGTATGATGTTAAACAATATTCCAATGTTATACAAAATACAGTACTGAAACAGTAAAAAAAGAACAGCGTTGAATGTAATGAAACGCCATTTTCTGGGCGAGATCCGAAGGCTTCCTGGAGCTATACCAGGCTGATGTGTATATATTAGACCATGGCAACAGTCAGTCAAAGGAGTTCTAAGCCTACTGGGGACCAGAGCCAGAACCTGGTCCCCCTCAAGAGAGGCACAAGGAGCAATGGCCTAAAGACACCCGCGAGTAATTGGAAGCCGTCTTTATCTGCCATCTACCAGATTAGGCACCCAGAAAGGTAGGAATTTCAAACAAACTACCGCTGGTCAAAAAATTGCAAACCGAAAGCCGAAAAAGCAAACAGAACTCCCCAATCAAAAACCGAGAAACAAACATGAAGTCACCACAACCGCAGCGCATCCCCCCTCCCCGGGAGAGAGACGGGGGGGAATCCCAGACCTCCACGCTGGCAACTCTCCCCAGTTCAGAGGCTGCGTATAAAAAAAATGCGAAAAACCGCCGATCAGAGGGAGGGAGGGAAGGATGCTGGGGAGCCTGCGGGTCTCACCTAGAAAATGGCGTTTCATTATATTCAACGCTGGTTTTCTGTGGAGAGCCCCTTCGGCTCCCCGGAGCTACCTAACCAAAGATAAGAAAAATGGGACTCACCCGGGATGCGGTCGTCACTCGCTCCTCAACTCTAAGTCAAGACAACTGGTCGCAACCTGCGACCCAAAACTATACTACCCGAGAAGAACACTAACAAGGTAACGTGCAGCCAGGACCCTGATCAACCTCCAAAAGCCCAGTGCCAGAAGACAGGCTAGGCCATATTACCAAAACAGCAGCCAAACGCTGAACTTACGAAAGGCGAGAGCGCGGGGATAGGCCGCAGGGTGGCAGGACTGAATAATCCTGCGGACAACCTGGGAGAAGGGAAACGGTCAACCCAAAGTGCGTCCTCTGCCAGAGGCCGTGGCGCGCAAATAACTGCGAAGAACCACATACACAAAACATGATGCACCCCCGGCCGAACAAACCAAGCACCAACAACCCAAGGACACCTTCAGAAAGAAGCAGATTCATTCTTCGCCAGAAAAGAAGGAGACAGCTGCAAACAAACGAAACGACCACCAGGACCGAAAGAGCAGAAACCCCTGTGCCATAGAAGAGCATGAAGCTCCCCGACCCAACCTCCAGAGGCCAATGCCAACAAGAAAAACAGTCCTAAACAGAGGGGGGGGGGGGGGCCACCACAAACCGAGGAGAAGAGAGAAAAGAGAGCACCCGGTCCAATGACCAGGACACCTCAGGCAGCGCATGAGCAGGCCGGAGGTGAAATAATGCCCGAGAAAGCTTGCGAAACGGAGCAGAAGTGACATCCAACCAGAATGCAATCTACAGCGGCTCCGCCAGGACCGCAAGACATGAGGCGACAGTATTTGGCATAAGATGACGGTCATGAAACAACAAAGAGAGAAAGGACAAAACAACCCGATCAGAAATCGAAGACAACCTGCAGAGACAAAAATGTCGAAAGGACCGCCGACAAATTTCATACTGCCGTCTAGACGAAGCTTGCAGGTGGGACACCATCAACGAAGCCACCTGATCACCATACAAGTGGTGATACACCCGCGTCAAAAAGACCAGACGCGAAGAGTGGAGGAGAAGATCGAACCAGCCACGTACCGGACCGGACCAATCTGCTGAAAGAGGCGGAGCTGCGAGAAGGCCCCATGGGTTCGGACACCTAGCAAACAGCGCCTGACCTAACAAAGAAACCCTAGCCCTTCACAAGGAGAAGCAACGAGAGGAAGCTAAGGAAATTTCTTCAGGGGAGGAGGAGGAGGTAGTACAGACTGTCCCTTCCTCAACAATTAAGAAGTGGTGTAGACTATGGGAAGAAAGGCAATCTTTTGTTGAAACAACTCACCCAGAGTAAGCTGTAGTTGGCCATTGCCTTAACCTCATTAGTGACACTGTGATGCCTCATTACAGACAAGTGTTACAACGTAGGGAAAACAAAGTCTATGGAAAGGTTTTGAGAGAGAAAAACATGCAGTGAGCCACAACCAGGTCCTAGTGGTATGCAGGCAAAACGTAGGAGAGAGGGTACCCCATAAAAGTCATCACTGCCTGATGTTATAATGGAAGGGGGCTCCCATTCCAAACACTAACACTCCTCCTCCTCCTCCTCCCTTCCTCACCATTTCCATACGCCAACAAGAGTCCTCCATAAAAATAAGGTACCTATGAGTAGTTTTCGATATAAAACATTTTTTAGTTAAGATTTTTGGGGATGTGGAACGGGTTAATTCAATTTACATTATTTCTTATGGGAAAATTTTTTTTGGTTTTCATAGTTTCGGTTTTCGTACCATCTCTGGAAATGGATTAACTAGGAAAACCAATGCACCATTGTATATCCATATTAGCCTGGATAGCTCCGGGGAGCCAAAGGGACTCCCCCAGAAAAATACAATAAATATTAGGATTCTGAGGACTTCAACAAACCAGTGAATTGAGTAAATGTATTAAATTGAGAATTTTAATTCAAAGTTTGACACACACCATGGTTGGTGAGCTAGGTAAAGCATATTAGTATTATCTGTACAGTTTTCTGTAATTTGGAAACAATTTTCTTTTCTGAGGAAGCATCCCAAAATAAATCTTATGGCCTAAGAGATTTCAATTTACATCCTGATTTCCAGAAATGCATCCTAGACTTAAACTTGGGAATTGCAGTATTAATACAGAATTGCAATGCTTGCTTTGAATCATTGAAGGTTTTCAATACTTTCACTTCATGAAATTATATATAAAAAGCAGTTATAGAACAAAATCATTGATACCTTTCCTACTACTGAACCTGTATTGTTACCCCCAATTGTGTCACTATTGTCTTCAACTCACAGTGATTAAATGATCCCAAAAATGCTAATTTAATTGACTCATTACCTTAAGTTGTTGCAGAAACACTGTGCTAAATTAGTAGCTTTTGAAAATACCGTACACAATTACTGTACCTGCTGAGTAACCACTGTAATCTGATTCTCTGTATACAGTACTGTATATTAGAAATAAAACACTATACAGATGTTGAAAAATTCAATGCAACCTTAATTAAATTAAAATTCATTCCAATGTAAACAAATGTTACACACCTGATTACAGTCGATGATGTTACATATATCGGATACGCAGGCATTTATATCTGGCATTGTCTGAGTGCCAAGAGTTGCTAGAGAGTCCAGTGACGGATGCTGGTAGAGTTCAAAGATAAGTACTACCGGAGTACGTGTCAGTGCCAGATACTGTGGCTCTGCCAGACAATGTTTATGCAGTGCATGCTCAATAGCTAGCTGCTGGTGCCGAAGGTTCATACGTATACACGCCTCGGCTGACTTGGGATCTTGACTACGCTCTTTCCACTGTTTGGCCAGCAGTTTACTTTTCTTAGCGGCTTCTACTTTGTCAGCTCCTGGAGGTAGTCTGTTCACCACCCAACTAGCACAAGCAGTTGCTAATTCATCATGCTGGATCTTACTGACCACTGACTGAACACGGGCCAACAGAGCACTGTTGCTACTGCACACTTGCCACTGGGGCGTCTTGACATTGCTCGTCTCAGACACTCCAGAGGGAGAGTTATATTTGGATCTTTCAGATATCTCTAAAGATTTAGAAACTGTATTCTGCGTTGCCATCATGCACAATTGATCTGGGTTTAATTTCAAGAAATGAGAAGCTTTAAGCCATTTATCAACAGTTAATATATTCAATTCTGCTTCAATTATTTTCATTACCAATTTACTCCTCCTGTAGAGGTCATGAAAAGGCAGACGATACTTAGCTATGTCAGGAGGACCTAAACTCTGAGGATGGCTGGAGACCCATTCATCTACTTCCGTATCACTTACTGCAGCCTGCCTAGCATATACCCAAAGAAAATTTACCACTTCCAAACCACGATTTAGCAAATCTAATTCTTCGGTGTCATCTTCAAGTATTATCAGTTGTTGCAATACAAGTTCAATAAATTCATAGCTGTAGGAACTTATCAAATCCAACTGTTCTAAGAGCATTTGTTGCAACTGTGACTTGTTGGTAATCTCAGCAACAATGGCTTGGCATTTGGACAGTAAAGCACGAGGAGGTTCAATATGTACAATACCACCTACATGCCGATCTTCACTGGACAATTCTGGTGTCCAGGAATGAAGTGAAGTTCTTAGATAGCAGAGCAATGCATCCGTCACATCCAATTTAAAACTCTTGCAATACTCATAGAGTATGGAGAAAGAGCACTCTGAATGAGATACCAAATTGACCATAACAGTTTTCAAAGCAGCACTCTCTCCTTTAAATGCTTCCTTGAATGATATATTCAGGTCACTCAGTCGCTTACCCCACTGAGCTTTCATTAACAACAACTCAAAGTGTTCCTTAAACTCTTGCAGTCCATGCAATGTACAATAGTCTCTACCTATAGTAGCAACAGATATAAGCCTTATGTAATCAAAGCCAAATCTTTTGATAAGTTCATTGAGTACTTTTAAAGCCTCTTTTTTCATCAGTAAGACAAGCAAGCTGACAGCAAGTTTTAAATCAGGCCGTGTACTCCCAACAACTTTTAATAAGAGTGTAAATACTTGTTGCCAATCAGGCATACCTCCAACCAAGGATGACTGGGTGCCTGAAATAACGCAGTGCTGAACTAGCAATAATGAGATAGAAAGTGCCAGCATATCTTGACCTCTTGCACGAAGATGACATATCACGTCCCGTAAGATATCTGTCAGATGTGCATTTCTAAACAAATTAACTCTTTCCTCATCAGTGTTTTGGTAAGGAACTGAATGAGCTTTACTTTTGTAATGAGAGAAATTCAAATGGACTTCCATGGCTTGTGTTATCAGTGAAGTAACTAAGCTACCTTCAATAGGCATACTGGCATCATGAAATAATGCACTAAACTTCCAATTACTGTAAGGACTGCTAGTCTCTACACCATCAGTGTTGGTGTACACACCCTCCACATGGCACTGTGCGTACAATGTCTGGCCCAGCCAGCACCAGCTCCCCAGCTCCAACAGCGGTTCCACACGGTCTGTTGATGTACGAAAATAATGTAAATACATGCATTATTAGCTAACACCTTTTATTGGAAATACACCAGAACAAAAGAAACTTGCCCAATCAATAAGGAAAGAATATATTTAAAAAATACTAAACAGGTCTAACTGCAGCTAACTGAGGGAGGTACCCCATCACTATGCCAAACATGAAGGTATTCCTGGTCACTATGCCAGGCATGAAGGAGGGAGAGATATTCCTGGTCACTATGCCAGGCATGAAGGAGGGAGAGATATTCCTGGTCACTATGCCAGGCATGAAGGAGGGAGAGATATTCCCGGTCACTATGCCAGGCATGAAGGAGGGAGAGATATTCCCGGTCACTATGCCAGGCATCCCCTCAAGGTTAAACATTAACACACTGATACAGTACACTCAGCTATGAAAGCACAGGTGTAAAGCAGCGCAGTATTAAAACCATCCTCTTATTAATGACCTACTTAATCTGACGACAATAACAATGATCATATGTGCCTATAATGCACATAATTTGTTTTTACTTGCAACAGGAGCAAGGTTACTTTAACAAACTTTTAGTAGAACAATGATAATTTAAAACATTTGCTAAATAAATATTTCTGTATCTATTTGACTCACCTGGATGCACAGATATCAGGGCTGAACTCACAAGTTCATACAACACTTCTACAAGGTCTGCACACGACTTAACGCTAGAATTCTTCTCTTGCAGTTCTGATCTATTCAGAGGCGACAATTCTCCATTTTCAACTAACTTTGAATTTTGCTGTTCAACAATTAGTTTAACTACTTCAGTAAGAATTTCTGTGTAATCCACAACTGTTGGGTCTGCTAGGATCTCTCTGAAAATTTAAAGAATTTATCATAAATTTTCAACAATATTTTATGAATACAAGGCACATTAATTTAATTTACCTTTGTTAAAGCATTAACAAAAAAAATTGATAAAACACCATTTTCTGGGCGAGCCTCAGAGGCTCCCTGAAGCTAGCTTACTGATCAAGTGTCACACTACTTGGGATCATCAGTCGCAGAGTTCTTGTACGTCTACCCGGGACCACGAGCCAGAACCTGACCTCTGGCGCCCCAAATGGCTTATGAACACTTTACATTTAAAGTTTATCATCTTGCCATCGGCCACGGAAGCACCCAGAAAGGTAGGCAAATCAAAATAGACTACTGCCTGGTTGAACAATGCACCCTCTACTCTTAAAATATCAAAGGAACTCCCCCAGAAAGAATACAAACACTCAAAACTTCGTCCAACTTACCCCGCTCGTTAGCTCCATCGCTGGCCTGGCACCACCAGCCAGTTCTTAAATGATAAAAGCCACTGACCGGAAGGAGGGAGGAAGCCTCTGGGGCTCACTCAAACTGGTGTTTCATCCCTTTCAACGCTGATTTTCTGTGGGGAGCCCTGTTGGCTCCCTGAAGCTAACTACCACAGAAAAGGAAAAACAGGAACTTACCAGGGTGGCGGTAGCACTGCAGGTATCGATCCGAAGACATTTTTGGCCACGACAGATGACCCAAAGCAACAAGGCTGCAGAGGGCCAGGGATGTTCACCAGATACCTGGCGGCCAAGACCCTGTTAGACCTCCAAAACCCCCGTGCCCGAATATCGACCCAAGACATGTTCCCAAATACAGCCGGCAGAGCGGCATACTTCGCTCATATGTTTTAGATTTGAGGAGTTGGACTGAAGGTTACACTGAGAACTTTGGGATAAATAGAACTAATAACAACCAGCATTTAACCAGGTAAGTGAGGTTAAAGACTGGCCCCTGTTATACTGACATCATGGGTAAGAGGGTAGACCACAGACTGGCTAGACTTAACACTGCAGACAACCTGAGACACAAGCCCTGGAACAGGGAACCAGGGAAACCAGATCTACCCAAAGTGCGTCCACCTACACAGAACCGGTCACCCGCAGGTAGCGGTGTAAAGCCGTCACTGGACCTAACACATGCTGCACCCCCGGCCAAACCAACCAAGCACCAACAACCAAAGGACCCCTCTGGAAGCCCATCATCTCATTCTTTACTAGAAAAGGAGACAGCTGCAATCAAACAGAATGACTCCAATAAGCAGGAAACCGTGGCCAGACAGACTGGTGATCGAAAGCACATCAGTCAAGAACTGACTGGTTGCAGGTTGGCTTCCCCTCCCCACCTCCTGGGGTGGGGAGTGGAACTAAATAGTGGGAAATTAGTTGGATAAAGTTTGTTGCTTGTTTGTTTTCTTTGTTGGGAGGTTGTTTGGTATTTCGAGGGCATAGGTTGCATTGTTCAACCAGGCAGTAGTCTGTTTTGATTCGACTACCTTTCTGGGCGCTTCCCTGGCCAATGGCAAGATGATAAACTCTAAATGTAAAGTGTTTGTGAGCCATTGCTCCTTGCACCTCTGTGAGGGGGCCGGGGCTCATGGTCCCGGGTAGGAACACAAGAACTCTGCGACTGATGACTCCAAGTAGTGTGGCAATCAGTAAGGAATCCATTGAAAAGTTAGTTAAGGAAGCCACAATTGCAGTAACTAGACAGGTGCATTAGGGATGAAATCAAGAAGGAATATGTTACAAGTACAAAATTTATCAAGAAAACATTACACACAAGCAAATCCTTAATCACTTTTTAATGTTAAGAAAATGAAATATTGTAACAAATAGAAAGTGCCACAGAAGATGAAAAGAGCTTTGAGAAAGTCATAGGTCTAGTAGATGGCCTACAGCATAAGAAAGTATATATTCCTTGGCATCCAAGGCCATGTCATAGTGAGTCACACTAGCAGGAATGAGTGCAACTGATGCAGTGCAGCGGCCTACTAAACATCTGACTAACAAGAAAAATCTGATGATGCCTCGAGGGGATGCCGAGGAAAAGAGTAAGTGAATCGGGAGGGACAACACCCAAATACCCCAATCTGGAGCCCCCAAGACAAAAACCTCCCATGGAAAATCTCCCAAGCCTCTTGACACTAGCCTCCAACCCAACAGAAGGTGGTGCCCACTCCAGATACATGTCCAGAGCCAGGGTAAGAGCACAACAAAGACACCTAAAAGAGGCACTGTAGTATCAGTACCTTAAACTTCAGGAGGCTGTCGAGAGCCACCACATACAAGTGAGATGCAAAGACATGAGATGTAGATATGCACTGACAGGAATGACATAAATGTTCTTCAAGTGATGAGAAGGAATCCAGCATCCTGGCATGGGCAAGTGGATGAGTTAAATAAGGAAATGGTACCAATGGGCATCAAGGGGAAACAATAGAAACTAGAGGTAGATGTTTATATAAGCTCATATGGAAGCTTTCCTCATGTAATTGTTCTCTAACTTTTTCAAATGTACCCCAGCCATAAGATGTATGGATACAAGCAGTACAGTATACTGTATGCAGAAACCAGCTACTTACCAAAAACTTTAAATATATTTCAATACACAAATTAACTCATTGTCAACATTAAGCCTACCATGTTTCTAAAAAGATAGTACAGTACAGTATTATATAAAAAAAAAAAAAAATTGAGGGCTCAAAATATTTTGCTACATCCGTTCATTTATAAAACTACAGTACAGTAATGCTCTCTTTAATAAAGATGCCAAACTTACTGGCATATGTAAACTGCTGTCTTCAGCTCACCATTCTTGGCAGCTAATGAGGCCAAGAGAGATAACAAATGACCCTGCGAAATTCCTAGCAAAGATGCCATGTGTTGAAAATGGCTCAACCTTCTCGAGGAACTTCTTTCCTCTTTGTTGACGGCAAGAGAGGTCTTGCCGTCTCCTGGTGTCCCGGTGCTCTTGGAAGCTGTGTCCTCGTATGTCTTTCCTTCAGTAACCCACAAGGTACCATTCTCCTTGCACCAATTTGACACTTCATCCTCAAACAATTTCTTGCAAAAGCTTTTGTCATTTAATTCCTTCAGTGTTGGGAAAAGACTATAGCGAACCTGCAAGATTGATTTTCATTTAAAAACATTCTAGCTCTGTAAATCATGTAAAGTATAACACGCTGGGAATATACATAACAGCAAGAACAAAACATCTGGAGATGTCAAGTAAGGATCAGTGATACACGAGAAAAACTGGAAAAATTAAATACCCAGTAAATACTTTTTATAGCAGCCAATTAAGGCAAGTTTCCAAAGTCCCTCGAGACAAATTTATTTTAATTATTTATGCAACATTCTTACCATTTTTTGTATTTATATGATATTTATTTATTTTAATATCACTAGAAAATCATTCCACTTTATATTAATTTACTACTTATTTAATAATTATTAAATGCATAAAAACTACAGGCTTCTCGTATAATGGGTCTAGGACTTCAAATCAGAGGTGACAAATTAAGATAATTCTCCAAGTTTTGTCACCTAAAGCTTTATTAAATACTTTACAATAGTTTCACTGTGTGTACCACCATAAAAATTTGACTATGGTGTTCAATATTCAATATACTAAGATCTTAAAAATTAAGGATTTAAACATTTATTACAATGAATTAACATGATCTATTCACAAGATCAGCCTACCATTAGGTAGGCTGAGGAATGAAATCGTATACAGTACACTGTATATCAATTTTGCACTCCTCTGCTAATCTGAGGAAGTGCAAGTTTATCATACAATGATAAATAGCCAAGTACTGTGCCCTTTAACCACTGCACTACACAATGCACCTTGAGGCTCTTGACAGATGGTGCACAACGAGTCTCAGGGATCTTATAGGTATAGCGTATCATTCATAACTCCCGCGGCTACATGGGGTTCACATCAGCTTCCTCAGGGGTCTCCTAAACAGACACCATTTAAAAAAAAATCGTCGGCAACATTCCCTGGTGTGAAAGCCTCAGTACCGAGTGAGTAACCAAGGATGGCACACGCAGCATAAGTTAACAGCATTGTTGTTCAGCTTGTGACCACAGCATCACCTAAAAATGACCAAATATATATGTATCTGATATTATTTAGCCATGATATTACAAAAGAGCCTGACTGTGATAAAGACTGTGTACAATGTTCAAATATCAGTGAATAAATGATGTTCAAGATGTTCACAGCGCTAGCCACAGCACTCTCCAATTACTTCGTCCATCTAAAATTCTCCCAGCGATTTCTCATGTTCCTTTACAAAATAAACATGTGGAAAATTATTCATTTACATGATTTAGTGACCAGAATTCTGATAATAGCAGGATTGTGGTGAGAATTAGCGATGTGAATTAGTGGTGGGAGGAGTATTTCTGGCAAGGGAGGGAGGGAGGGAGAGGTGGCATAGGCTGCTGGCTGGTGTGTGGCAACATGATATTGTCTGGAGTCACCATGCCAGCTTAGTTGTTCACTATGTTGAACACAAATGTAGATACTTGTATATAACGTGTGTATAGTGTAATAACAGCAACAGGCTTATGTTCGGAGGAGCCATTTAGGTGAGGGAGTGAATAAGGCTGTCGTCTGCTGTGTGACTTGTCATGCAGTGGTCACTATGCTGTTTGGACACCATACCAGCTCATTAGTAGTTATGGTGAATAAAACATGTTGATACTTATATAACATGTGTATATAGTGTAATAACACCACAAACGGTATTGTGGGAGGAGGAATGTTGGCAAGTTAGGTTTACAGAATTTACTTCACCAGGATTTACAGTGTTTTCATTGGATTTTTGGCACGTTTGACCATAAAAATTGTTATTATATATCTCACCATGGGTCCCAAGAAAGCCAGTGGTAAGGATCAAGGCAAGAAATCGCATGTGAGGATAACAATAGAGTAAAAACAAGAGATCATTCGGAAGTATGAAAATGGTGCACGTGTTGTTGAACTTTGGAGGCAGTACAACAAAACCCACGTCAACAATATGCACTATACTTGCCAAGAAAAACCCCTGGAACGAGTGCAGATACGATAGACTTTAAGGCAAGCAGAGGGATGCTTTAAAAAATTTAGAAAAAGAAGTGGTATTCATAGTGTTGTGAGGCATGGGGAGGCTGCCAGCTCAGACAAACCAGCGGCTGAAAGATTTATTGAAGAATTTAAAGAGTTTGCAGAGGCTGAGGGATACCTACCGCAACATGTGATGAGACAAAACTGTTCTGGAAAAGATTGCCTAAAAGGACATACCTGTACATTACCAAGGAGAAAAATCATTGCCCGGACACAAGCCTATGAAAGATAGGTTTACGCTTATGCTGTGTGTGTTCAAATGCGAGTGGCGATTTAAAAATTAAACCCTTGCTTGTGTATCATTCTGAAAATCAAAGGGTTTTCAAACAGTATAAAGTACAGAAAAACCAAGAACCAAAAACCAAAAACCAAACTCACCCCCCCATTGCCCCGTCAATGGGGCGAACCGCAAAAGGTCCGATGCCACTTACGAGAACCCGACCTGCGCGCAGAGCAAGCACTGCATCGACCAGATGCAGCTGGGACCGAAGGTTACACCGGCTCCGAAACTGGCACCTGTGGCCCACCTTGACGGGCGAAACCACGGGCCCTGGCATGACCCTTCCGAGAGGAACCCACCCTGGACCCCCGGAGAACCAAAAGGTCAGACACTGGGCGGCAGCTGGAAAAAGCCGCCTGCATATACTGTTCGACCGCAGAAGCAATAAACAGCAAAGGACAAAAGGGCAAAGACAATCTAAGAGCCAGGGTCCAAGCGGATTCCAAGAAGGAAGCGAGCACCACCTACCGACATGCGAGGCGCACAACAAAAAACCGCAACAGCACATCCCGCAGGATCGCCACAAACAGTTTCAAAAGGGCAGACGAGGCACAAGCAGCTGAAGCCAAGGCACTAGACCCAGGAACGGCCCCAAGCGCCTCTACATCCTCCGTAAGACAATCCGAAGGCAGCTCAAGGAGGGAAAAGAAACGCAGGACCGAAGCCAATGAGTCCTGCACACGCAAATCCTCAGCCACAAGCGCTACTGACAAGGAGGGAACCTGCACGTGAAGCTGAACCGCGCCAACATCCCGCAGAAGAGCCAGAGTGAAAAGGCACTCATTAAGGTGCGCAAAGTCGCCCCCAGGTAAACCTGGACCACAGTCAATGCCTCACGCCACTCCAGCGTGTGGTTACGACAGAAGGTGTCCCAAGCACCCAGCGAAAACAATGGGCAGTCTGCATGCCAGGACGACTCCGGAACCTCATAACGAACCCAGTATAGAGACAGACCCAAACCTGAAGGAAGACAGATAGAGAGGAATACTCCGGGTCGCACAGGAGGTAAGCCGCAATGGCTGCCCGCACCTCAGGCGGAGAGATACGGGAAGCCGAAAACCTCCGGAAGGTTGAGACCGAAGAACCCGCAGGGAGACAGAACCGAACCCAGGGAGGAGTAGAACCCAAATCCAAGTCGTACGTAGAGGGAAGAAAGGAAAACCCCACTCCTTGTAACAGCAAGCCCCGCTCGGAGGGTCGGAAAAACCAGGCGGGGTCCAACAGGGCCCAAGGCTCCCAAGTCAGCTCCTCCCCAACCCAGGGAACCTCCACGTCAGGCCCCGGGGCCAAGTTGTCCTCCAAAGCCCCGGCCTCACAAGAAAAAGTCGGGGCAGCCAGAATAGCAGGAAGAGGATGGGCCCACTGGTCAGACCTCGGAGCTTCGGTAGGAGGAACCAACTTGAATGCTTTCGCATTCAACCGAAACTGCCCGAGTCCCAGAAGCCTCTAAACCCTGTCCCGACCCCGAAGCCCTCAGACGCTTAGGAGCCGGAAGAAGGGGGAGGGGGGGTAGTAACCAAATGAACCACAGCAGGGAAAGAACGAGGGGCGCGAACGGACCAAGGCCGAAGCGACCAACACCCCAAAGTACAGGTCCCTATAAACAAAACGGGGCAGCCTCGGGGCATCCGGGGAAGCAACCAACATAGCTCGCTGCAGTAACCTAAACCTATCCTGCAACATGCGACCCAAATATCATCATCACCAGATTGGGTGAACTGAGTCACATCAAGCAACAAAGCTCGCAGGACTCAGGGTCAAATGTGTCACCAACCCAACAGGCAGCATGACAAGAGGCAAAAACAACGAGGGTCGCCCTGAGACAAGGGGACAGAACAACCCTCAAACTCGCAAAAAGCGAGAGGAGATACAGGGGACACATCAATTGGACCTAAGCACCCAGCAGGGAATCCCAGGGCCCCTAGACTAGGTCTGCTAAGGGTTATCCCAGGCAGGGTACTGCTAACCGGCACCCAAGCTACTAGTGCAAAAAAACTACCACTTACCCCAAGGCAAACAAGGGAGCAATCCCCCAAAACACTCGGGGCGGTCAATTGCCAAGCAGCGAAAGACCAACAAAGGTAGACCCAAGGTGACTTGTGGAAGGCAACCCCAAGCCCTTAGGGCAGTACTTAAAGGGCACTTAGGGAAAGGAGCCCTAAGCGCATGCAGCCCGAGTACCTGTGAATATAACTCCCAGCTCACACACCACCGAAGAGAAGTACTGAACCCAGGCAAAGCACAAAGATAATCTGGAGCTGGACCCACAACGTCTAAGTCTTATCCCATCAGCCGAGGAACTGAAGGCGTGGATCACCGGCGCAGGGGTCTGGGGCTCCCCTTTTCCCCTCATGGGGAGGGGGGAGCTGCACAGACGTGCAGCGCAGCTCGTTTGAAGTCGTGCTTGTTTGCTCGTTTTCCCTTGGGAGAGTTCTGTCCACTTTAGTTATTTTTGTTAATTTCACCAGAATAGGGGTTTGTTTTGGGGAGCTTACCTTTCTGGGTGCCTGTCCCAGTTCATGGCAGATATAGAATGCTCCAAAATCACATGTGCATTTTTATAAGCCATTGCTCCTCGTGCCTCTCTGAGGGGCCCAGGTTCTGGCCGTGGTCCCCGGTAGGCCTAGACTTCACCCACATCGACTGATGCCAAAAGTTAGGACTATCCTTATCAGCCTGGATAGCTCTGGGGAGCCGTAGGGGCTCCCCCCAGAAAATTCGTAAGTGGGGGCAATAAGAAGTCGAGGTGTCACTGTACATCCAAATTCCAAGCTCTGTAAATATATTTCACTGCTTATTATGTTCAGTATATTAAACAAATACAAATTTTATTCATGTACTAGTCAATAAATATCCACTTATACTTGCCTGTAAAATGTGAAGTTTGTGAAAATTGGCAAATAAATTTTCATCAAATGGGGTCCCAGTCGTGCAATGCCACTTTATTAACAACATCTCCAGTGCTACCATACCCTCAGTCACAGCTAAATGTAGTTCTCGTCCCTGCCAGAAAGGTAACATTAGATTAACGATACAAAAATATTAATTTATAAACAAGTTTTTCTCCCTTTATATAAATTATTAAATCAGTAAATAAGATTCATTATAATAGGGAGTTGGCTCAAATTTTGCCATTATGTTATTTAGCTCACAAAGGTGGTGGTACACCATGAAAAAAATTATAAATACAATTTCCACTAATTGAATAGTTTTGGTTCTTGCCTGTCCATATTGTCTGCTATTGGCTCTAGTCAGAGTATGGGTTTAATTGCTTTGTTGTGGGGGCAGTGCTGCTACAGTCTAGAGTGGTTATCTTGTGGGCAATTGGGTTCCTATCTAGAACACCATTTGGTACTCTATATAATGCACAGAATGTACCTGGTAAGGCTTTGAGCTTAAGTAAATGCACTAATTGCCTATATTCTGTGCAGAAGTGAATATGTTCTAGTATGACCCAGCAGAGACAGCTCATAAAGTTATCATCTCTACCAGCAAAAGTCATCTCCCTGCCCCAAGTGCACTAACTACCAACCATGGGCGAGCAAGACCTTGACTTGGGGAGCTCACGAGATAAATACAGTAACTGGGAAATAAAACTATATATACAACAGGTCAAAGATGCTGCAGATGAAGTTATATTTTACCTTCTGTCCTCTTGGAGGAAAGAGCATAGTTTGAGTAGCAAATGTAATCAGCATTTGAGAAGTCTGTCTTTGAAGATTATTACTTGATTCCTGAAGAAGTTTTTTCACACCATCTGCTTTCCTGCCAAATAAGGTAAACATTAATACAGTACTGTATTATAGCAATGAAATAGATGAAATAATTATAAAATAGATGCATCAATAATGAAATTAGTAAAATAGTAAAATATGTGCATCAAGCCTCAACCCTTCCCCACACTCATGACAACCAGAGTCAGGAGAGTTAAATTACAACACAACAGGTACTGGGTACAAGGCTAGTAGGTACAGCTTAAACAGCCACACCTCAAGGGTCCCATAATCACTATCAGGTAAGCACCTGTCCTTACAGGCTCGAAGGGTAATTTAAATTGTCATTAGGCAAGGAAATTGTTCTATTCCCATCTGGATCTGGATTTACTGAGCATAGTGCACCAGTACTGGGAAATGAGTACCCACTATTTTGGCAGCTAGCATCACTATCTGTGTACAGGTAGTCTCAGAACTGAAGGACAAGAGCTACAAGGAGAGGTTACAGGCATTAAATATGCCAAAACTAGAACACAGAAGAAAAAGAGGCAATATGGTCACTACGTACAAAATAGTAACAGGAATCGATAAAACTGATATGGAAGAATTCCTGAGATCTGGAACTTCAAGAACAAGAGGTCATAGATTTAAACTAACTAAACAAAGATGCTGAAGAAATATAAGAAAATTAACTTTCGCAAACAGAGTGGTAAACGGTTGGAACAAGTTAGGTGAGAAGGTGGTGGAGGCCAAAACCGTCAGTAATTTCAAAGCGTTATATGACAGTGCTGGAAAGACAGGACACTACGTGCATAGCTCTCATCCTGTAACTACACTTAGGTAATTACAGTAATGTGGATAAACACCAGGATGAGAGTAGATTATATTTTCTCTGTTATCTCTTTTCCAATGAGATGAGCCGCATGAAGGTTCGTTTGGTGTACAATATATTCCATGAGCGGCTCATCATAGAATGCTGTAAAATAATCCAATTCACACGTCCTCACTATTATCACGGAAAAGCTCTATAATCTCAAAGTCTTTATTGTCAAAGGCAGGAATTAGAGGAATAAAATCGTCACCATAACTCCACACAAGTACATCTGGTGTCCTGCGAGAAGCAACAGGAACACGAAGGCGAGGAAGCGATACACTCCGTGGACCAGGAGTTGAAGCCCGTTATACACAAAGTACGGACGCTACGTGAACGTGAAGTGAAAGTACGTGAACATGAGGGTCTGGTTCCTCATGTGGTGCCATGCGGTGGCGCTTGGCTGGGCGAGACGCTGTTGATGCGACAAATTCTCACCCAGTAACACCAGTGGTACTAGCAACAGGCTCGGTAAAACTATGTTCTGATTCCTCTTCACTAAAACCAGAAAATGATTCGCCTTCCTTTGACTCATCGCCCAAAATATCCTCATACCCTAAAGCACAGGAACTGTGTCGTCGTGGGTGAATTGGAGTAGACACTGGGCGAGGAGGCACGGGTAAGCGTGTAGGCCACGCCATGGGAGGAGGCTGTATCTCATTTTCACTGTGCTGCTATCATCGGTCAATTGTGTGTAGTCCTTATCATTGTCAGAGTCATCAAAATCACTTTCCTCACCATCAGAAAATAATTTACTAGTTATTTGCTCTTTGGTAAGTAATTGCGTGGTGCGTGCCTGGCAGGCGCTCGGTCGTGCGCTCGCCATGGTGACTGCTGGGTAACTGGGGCCCTCCCACGCGTTGGTCGTGTGAGCTGGATCTTTTTACAAAATGGTGGCTGTTTACTATAGCCACTATAGCCCCTGGGCAGCATATGGGGGCCCCCTCTACCCCACTGGCCATTCAAATCTTGGGCGATACTCCAGCACGTCATATGACATGATGCGCAATTTATAGCAAGTTACTCAACACGTCATGTGACGTGTTGCTCATTTTAAGGGTTAATGCCGTAGTATAATACAGGTAAAATTTCAGATGCCAAAATAAAAAAGTTCGTACACAGGTGGAAACAGTTCTAACATCTAATACAAAATATTTAGTACTGTAGACACTCGCTAATCTGGAATCCAACCATCCGGAAAATGCCCTTACCCGGCCAAAATCATGACCGGATAAAGTTAACTCCCATCCAGCCAAAACGTCCATGGGAGCCGGACCAGCGGGTGTTTGGCCGGATAAAAATCTGAGCCAGTTAACTTGAACTTGGGTGGGGTGGGCGGGTGGTGTCAAGAGAGAGGGGAGCATTAGGGGGGGAAAGCCTGGGGGATGTGGAGGGGCCTATACAGTACAGTACAGTACAGGAATTACCAGTAATTTTAGAACAATTCATCAGTCAAAAACAAAAGAAATAATAATGTAATAACATATATACAAGTTTCCTAAAAACAATTTGCACAGACTGAAGTTTGCTCCAAAAATATTGAGTTTTTTCCGCCTGGCGGCCTACATAACGTGCCTGCCTGCCCCAAGTGGACCCGTCCAGGCCTGGTCAAGCCAAACAGCCCTTGTGCTCCCGTCCCTTGCATTATACCACAGTGCCGCGCCATTAGTGAAATATGTTTTTAAATAACTTTGTTTTCATAGTAACTTTGAACATTTTTTGCCAAGACTATGTCTGGTAGCAGCATCAATCATTCTGGAGGTGTTAAAGAGGAAAAAGGTTACCCTAACAATTAAAGACAAGTTACATGTTGTACAACTTTGTGTAAGAGGCCAGTCGACTTCAAGTGTTGCCAAGGAATTTAATACCTGTAAAGGTACTAGTACTGTTTCTAATATAAGGAAACAAAAAGAGCAATGCCTGAAATACATTTCAACCAGTAAGAGTGAAGGTGCAAGCACTACCAGAGGATGTGGTAGAAGAACTTTGAAAACGTACAAGTGGTTTGCTCAGCACCACACAGCTGGCGTGACAATTCGAGACCCAGAAATACAAAATGCTGCAAGCAGGTTTGCAGAAAGCCTTGGAATAAAGGATTTCCAAGCTAGTGAAGGGTGGGTTGCAAGGTTCAAAGGGAGGCACAATACTGTGAAGAGGAAAATTGTCGGTGAAAAATTTAGTGCAGATACAAGCAGTGTAGAACCATTTAAACAAATTAAGAACATACATTTTGTCAAATAATTTATATTCTTATAAAATTTATAATGCTGATGAAACTGGTCTGTATTGGAGGAGTTTACCAGAAAAAAACTCTAGCTATGAGGAGTGAGGGTTGTGTGCCAGGCCGTAAGGTTAACAAGGACAGGCTGTCGGCCATGATGTGTGCGAATGCCGACAGCACAGACCGAATCACGTGTGCAGTAGTTGGCAAATCAAAGAAACCAAGAGTTAAAAACTAAACCAAACCAAAAATCAACCAAAACTATCAAGTTAAGAAACTCAAAGTAAGGTCAAGCGAAGTTCGGGCTTTGCTGTTGCTTGATAATGCAAGCCCACCCCAGAATTGACACGTTAACCTCACATGACGGCAAGATAACGTGTATGGCACTTCCTCCTAACACAACCTCTCTCATCCAGCCTATGGATCAGGGAGTTATCTGTGCCACGAAGACATTGTACACCAAAAAGAAGCTCAATGAAGTTTTGGGGATTTTACCTCTTCCGGAAGATGTGGAACTCTGTGTGGATAACAGGGAGAAAAAAAAAAAAAAAAAAAAAAAAAAAAAAAAAAAAAAAAGAGAATTTGAAGAACTATTCCATCAAGGAAGCCATCTATAACTGGGCCAAGGTGTGGAGTGAAGTAAAGGAATCGACTTTGAAGAATTCATGGAAAAAACTCCTCACATCTACGGTCAGCAATGAAGAGGATGAAGAAATGAATTTTGAAGGATTTACAGATGAAATCCATGAAATGTTCAGAAATGCTGACGAAAACTTAGAAAGACAGGATGTGGTTGATTGGATTGAACGAGATGCTAATGACCCAGGATATGGTGTGATGAGTGAAGACGAGATTCTCCAGTCTATTACTGGTGAGGTCAACGAAGAGAAGGAGGATGAAGAAGGCAGTGAAGAATCAACACCAGACAGCAAAATACAGTTTACTCATGTCTTCTGTTGACCTGTTAATTAATTTTTCATCCAATTGTGCTCATCCAGAAGTTGGAAACATGCAAAACAGTTGGAAACACCTGAGGCAAACCAAAGAGCTGATCATACAACAGGCCAATGAACACAGTAGGCAAGCTATATTGGTTTTTTATATGGTAAGAAAATCAAGCAAAGCGCCTTCAACCAGCGAGGCGTCACAAGCAAACCAAGCACCTTCAACCAGTGCGGCATCACAAGCAAGTCAGGCACCTTCAACCAGCGAGGCGTCACAGGCAAGCCAGGTGCCTTCAACAAGTGAGGCTTCAGCAGCTCGCAGTCAAAACTAACTTTGCCTCATGAACTGTACAATAATTTTAAGTGTTAATTTTAGTGTTGTGTTAGTATAGGTTACGTAAATTGTCAAGAATTCTTAACTTCAAGATGTGTGGCATCAATCAAGAAGACGAACAACAAGGTAAGTTGAGGTTTCTAGTTAAATATTATATAATTTTATGTGGCAAGGCAATTCAAATTATGTTGTTTGTGGTATAAAAATAGTTGGAAACGGTCACTTTTGGACTCAGAGGTGAAAAAGTACGTTAATCAGGAAAATGTGATAATTGGGCTGGGGGTCCTTTTCATATAGTCCGGATTAGCAAGTGGAGACAGTATCAATATCAGAGTATGTGTGGTTTTATAGTATCAAGTGTTGGCATAATATAATATAATAGTCTGGTACCCATATCGGTCAAAATATTGGTATTGATACACTTGTGAGTGTAACAGTTGTACAATAATGATGTAGAGGAAAGAGGATATGGTTAAAGCTTTACTCTAAGTAATTTTTTGTTTCTTTTCCTGCATTACTCTCTTATTTTTCCCTGGGCTCATGTCTCTATCCCATGAGAACGGAAAAGTGAGATATATAGCAAAAGCCAACAACTGATCTTTCCCAGGATGAAACCCACAACAATCATAACAACCAGTATCTATTTACTGGTAGGTGAACAGACGTAAAATTTCCAAGACATCTCGTCCTGCTTGGAAACCACACCCAAAACCAATTGACTGTGAGCCGACTTATGACCATTGCAACATGTTCTAACCTGCACATGTATAAACAAGAAATTGAAATGTATAAAAAAAATTGTATACCTTGTTTTAAGGAGATAAATAGACCTGATAAAATATGCATCTACTTTGGATAGATGTTTATAGGCAGCAACCACATGAAGAGCGTCCTCCATCTCGTTTCCTTCATCATGAGACAATATGTTTTTTAACATCATCTGCAATAATAATGAACATTAGGAGCATAAAAGGACAATTTAAAAAAACTAGCGTCGAGTGTAATGAAACACCATTTTTTTGTCGAGATCCGAAGGTTCCCCGGATCTATACCGTGCTGATGTGTATAAGACTGTGGCAACAGTCAATCAAAGGAGGTCTAAGCCTACCGGGGACCAGAGCCAGAACCTGGCCCCTTCAAGAGAGGCACGAGGAGCAATGGCCTAAAGACACCCCCATGTAATTGGAAGCAGTCTTTGTCTGCCATCTACCAGGTCAGGCACCCAGAAAGGTAGGAATTCAAAAACAAACTACTGCTGGTCAAATAAATTGCAAACCGAAAGCCGAACTAGCAACAGAACTCCCCAATCAAAACCAAGGAAACAAGTATGACATCACCACAAACGCCGCCCATCCGTCTGCGCAACCCCCCCCCCCGGAGGGGGAAGGGAAGGGGGGGTCCCAGACCCCCACGCCGGCAACTATCCTCAGTTCAGAGGTTGAGTATCAAAAAACGCGAAAAACCGCCTACCGGAGGGAGGGAGGGATGCCGGGGAGCCTCCGAGTCTCCGAGTACTAGTACTTACAGGGCACCTAGGAAAGGCGGCCCTAGGTGCATGCAGCTGCAGTAATCGTGTTACGTCTGGCCCACACACCACCAAAACAGAACACCACCACCAGAACAGAACCACCACTGCACTGCAGCACTGCGTAAAGAGTGGAGCTAGGGCGATCAACTGTCACCAACATAACAGCCTCTTTAACTGAGGAGAGTTGCCGGCATGGAGGTCTGGGAACACCCCCGTCTCCCTCCCGGGGAGGGGAGGTTGCGCAGACGGATGCACGGCGTTTGTGGTGACGTCATACTTGTTTCCTTGGTTTTGATTGGGGATGTTGCTAGTTGCTAGCTAGAACTGTTGCTAGTTCAGCTTTCGGTTTGCAATTTATTTGATCAGCAGTAGTTTGTTTTGGAATTCGTACCTTTCTGGGTGCCTGACCTGGTAGATGGCAGACAAAGACTGCTTCCAATTACACAGGGGTGTCTTTAGGCCATTGCTCCTCGTGCCTCTCTTGAGGGGGCCAAGTTCTGGCTCTGGTCCCCAGTAGGCTTAGAACTTCTTCGATTGACTGTTGCCACAGTCTAATATATACACATCCGCCCAGTATAGCTCTGGGGAGCCGAAGGGCCTCTCCACAGAAAAGCATGATTTTCCCTGTCACAGGTGAGGTATATATAGAGTAGATGTATAAAAAGGCGCGCCTATTCGAATGCAACGTTGTGTCAAAATTTCAAAGCAATCAGTAAAGAGGTTTTAAAAATCACTGACATGATTTCCCTCACTTGAAAAACTTGAAAAACGCAGTTTTTCAGAAAAATCATGTTTTTTACCGTCACAGACATGACATCTATATAGTATGTATATAAAAACCTGTTAGGATGCGAATGGAACGTTGTGTGAGAATTTCAAAGCAATCGGTGAAGAACTTTCGGAGATTAGCGGTTATGCACAAACGAACATTTCCATTTTTATTTATATAGATAACGCTCTGCCTTTCCTAGCAATCCAACTTCCAGGAACTTTCACTCTCGCAAGAGCATTAAAGATGGTGAACAGGTTTGATTACTACCTGACAAGAAGCATTTAAAAATTCCTGTTGTACCATTGCAGAATGTTGACCTGCCATGGAAACTGCAGGATCTTGTCCAAGACAATAAGTTTCTTTACCTCAGGAAACATCTTTATATTTACACTCAAAATCTGATATTTGATTTATGGGTAAGTATATTTATCAAAAGTGATTTATAGGTAAATATTTATTAGGTTAATGTTATTATTAAAGCACTGACATGTTGGAACGTTTGTACACGAATTATATTATTATTATATTATTTTAATGAATTATATTATTATTACAATTAGTATTATAATAATAATTATTATAATAATTATAATAATAATTATAATAATAATATTTAATAATTATCACTCTTCCTTCTGCTTGGTCTTGAAGGAAGTCGGCCTCAGGTGAAAAGAGGGCTGTGATGATCTCTATCTGGAACCCGTAGGTGTGGGACTGGGATGTCCAGCTCTTGGGGCTTGTGCGGCCCAGTCTCTGATTCAGGAGGCTGGGGTCGTTCTTGATCTTGATGGGGCGGTTCTTCTCCGGCCCCAACCACGGCTGTCTCCGGGTTTAGAGTCCCTGTGCCTTCTTCACCAACTTCGAGGTCAACTCTGGAGTTCACAGCTCCTGCAACAGCGCTGGAACCAATTGTATTGGCATTTGCCTTTCTACTGGAGACTTTCAATGCTGTAGAGAGGGGGAACTTGCTGCATGGGTAACAGCTTCTCCCCATCAATCTACCCTGGCTTTGTGCCCTGGAGTGACCACTCCAGACCAACAACCCAGAGTGCAACTCCATAGTCTCCCGAGACTGATGGATGCCTACTACTACGACTACATGTTTACATCAGGCATTACTGATATGACTGTCAATGGCTGTCATTTGATAATCAAGCTGCCTTTTTCACCTGGTAGTTTGGACCTCGTCTATAATATCCAAATAGATTGAAAATGACTGTAATTCATCCTAATAATCTGAAGATTCAGGTTTCCAGGCAATCTCTTTGCTATATTATCATCTACCCCTAACATTTAATAAACATCAATAATTCATATACTGTACAGTGAAAACCTCGGCTTACGAATGCCCATTTACGAGTTTTTCGGGTTACAAGCTCAATTTCTTCGTAAAATATTATTCAGTTTACGAGCTTTGCCTTGAATTGCGAGTTTGTTGATACACGTATGGGTCGACCGAGCACGTGGTTCCTGGTGGAACGGACAACCACACCTCAGTTTAACAGTGCCTCCTGTGTAGTGAAGATCGCACTTGAATTCTTTGTCAAGAATTTCATTGTTTTTTGGCTTTTTTGGTTTATAAACATAAAAATAATTATTATATAACATGCCATGGGTCCCAAAAAGTCAGTGGTATGGTTCAACCTATGAAAACCACATGTGAGGATGACCATAGAGGAAAACAAGTCTTTATGGAAAGGTTCTTAGTGAGACAAACAAGCAGTGAGTCACAACCAGGTCCTAGTGGAATGCAGTGGTAACGTAGGAAAGTGTACCCCCAGAGCAGTCATCACTACCTGATGTTATAATGGAAGGGGACTCCCCCTTCCAAACACTAACACCTCTTCTCCTCATCGTCTTCCATACGCCAACAAGAGTCATCAATAAAGGTAAGCTATAACTTGTACATACTATAGTACAAAATATTTGTGTTTATTATGAATGAAATATTGAAGTTAATATTTTGGGGAGTGTGAAACGGATTAAATTTACATTATTTCTTATGGGAAAATTAGTTTCGGGTAACAAATTTTTGGGTTACAAGCTATCTCTGGGTTATCTTGAGATGATTTCAGGGCTTTAGTGTCTCGGCGGCCTGGTCCTCGACCAGGCCTCCACCCCCAGGAAGCAGCCCGTGACAGCTGACTAACACCCAGGTACCTATTTTACTGCTAGGTAACAGGGTGAAAGAAACTCTGCCCATTGTTTCTCGCCGGCGCCCGGGATCGAACCCGGGACCACAGGATCACAAGTCCAGCGTGCTGTCCGCTCGGCCGACCGGCTCCCGGTCCGGTCTGGGTACGGATTAAATTCATAAGCAAGGGTACCACTGTACTTTAATTAAATGTCAGTATAATTATATACAGCTGTATTTAAAAGTGAACTTCCCTACAACCCAAACTTTATATTAACTTGTAAAGTGATAACTTGCCTCAGCATTTCTTGGATCATCTATATTAGTGAGATGGAGACCATATCTTCTTAACACCAACTTGAGGTCCACTAAACGCCTCTGATCCTCCAGTTGACTGCTGAGGCTGGTATTAAGGGATAGTCCTAAGTCACACACTGCTTGTGTGCCAATACTCCAGGGTACGGGAGCCACACGAATACACTCCAGGATACATTGTGCACGAACCTAAAATACAAAATTTATTAGAAAAAGCTAATAATTATAAACTAGCTTCTCTGAAGGTTAATATTAATACAAAATTACTTCTAAACAGTTCAAACTTACTACATTTGACAAATTACCATTTTATAACCATTTAGAACATGTCCCATTACTGTTTTAATACCAACATTTTTAGGAGGCCAAATAAACTTCAGCGACTTATCTCTCAAACTTATTTGTAATATTTTATGGGAGGAGGCTGAAGAGCTTTGGGCCTGATGCTCATAAAGCCCTCTCTGTGACACCTCTATTCTTTACTGGCCCTCTACTGCATTTCCTACTATATAATTTGGCTGAGTAGGTTGTTATTTTGATGACCAAACCACACATCAGAAAGTGAAGAAACGACGTCATCGTCTGCAAGTTATTTTCTCGTGCATATTGGGGAACCTGGCCTTCCAGGTCAGGGCAGGAAAGCAAGAGTGATATGAAAGGTAGGAGCATTGTGATAGCAGTATTCTCTTTGAAGTTTCTCATAATCCACACCATCAATCATTTATTGGCTGATGCTACACCTCCTTAGTTATACCCACTAAACATTAGGTTTCCAACATTATTATTCCTAGATCATTTACATGCCATTTTCTGTCTATAAGGATGTCCAGTTCCATCTTTTATCCAGTATTCTGTTAAAGTTCTTAATTTTGTTCATGTCTTGGAATAATCCTGAAATATTGTTACCATGTAAAAGACTTATATTAATATTTGTACTTTTTCATATAATTTTCATGCTGATTTTGGTATCACCTCTTAAAGATGACAAAGATGTTCTGTAATTGTGTTTATTCTATAAGGATATGAAAAGTACTGGTGCAAGGACAGTGCCTTGAGGTGCTGAGCTTGTCACTGTACTTAAGACTTAATTTGTTTAAGTTTACAGCTAGTGTTGCTCCTTGTAAACAGTTTGTCAAGAAGTTGAACTGACCCACTTAACTGTTATTCCTTTGGACCTCATTTTTGGGGCTATCACTACATGGTTAAATTTATAGAATAATTTTGTAAGGTCCATGCATAGAACATCTGCATTATGGTATTCTAATTTTGTTTTTTTATTTATTTGATTTGTAATAACTCTTTCAAAGATTAAAAATGTGTGACATTAATGTTGTGTATGAATAGTTTTCTTTTGCTATTGTTTTGCTCAAGACAACAAGCAGTTATTTCTTTATGTGTGTTATTTGTCAGAAAAGAAGGTGGTGTATGCATGTGGGATTCATATGGCAGTGAGGAAGTACTGTATATGATAGATGTGGTAAGAGTAAATAGGAGACAATAAATGTAGTGCTCACCTACATGATCAGTAGTGTCAAGCACTGTGCTTGTGGCAAGGACATGATAGTAGCATGCATAACTATTTAATAAGGTGGTTGTACAAAGGTACAATATGGGGATCATATGCCAGAGGCAGATGAGTTGGATGGGAAGAGTGGAACAATATATGAAAAGATATGGGGTTAGAGAGTTTGATAAGGATGAAAGGTTTGAATATTGAGTGCGCTTCCTGGAGAAACTACTGTTGTGGCCACCCCCATGGTAGGGACCTCCCAGGAGGGAGTAAGGTGTCCAACCTATATATAGAGACGGATAGATATTAATGTTTAAAAAAGGATAAGAAGATAGTTAACTAAGCTGAGACAAGTACAGTATTAGACCTGAGCATCAGATATGACATCTATGACAGCATAAAGCTTGTCCTCCCATGGTGCCTCTTGCCACGCCCACCAGTCCTGATCCGCCGAGGCCAAGGTGTCCAGCACATAGTGTTCCAGAGTGCCATCGTGATCAAGCTCGTGATGAATCAGATATGAATGTAAAAAGCCATTCATTAAGGGGGAGACCTCCTCACCACACACTAGCCAGTCCAGTAAAGCTGCTACGACAGCCTCTTTGTTTTCCTGTTCATCAAGAAAAGGAACTTATTAGAGAAAACTTAATTTACACAAAATCATTTTAAATATAGAAAACATAACACAAATATGTTGACCAAACCACACTAGAAATTGAAGAGATGACGACATTATGATCCAAATATTTTGGTCCAAATAATATAAATATTTTACACTGTTGGAGACAGAGAGCCTGTTAGGCTTATGGAGGCCAACATGTTCATGGACAAGTTCACCATGTTCATGAACATGTTCACCATGTTCATGAACATGTTCCCATGTTGGATGAACTACGCATCACTCGCACTATTCCCAACACAAGAACCTTTTCAAGGATCAATTGCTACAAATTCAGAAAAATTTATACATTGCAAGGGATGGACAATACAAATGAGCATGGAAGAATAAAACTTTCAGTGTGGGGAAGGGTACTGATGTCCTTGCTCAATTATCATACCATACATTAACTACACCTGGGTCAGGCTAGGAATCATCTTGAAGACAGTCCTGGCTCAAGATTCATTATACAGGTTACATAGATTTTTACCTAGATGGAAGTGTGGCTTCTATATCAGATTCTGTGCCACTATTTTGTTATTTTTTTTACATAATACTGTAATGTGTTGTTTTGGGAAATTCGACTGTATATTAATAGGCAAGAAATACTATATACTGTATATTAATTAGTAATAAATTAACTAATCATAAAAATGCACAAAATTCTAGTAAATATACTTTCTAAGCAAATATACATTTGTAAAATTCTTGATTAGTGAAGAAAATGCTTACCTGTGTATACTGACTGAACTCTATTTTTATTCTAAAATTTTCTGCTAGCAGTTGTAAATCCTGGAGTGCAAGAGCCGTCTGTCGGAGATGGTAGAGCGCAGACGTCGGACTGTGAGCTTTCCACTGGGCAACGTGAACGGCCATCTGCACCTCTATGTTACCACCTAGATAATGCAAGATTCAAAAGGACATTGTGCAAACATTATTTTGTATAAAATAAAATAGATAAATTATATAGTTTATATATACAGCATATGTATTATATAAAATGCTTCATTGCACACACATCAAGTTCACCCTGGCAAATAAGATAAGTCATTAATGAGTGCCACCAACTAAATAATCATATAATAGTCTAACCCCCAAATGTGAAAGTCGGCACCCCAACCAGTGGATGTTACAAGTTGTAGATTGAACACTGGTCTAATAGAGGGCTAATGATTGAAGATGTTGGTAGTTTCTCTCTATCCTCACAATGTTGGCTCCAGTTAAATAATTATTTTACTTGCTAACCTCTTCGTTCTCTTGACACAATCTTTAACTGTACGGAAGCTTCACCACAACCCAATCATGCAAGTTAAGATCCCATCGAGATACATTGGCTCTTCCTATCGACTTTGGGCTACAGTGCTCACCCTTTCACACTGGCAGCTAGCCATAAAATCCCAAACAATACTTAGTATAAACAGTAATAGTTTCCCCATTCACTGTAATGAATTTGCTGATCACTATATTCAAAACATTTTACAAAATAAATATCCCCACCATCCTTGTTTGGCATAGAATCAGTTCATGACTTGCTTTGGCATAGGCTGCTTTGGCCAAGTTGCTGGCAGTCACTCCCATTGACATCTTCACCACGGAAGCAAGTCATAATTGCTATCCACTTTTGACTTGCACATCAGTCTGCAAAACTCTCCAGTAGACATTACTTCCATATGTGAGAAAGCCTCGACTAACAGTTGGTGTCCAAGTAGGCCCCAGCTCCACACTGAGGTCAATCCATGATTCAGTTAACAGATTGGTAGAGTCCTAGAAACTAGGCTAGGAGGTAAATTGAGCAAGACTCTTCCTAATGGAGCTCAAAGCCAAGCATAACACTGGTGCCAGCTAATCGGACTAGTTGGTGACTACATCATGTTACTAAACACATTTTGATTGGCTGAACTGTTGGTGCTCAGCCAATCACATACCATCAAATTCTAGCGCCTTTTTTACAGGTAAAATAAAGTCTCATGATGATACAACAATAGATGCAGCTTAGTTGCAGCATTACAGCTTAGTTGGTTGACCTATTTATTGCCAAATACAATAATTTTTAGAATAATGCAACATTAACACCCAGGTATACTGTATAAATTCATCATAGTGCAAATTTTGTATTCTTATTCCAAGAGTGTGTGACTCAAACAGAAGAATGGCAATATAATGAGCTGCAGCATCACAAAACTAACGAAAGAAAAAACCATCACACGCATCAAAACATCCTACGCAAAAAAGATTATAGATAAGACACGAGTACAGTAATTACCTAAGTGTAATTACAGGATGCGAGCTACGCTCATGGTGTCCTATCTTCCCAGCACTCTTTGTCGTATAATGCTTTGAAAGTACCGACGCTTTCACCTAACTTGTTCCAACCGTCTACCATTCTGTTTGCAAAAGTGAATTTTCCGACTTTTTTGGGCAGCTTTGTTTAATTAGTTTAAATCTATGACCTCTTGTTCTCAAAGTTCCAGGTCTCGGGAAGTCTTCCCTATCAATTTTAACAATTTCTGTTACTATCTTGTACATAGTGATCATATTGCCTCTTTTTCTTCTGTCTTCTTGTTTTGACATATTTAATGCCTCTAACCTCTCCTTGTAGCTCTTGTCCGTCAGTTCTGGGAGCCACATAGTGGCATGTCTTTGCACCTTCTCTAGTTTGTTGATGTGCTTCTCAAGATATGGGCATCATACAACCGCTGCATATTCTAGCTTCGGCCTAACATACTTACGACATTATGAATGCACTTCTTATCCTGTAATTACACTTGGGTAATTACAAAATGGGGAACCAAGTCATGGAAAATGACAAGGAAATGTGTGAAAGCCTAAACAGTTTCAAAGTGTGTCTGAAAAATGAAGTTTTCAGAGAACTAGACATAATACAATTTTCAGAGCACAACAGAATATATAGAATTATATAGCACAACAGGTATATAGAAGTGCCTCAAGATGTTGTAGAACAGATGCTTAAGGAGCTAGGTAGAAACAAGGCAGTTGGCCCAGATGGAGTTTCACCTTGGGTTCTGAGAAAAGGAGCATCTGAGCTGAGCACCCCATTTCTATTGATGTTTCAGTCATCTTTATGTCCAGGAGTCTTGGCAGATAGGTGGAAAAAGGCAAATATAGTTCCTAGTCTACAAAACTGGTCACTAAGAAGACCCTCTTGTAATTATAGACCTGTACCATTGACAAGCGTGGCAATCAAAACACTAGAAAAAATAATTAAAACCAAATGGGAAGGATACCTGGAGAGAAGTGATATAATAAGACACACAGTATGGTTTTCAAACAGAAAGATCCTATGTGACAAATCTACTTAATTTCTAAAATAGACTCAGATATATTTTACAGGAAAAAGCTGGTTGGGTTGACTGCATTTATTTGGACCTAAAAAAAAATACTTTTGACAAAGTCCCATGTAAGAGGTTGAATTGGTAACTGGAACATACTGGAGGAGGTGACAGGAAGACAAGAATAACAAATTTCCTAACCGGCAGAAAAATGAGGGTGGTAATGAGAAGCATTGTATCAAACTCGAGAAATGTTACTAGTGCTTACCTATCTCATTCCCTAACTACAAAGGAGTGAGATCGACCTCTTTATGTCCTGCCACCTAGCCATTCATACCTGGCATGGTTATTACCTCCCTCAACATTAATGTATTCATCATATTTCTATTTTAAAGCTGTGGGCAGAATTGGCTTCAACAACCTCTTCCTTCAAAGCATTCCATTTGCCTACCTCCTGTACAGGAAATGAGAACTTCCACACATTCCTTAAACTTAACTGCAAGTCCAACTTCCACAGGTGTCTCTTTGTCCTATCTCTCTTTAATTTAAATAGGCTTCCTTTATCCACTATCTATTATCCCCTCAAAATCTTGTACGAAACTATTATTACCCACCCTGTTTCTTCTCTCCTCTAAGGTTATGGGGCTAAGTTCTCTTAACCTGAGCCGGTCGGCCGAGCGGACAGCACACTGGACTTGTGATCCTGTGGTCCCGGGTTCAATCCCGGGCGCCAGCGAGAAACAATGGGCACAGTTTCTTCCACCCTATGCCCCTGTTACCTAGCAGTAAAATAGGTACCTGGGTGTTAGTCAGCTGTCACGGGCTGCTTCCTGGGGGTGAAGGCCTGGTCGAGGGCCGGGCCGCAGGGACACTAAAAAGCCCCGAAATCATCTCAAGATAACCTATCCTCACAGCTGAGGCCTTTCAATTCTGGTACTAATCTAGTTGTAGACCTCTGACCTTTTTCAAGTTTCTGCTTATGCTTCACAAGATGCTGGTGCTACATACTCAAGTAATGGTCTCATAATAGGCAGTGTCCATGGACTTGAAAGCCTCCTCGTTTAGCTTCTTAAATGACGTTCTTATTTTTGCTAACATCCCACATGCTGATGACATTATCCCATTCACATAAGCATCTGATGCTAGTGTTGGGATTATGTCTACTTCCACAGGGTTCAGTTTCAGCACCCATTAATGTTGAATACAGTATAAACGATCTACCAGAAGGAATACAGGGTTATATAAACATGTTTAGTGATGATGCCAAGATACTAGGAAAGATAAAAAACTTAGACGAATGTCAGGCCCTTCAAAATCACCTGGACAAAATAAGTGTATGGAGTAATACTTGGCAAATGGAATTTAATATGAATAAATGTAATATTATGGAATGTGTAATTGGACAAAAATAAGTCACACACAACCAATAAATTATGTGTAAAAGTTTAAAAGAACTTTGATAAAGAAAGATCTAGGGGGCAGTTCTGGATAGAAAAAGTCATCTGAAGATCACAAAGAATACTGAGCAAGGAGCCTATGGTTTCCAACTTCAGAGCCACTTTTAAAAGCATAGATAGCAAAATATTAAATAAATTGTACACAACCTTTGACGTGACCAAAATTTGAATATGCAGTGGTTGTATGGTGCCCATATCTCAAGCAGTACATCAATAAATTGGGAAAGGTGCAATGACATGCAACTAAATGGCTACAAAAACTTGAAAACAATAGCTACAAGGAGAGGCTAGGGGCAGATTCATGAAGCAGTTATGCAAGTACTTACGAACGTGTACATCTTTCCTCAATCTTTGACGGCTTTGGTTACATTTATTAAACAGTTTACAAGCATGAAAACTTCCCAATCAACTGTTGTTATTGCTATAAACAGCCGCCTGGTGCTTCGGAGCTCATTAACTGTTTAATAATTGTAAACAAAGCCGCCAAAAATTGAGAAAAGATGTACAGGTTCTTAAGTGCTTGCGTAACTGCTTCGTGAATCTGGCCCTAGAGCTGTTAAATATATCAAAGCAAGAATAGGGAAGAAAGAAGTCATATGATCACTATGTGCAAAATGGTAACAGGAATCGGCAAAACTGACAAAGAATTCTTGAAGCCTGCAACTTCAAGAGATAACATGGATTCAAGCTAAGGAAAAAAAACTCAGTGTGTACAGCTCTAACATCCAACATAAATATTAACTATTAGTATCAGACTACTGCATTGGTCTTTTTGTGGTATGGTATAGCGATATCGATAAGACAGTATCGATATCGCTATCTGTTAACAAATTGGTTTGTGAACACCTTTAGTAAGCATCTCTTGGCAGTATTGCACAGCAACTGTATTAGACAACAATAGAACACTAGACCAACATGAACAAAATGGTCAACCAAAGTCACGAACAGCTACATACCTGCATGGAAATCGGCAGCAACATTTTCCAGAACAGAGATAATGGTATTTGCAAGTGTTAATCCATTAGAAGGCCACGCAGCCTTTTCTACAACTTCCAAGCTCCTGAAAATAAATAACAGGGAAATAGAACTTTTAGTTCAACAGCTTTGTATTAGTATATTTCCAAACTTTGGATTTATCTAATTACATACCAAATTTAGCCTTCATACATGTACCACTAACAGACCCCCCCATTACATTTACCTGTACAACAGATTCCCATTACATTTACCTGTACAACTGAGGCCCCCATTACATTTACCTGTACAACAGATCCCCATTACATTTACCTGTACAACTGAGGCCCCCATTACATTTACCTGTACAACTGAGATTCCCATTACATTTACCTGTACAACTGAGACCCCCATTACATTTACCTGTACAACTGAGATTCCCATTACATTTACCTGTTCAACTGAGATTCCCATTACATTTACCTGTACAACTGAGATTCCCATTACATTTACCTGTACAACTGAGATTCCCATTACATTTACCTGTACAACTGAGATTCCCATTACATTTACCTGTTCAACTGAGATTCCCATTACATTTACCTGTACAACTGAGATTCCCATTACATTTACCTGTACAACAGATTCCCATTACATTTACCTGTACAACTGACAGATTCCCATTACATTTACCTGTACAACTGACAGATTCCCATTACATTTACCTGTACAACTGAAACATCAGCTGGAATTTAAAATGGTTTTAACCAGATTATGTTTTTGTTACTAAAAATAGCAAGTCTAATAACGTCAATAAAGCTGATAATCTAAATATTTGATGTAAACACATTAATGACTAACAATAGATAATTGAGTAACTAAAGTTTGCATAAAGGAAGATAAAAATTTATTACAAAATGTCTGAAAGTTTGGATGAAAAAACTGAAGACAGGAGTCAAAATATAGAAGATGAATAATTCTCAAATGTTGAGTTTAAAAGTAGTGAGCAAGAGCCCTGCTCCAATATAACGGGGTCTCAATAGTGCATATACAAATATAATTAAGACACATTTAATGCCCAATTATCTGACACTGAACAATCATCTTACTTGACCCTACTGTCAGCCCAGCTGGCAATTATTTCCATTGAGCTGGGGCAGAGCTTCACCAGGTCCCCCAATACATTCCTTGGCAGCCATTTCAAAAGTACTGAAGATGGTACATTATGTGGGAAAGCCACCAAGATCTGAGATACACACGCCTGGTCCACATGTTGGCTGAACTCGTACTGATGCCGATGCCACACTGTTGATGCAACGTCCAAGTTTCCCTGCAAATTAACATGTGCACAATTATTATTGCCCAATAAAAAGCAAAAATTAAATAATAATAGTCACTGCAGAAGGGACAAAAACAAATGTAATTAAAATATTAGTCACTACTGTCATTGACTCTCTCATTATATATTATTGAGAATTAAACAAGTATTGGCAGTTACTGGAATGGAATCATTTTTAACCTTTCATTGTAGTTTTGAAAACTCAACCTTCCCTTCAAAGTAGGTTTTTAAAAATGCAGTAAAATATGAATACTACAGTACAGTACTTTAAAAGTTGAAGAAAACAATCTACTACACAAAACGTAAAGAAATTGACTCAAACAGCTTGACAAATTTGAAAACTCTTCGCAATGGCCAGTTGCCACCATTCACTACCTGGATAATTCTAATTTTCAAATTTTCAAAACACACGGAATCCTCATTTGACTAGACCTCATTGGGAACTCTCGATGGGCTTCTTTGTCCCTGCCTCTGGTGGCTTTGTTCCACCTTTATTTTTGTCTGTTAGGTGTTGGATTGGTCCTTGGTGACTCACTGGTGTGCTGAGTGACTGTGCAGGTGCCTGAACCTAGTATACGTTATCTTCCTGCTGGCCATGGTTTGGCTCCAGGCAACGTACCAGTTTCTCCTGTTCTTTATCCTCCCTTTGTTAGTTCTTGCTTCACTGGCTTCCTCTACAGCCTTTTCAGGGTTCAGTCTGTGGCACCATCCCCCACCCCCACCCCCCTCGCTTGATATGTTCACGGATACTGTACTTTGGCTCTGGGTTGAGGCTTTGTGACCTGCACTCACCAGACCACTCATCATCGATGGCGTGTTCTTGTCTCTGCGAGACTTTTAGTTGCCCCGAGGTGGACCTTTAAATATCGGCATGGAACTGGCACCTTCAAATCCCTATATGGCTCTGTTCCCCAATCACAAGGCTTTCATGGTGGATGTCTCTCAACTGGACTGGTGGAGGTGCATATACATTTTTCTACAGTTCAGTTGTTGCTCTGGGTTCTGTCCAGTCTAGTCATAGTCAGGGAGAGAGACCCTTCTTGCTCCTTGGTGGCCAGCCCAGTCTTTGTTTCCAGTGATACTAGCCTGGTGTCCGAATCTGGGTAAATTTGCTTTCATTTTATTTTATAGGGTACATGATCATGTGATTGACTGTACCAGACATAGTGCTAAATAGTATATAATATACAGGAGTTAAAAATATAAAAAATCCAGTGCTGAATGTAGTGAAATGCCTCTTTCTAGACACGCCCTTCCTCGATTCCTCGATTCAGGGAGACACAAGGGGCTCATCTAGGAAACCAGCGTTAAGTGTAGTGAAATTCCTTTTTTTTGGAAGAGTTCCGGTGGCTACCCGATTCGGGAAACTACAACGGGCTTCCCCAGAACTTACCCTTCTTAAGTGTTCAACAAACTCTTCAAGCATGTCTGTATGGGAGAACGCAAGCCAGTGTTGAATATCTGAAGATGGAAAGATGGTCTGGAAGGTTATTAGGCGGTAGGTGCTCTCACTCACACGCTGCATTAAGCTACTTAACTGATCACCTTCTTCAGACTGAAAAATGGTAATACATGAACATCTTAGCACAAATTAAAATAAAATAAAAATATTAAATATTTCCATGAGTAATAATTCCAATGTTCATACATTTATGAAGTACTGTACCTGTGTTGAATTTGCAAGTCGTTCTTTAGCATAATTGAGAATCTTCTTTGTGATAATTAAATCGGGTAAAGGCGCCTCGATGCAAAGAGTAGTCACAAATTCTGAATCGTTGATCTTATCTAGGGTGAGCAACAGTTCCTCAATAAGACTGAAAAAATAAATCTTATTAGGATGCAATAGAGTACATACTGTAATCCTAAATATGTGAACAATTAGTTATGACATTTGACCTAGATTTCATCCTTATTTGATTTATAGAGAATAAAACTTTCAATATTTTTCCTGTGTGGAACAGCCTGTCCTCCTAAGGTTTTCCAACGTCAAGAAACTGTTGTACAGGTACTAAAGTGCCCTTATCCTAACCTATCATAGGACCAAAATGAAACGGTAGGTCACTTTCGCGAGCCGTTTCCATTTTCTAGTACAATAATTCTTTGCCTTATATAACGCATACGATCGAAAAGTGACGTTCTTTGTAATTCTGGATTCTCCTAATATATGTCCTTTGCAGTGCATATACATACAATATTAAACTCACATGCTATTGTAGTTTTATTATTGTGCTGGATTAGTCCACAGATATCTAAATAATTGAGTAATATAGAGTGAACTGAGTTACTCTACATTATAATACAATTACCAGTATGTCTTGTACATTTCTTCCTCAACACCCCCATGGTTTAGTGTTGTGGACAGGTGGTATAATAAGAGCATGACAGCTTCACTAGTGATAAAAGCTTAATAGACTTTACCTGCAAAATTAAAACAATTCTCTCTCTCTCAAAACCAAACAAAAGTAGTCAACAAAAATTCTTTCATCCTATGAATTAGTTAAGAGCAAATTTTTCACTTTCCTACTGAAGCACTTCATAATTTCAATTTGTTCATCTTATTCTTGTGTAATTGTTCTCGAGTCTAGTGTAATAAATTGTTCTAAATATTGTTCCCCATTCTTAACTAATTTGTATAGTTTCCAGAAAGTTTTATAATCCCATGGTTGTTTATTCTGAGTAATTTTGTTCAATTAAAAAGTGTTTTAAGCAATTTACAATTTGAATCTACATTGTAAAACAAGTGAGGCACCCACCTGGCATGCTCAGGTCTACCAACTCTACTCTCCTAAGTAACTCCTTAATCCCTCTTAGTTTGCTTTACAAAAAATTTGTGCTGTAATACCATTTTCTCTTACACTACTTTTCCAAGCCATTATAAATCTAATTTCCTTATGATCACTGCTCCCTAACTCGCTCCCTATTTCACTGTTATTCACGAATGTCTCCTTGTTGGCCAGAGTCAAATATATTATTTCAAGTGTTTCCATATGTTGATTAAGAAAGTCATCTGCCACTTGTAAGAGTGCTTCTGCATTTCCTGTTGTATTGGTCCAGTTTACTCTCTTGAAACTGTGCCATCTATAATGCAATTTTATTAGATCTGGATACCATAGGTACTTTTGCTTTTATATTCCTTCCTTTCACTCTCTTGCCATTTATAACTAATTTTTGGTTAATTCTACCCAAATGATTTGTGTGTGTGGCTCTGTTTGGATTCCCTGTTTGACAGTACAGTACTTTATGTACTAAATTTTCCAGATACTGTATATAGAGCCACTCCTTGTCTACTTTTTCTGAGAGAAAAAGTTTGTATACTGTATCTTTACTGAGTTTTCAGCTAATAGATCCCTCTTATCTACATTCATCCATATTTTAGTTATTACAATATCTATATTTTCAATGCCTACAATGGGACTAATTAATAATTTTGTATAATACTCATATTATTAGCATAATATTCAATGTTTTTAAATTACAGTATTAGTATAATATACATTAAGGCCATTCTTACATTTAAGCTTGTGTTCCTTTCTGCTACTATCAGAGAATTCTTAAATCTCGCACAATATTATTATTTTTGCCAAATATTTTTCACCAATTTCTCAGGTTTCACATACGATGCTTCTCACATATGCATTAAGACAAGATAACATATAGATGATAAAATATCAGAAGAACTTGCCTTCCACTTCCCTCCACCTCACTTAGAGTATTATTTACAGCCGATATGTTCCATGGATTCATCAAATCACACAAAAACCTGGCCCGTGCCTTATGAACCTCCTCAATGTTCAATCCAAAGCGGTCACAAAACTCCTCAGCTGCCTTGAATTTGCGTTTCATCAAGAGTTTTGCCAGCCTGCAAATTTAAACAAAAATATTAGACTTATTATCACCTGCTAATCAACACAGTATGACATTCATGTACAGTACTCAATAAATTATTGAGCTCTATGATCTACAGCACACTTACAAGCATCCTGATTTCATCTGTGGAATATTTTCCACCGTTTTGTAAAATTAAATAAACAAAAGAAATTATCCATAGGTCACTGATATAAGAAACTAGGATATTGCATCAGCCTTTGAGAACATTCCAGAAGGAAACCTTGCTATATCTTGCATGAGCAAAGTTCATCTAACTTTAGTTTAAGACCAAACATACATGATCTCAATTTAAAACATGGCTAATAAACATTATTAACTTAATATTGAACTGCAGATTATAATTAACTAAAACTATTAAGTATCAAAATTTCAGCCCTTTATCGAAGCAAAAGTACATTGATATTGAAACTCCCTCAGGAGAAAGGGTTGGCTAGCTGGCCTGCAAAGTCAATACCGTTTCTATGATACAGCAAGATAAATGGTATTTTCCCCCTACATTGACTATTCTATTCTATTTTTGTGCTTTCTATATAACTGACTTCAAGGAATGCTATCTATTTTTTTATATAAATGTTAAGCATTACACTGTATTACATGCTTAGAAAAAAGTATTTGGGGGCCAGTCCCACTCTTGGCAGCAGTTTGGAAATCTGAACTGGGAACATCACATTTCTTTGATTCAAATACCTTGATAAAGACATCTTTCAAGGGAGTGCTTGCATATTTTTGTGGGATATTAGTAGCCTGGATATCATCACCTGCCACACTTAACCATATTTTAACTAATTCTCAATGCAGTTTTTAATTTGTATGTTGTGAATTAGTGGCAAATTTGAATAGATTATAATTATCAATACCAGAACCATTAATATTGCTCATCATTTGGAACTGGCACTCTCAACTGGGTGTGGACTCTGTGGTAGGTGCCATAATATCCTAATATTTACATATAACACATGGCCATGTTACTTGTTACTTATAACACATGCAATAGGTTTATATAGGTATATATACAGTACATATAATAAGCATAATATTTTCCCAAGACAAAATAGCACGCACCTTGCCTCAGGAACACCATCTACAATGCTTTTGAGTTTGAGGCTGCTTGTGAGAAGGCTGGCAGCATCCACATCAGGTTCTAGGAACATTATTGACTCTGCTCCTTCGCCAATGAACACGAGCTGAGTGCACTTGTTTACACCCAGTTCATACACTGTTAAAAATTCTGAAAAACACAAAACAATTACATACCAAATCATAAATCCATCTAAAAGTTCTCGATACTTAAACTAACATTTTAAATTGTAGAAACATCTGAAGTTCATGATCATGGTTGATGGCATTGTAAAGGAAACCATGAGAATAAGGAACAGTACAGTATTTTAATTTTAGGAGGAGATAACACAGTCTGGCCTCTCCAACCAAACCCTATTGCTTACCTCAGTATGCACTCACCCCAAAAGTGATGCATCTGAAGCTACCACAATCAATTCAGAATTATGACACAAATATGTGCAATGAAACAAGTAAAAAGATCTTTGTATTATAGGTTAAATAATTACAGGATGAAAGACTGAACTGCTTATGAGGCTAAAATGGACTATAATGATCAATTTAATGTCTTGATTTTTGTTTACAACACATACACAAATAAACAAAACTAACATACCATTCAGGATAACATACCATTCTGAGGGTAACATACCATTCAGTCTGACCTTTGAGTTTGCAAGGAAAGAAAAAAATTAAATTCTAAGTTTTCTAATCTCAGTTGGAAAAGTTATAATGTAGTATTGGTAATAACATGTAAATGAAGATGAAAATTTAAATTGCAACCATAAAAAACTGGACTAAAAATTAACATGTTATATATTTGAAAGTTTGATATTTGAAAAGGGAGAGTTTGGAAGGTATTGCTATGATCAGCAAAATAAGGATTAATGAATTTAACAAATCCAGTCACCAAAAATGAATTTAACATAGTGACACTCACTACTAAGAACATTAAGTTAAGAAGTTGCCTTCTCTTCCTTATTTCTATGGTCTACCTAAGACTCATAAACTTGGTGTTCCTCTTCGTCCTATCATTTCTTCAAGGGGCTCTGTCGGCTATCCTCTTGCCTCCTGGCTCGCTAAAACTCTGACACCTTACCTTGGCACTTTTTCTCCTGCCCACCTTCGTCACTCTTAGGACTTCATAGAAAGACTGCGCCTGCAGCCCTCCTGTAAGATGCTTAGTCCTGATGTCGATACTGTTCACTAATGTTCCCCTCAATGACGTTCTCTCTTTCCTTAGACAGAAGGCGACTGAGGGCCTTCTTCCTCTACCGCTTCCCACTGACGTTTTCCTTGAACTCATTAGACTGTGTTGACTAACTCTCTCTCTTTCAACGGTAAATATTACACTCAAACTTTCGGTGTCGCTATGGGTGCCTCTCTCTCCTGTTCTTGCCAATTTCTGCATGGAATATTTTGAAACTGTTCTTCCTTCTATCGATACTCGTCCCTCTCTCTGGCTTCGCTATGTTGTTGACTTTTTGCTTTATGGCCTCATGACCTTAGTGTTTTCTAGTCTTTCCTCTCCTCTCTTAACAATCTGGCTCCTTCCATCCATTTCAAAGTTGAATGGGAATCTAATTCCCTCCTTCCTTTTCTTGACGTTCACAGCTCTGTGTCCAGGTTCTCTTTCTCTGTCTACTGCAAACCCATGCATAGTGGCATGTACATTCATTTCTTTTCCTACCATCCTCCTCCTGTTAAGAAAAGTGTCCTCGTCTCTCTCCCCTTTCGTGCTCTACGCATCAGCGACCCTCAGTTTCTTGATTCTGAAATTGCCTTTATCTACAAATCATTTTCTCACCTCAATTACCCTTTGCATTTTATCAACTATGCCTACTCTCAAGCTAAACAAAATTTCTTTCATCCTAAACCTGCTTCCAACACTAGTAGCACTGTGCTCTCCCTTCCCATCACATCTGAACTCAAAACTTTCACTAATACCTTTCGTCCTCTTGACATAAAGCTCACCTTTCAACAAACTAACACACTTCGTAGCAATCTAGTCCACACTGCTCCTCCTGCTTCTAATGCCGCTGGTGTCTACTCTATTTCCTGTTCGTCTTGTCCTCTCCAATACTTTGGTGAAACTGGCCGTACACTTAATGACAGACTTAAAGAACACTAAAGAAGTGTTAAGTCTGCAGACAAACAATGCTCTCTTCTGTCATGTTAGGGATTCTAATCATCCTATTGATTGGTCTTCCTCCAAAATAATCTTTCCTGCCTCTACTCTACACAGACGCCGTCTTGTTGAATCGACTCTCATACACAACATACCCAACATGAACTCGAGTCCTGGCTTTGTTGCTGTTGACTCTTCCCTTTCACAGTATATACTCAAATGCTGCAAACTTTCTAACAAATGTGACCTAACATAAGCTTACCCTTCCATTTATCTTTTTCTTTCTCTTTCTTTTTCTTTCCCTTGTTTTCTCTTATGATACCTTTCTTATTCCTATTACTATCCCCTTTATTCATATTACTATCCCCTTTATTCATATTACTATCCCCTTTATTCATATTACTATCCCCTTTATTCATATTACTATCCCCTTTATTCCTATTTTCCTTTATTCATATTACTATCCCCTTTATTCCTATTTTCCTTTATTCATATTACTATCCCCTTTATTCCTATCTCCTGCTTTTTCTTCCTCTAAGATTTCCTTTTCCTCACCTCTCTCTTGCCTATTTATTGCCTTCGTCTCCTTCCCTCCTCTTAATCGACTTGAGAATGGTCCAGGATGGACCGAAACGTCGTCGTCCCTTCACTTTCTAGTGTGTGGTCTGGTCAGCATATTTCAGCCACGTTATTGTGACTCCTCGTCTGCATTAAGTTAAGAGCCTCATGACCTTTCTGTTGCGATGCAACAAAGTTCATTAGGGAAGTTCATAAATGAACTAAGTGGGAGTTCTCAGACACAGAAGCTTCTGCTATAAACCATAAAGTTTAGTAACTTAAGTAATGCTTGATATTTTAATATTCACCTGGAAATGATACAATACGTAGAAGACATCCATCAGAATTAGGATTTTTGAGGAGGAGGAGAAACTGGGTGTTCTGCTCATCTCCCTGGAGGTAGGCAATGTCCAGAACTGGAATGACATCACTGTCAGCTTCCCACACAGTTACCCCAGTTACACCACACAACACTGCTAGTTTGCCAGCCATGTCCAGTGTTACAACATATCTGAAAGCAATTTAAAAAATGAACATGAAAAACAATTTTGCAAGTTTAGGTTAAGTTGCAACTAAATTAATCCAACATGAGCAAGCCTTTCTTGACTGAAGGGAAAGTGCATTGGTAAATGCACACCACAAAATAATTTAGGAAATCTTCAAATATACCAGAATTACATGCAAATATGGAAGATATATTAGATAATCAACTGGCATAAACATTTCAAAATTTTAGATTTTACGCCTGTGTACACGTATCACGTGAAAATTGCATGACAAATATTTTGACGATCTTAAAATTTTACATCTTTTATTTGTCGGGACTAGGGAGCCTGTCGGCCGAGCGGACAGCACGCTGGACTTTTGATCCTGTGGTACCGGGGTCGATCCCAGGCGCCGGCGAGAAATAATGGGTAGAGTTTCTTTCACCCTATGCCCCTGTTACCTAGCAGTAAAATAGGTACCTGGGTGTTAGTAAGCTGTCACGGGCTGCTTCCTGGGGGTGGAGGCCTGGTCGAGGACTGGGCCGCGGGGACACTAAAAAGCCCCGAAATCATCTCAAGATAACCTCCCCCTCAAAATACGGGGTGTGAGAAAATGGGAATTAAATAGATAAAAACATATTAGGAGTGATGGTGCTGACAGTTTATATTGTCAGTAGGTGAAGTAATTATTTTAAGAGTATCATTTTCAACTGGTAAACCAAAAGCACTAACATGCTTTAGAATGAGTTGAGTAGGTGAAATATCAATGAAACAGGTGGACAGAAAAGGGGGAAGTTAGAAAAGCTATACAGCGAAGTAGTTTCCGTCAGTAGTTTCACAGTGTTATCCGATAAAGAGTACTGGGAAGACGGTACACCATGAGCGTAGCTCTCATCCTGTAACTACACTTTGGTTATCTTGAGATGATTTCGGGGCTTTTTAGTGTCCCCGCGGCCCGGTCCTCGACCAGGCCTCCACCCCCAGGAAGCAGCCCGAGACAGCTGACTAACACCCAGGTACCTATTTTACTGCTAGGTAACAGGGGCATAGGGTGAAAGAAACTCTGCCCATTGTTTCTCGCCGGCGCCTGGGATCGAACCCAGGACCACAGGATCACAAGTCCAGCGTGCTGTCTGCTCGGCCGACCGACCGGTAGGTAATTACACTTAGATAATTACAGGTTAAAGAGAAAATGCGACAATACCCCATATGATATATCATGACATATCAGTCATAAACTGTATACTGTATATATTTAATATCAGTCATAAACTGTATACTGTATATATTTAATTATACAATTTAAAAATTCCATCCTGCAAAGTTAACCAGGTTCCAGGAATACCATTTACACATATCAGATCAGTATAATAATAGCCACATTTACACAATTCAACGTCCTGCATGATATGTCAAAACAAACCGAGCATTACAGGCAAAATTAAATACAAAGAAGCTTTATTTACTGACCTACTGTCACACACTGGGATAACACGCAGGCAACCAGGCTTGTGGACGAGCTGCCAGGTGCATGACTGAGAGGGGAGGGGGAGGCTCGAAGGGTTCCACTGCACAGTACCGACCGTATCTCCACACCAAATCCAAGGATTATTACTGCTGTATCCTGCAGTCAACACCTGAGAAAAAAATATATAATTAGCAATTTAATGATTTTACTGAGATGCTAAGGACATTTTTCCATCATATATTATTCAGCAACATTACAGAAGTGTCTACTTGGGAAGGGGTAATCTCATTCTACTTATGGTTGCAGTAACCCTAACCTCTGACCTTAGGAACTTAAACTGTGCATGAACCATTCCCCCCCCCCCCCCCCCAAGTATTCATCGCTTGTTTAGTAGTTATGAGTTCTGTTATACAATAGTGTTTGGTACTTTTCTTAAAACATTGTTTGAAGGAGTTTGGGTGTTCTGTGGCTCCTTTCATTGCATTGAGCAGTATGCCTCAGTTTGAGTTGATCTCCAATATCCACAAGCTCCCCACCTCGTAGAGGCAGGGGGGGCCAAGTGTTGTTTTCAATGGCCCTTGATCCTGGTAGGAAGTCTTGCCAGTCCTGTAACGGCTGGAGTTTAAAATACAAGAGCTACCAAGGCCAGCCCAAAAGGTGTTTATTACACTTGACCCTCCAGTGTTCAATTCCCCTGCACAGTACTACTCTCCTATGCCTTTTGGCAAATTCTCCACTAACTGCATTAGCTTTCTGCCAAATATATTTAATTATTTTGTCAACTTTCTCATCAACACCTGAAGCTTTGCCACAATTGAGCTTCATCACTGAGGTACTCACCTCTTCCATAAGATATATCAGCTGATGTACTGTCTTACGCACACACCTCACACCAGCAAATATAAATCATGTTAACATTACCACCTCACATAACTCCCACCCATTTCACTGTAAAAGTATTCTCGCTACCCACTTCACATCTCGTCTTTACAGTCCAACATTACCCCAGGTCTTCTATAACAGTTTCATATAAACCCTTTTTCCAAAATAGCGTCTCTTTTTCTAAGCAAGTTGCTTCCATATTACTGGTTATGTTTTTCACCTGAACTAACCTTTTCACCCACCTTTTACTATTTTCAAAATCCTGCTTTCTTATGAATGGTGAGAACTACCTTTCCTATGACCAATGTTCAGATGAAAGATAATATTCTCTGCTAACTGCACATATGATGGCAGATAAATTATAATTATTAATGCAGTACAGTACCTCCACATCACCAAGATTCATACTATCTACTGATATCATCATTTGAGCTTCAAGAGATCTCAGATTGTCTTGATCACCTAGGCGAAGGCCATCAGATAAAGCTTCAGAGTCAAAGTTTTCCATCCTGCAAAGACAATAAATCAGATACACACAGAAAATTATCAACATGAATGAAAAAAATTCATCTATAAATTGCTTTGTTTTAATTAAGGATTAGTACACAGTAAACAAGATGGACACAAGCACATGTTTTATTTTCATAAGAATTCACTTTCCCAATATTTACTAATCCTTGCACTGGCCAAGTTTCCCTCAAGCCTAACAATAATGCTAAGGACCACATCAAAGGGGTTGCGAGAGAAGCCTATGCTAAGCTAGCAACTTTCGAAATCAAGTTTAACCCTTGCACTGCGCAAAGCGCCTTTAGGCGCTCTGAGAGTTATGCTATTTTTTTTAATTAGGCTATATTTTAATGTTTTTTAAAGTTTTCATTACTCTCCGTTTTTAAATGAAAATAGTTGAGTTTGGAAACATTTTGACATTAAATTTACCTGAATATTTATAAAAACAACAAGAATATGTCCTTGACAATTGACCCAAGAAGTTTTTGCCGAAACCAGGTGCGCAGTGCAGGGGTTAAATACAGTACAGTACTGTATATGGCTGGAGAAATCCTAAAAAAAAATTTTCCAAGATTTGTGACACCAAAATTAGATAAGTAGCAGTTATATTGTGCAGATACCTCAAGAAACACATCAATAAAACTGAAAAAACTAAAGTACTTGTATGGCGAAAAGCTGGAGGCTTCAAGACCACCAGCAATTTCAAAGCATCACATGACAAATATTAGACGGGAGACAACACCATGGCATAGCTTTCATCCTGTAACTAAACTTGGGTAATTACAATGCACACACACTCAGCCACATGTAACCAGCATTGGAAAAATTGACAAGATAACAAAAAATGGAAAAATGCTTGGAGAACCAGACAATGTTAGGTCTCAGTTATAGACGTCCATTTGAGCAAGTTGATAATATAACGGGGTGCAAATTAAGAATTAATTGCTAAGGAAAACCGAGCTTTAAGGAAAGTAATCAAGTTAAACTTAACCTAGAACATTATATGTTAATGCTGACAGACTGATGGTCCTGCTTGATGGACTTTCGAATCTTGACACTATTAGTCAAGGGACTGCACTAGTCGAGGGACCTGCACTAGTCGAGGGACCTGCATCTCTACCAAGGACTTTAAAGTACATAATTGAAATGTCAACTAAAATAAAACATTCCTCCATGTACAACCCAAATACACCATAACTGATTTCCAAAGCTGTAACCAGGAATTATAATATTCAAATACAGCAAACATTATTTTATAACATTTGAAGACATGATCAATGCACCTGCAATATTTGAACATTCAGAGTAATGTATACAAGAACTGTAATGCAACATTATAAATCATGTTTCATGAACCTGCAACATGTAAGTTTAAACATCTTCAGGACATTGCCTATAAGCTAAGCTTGGCACATACTTCAAAATTGGTTTATAAATTGAACACTTTTATATTGAGACATTACCTAACAACATGGCCACGGGAGGTAACTAAGGAGACAGAAACCAGCCCGTCTTCTGACTGCCTGCAGCCTCCACCAACGAAGAGTTTGGTATTGGTCACAGTTAAAGAAAGAAGCCTGTAAGTATGAAATAATTAAGTATTAGTAGTTTAGGGTGTATAAATATATATAAAGTCAATCATCAAATCTGCAATGAATAAATCAGATCATATAATATTCCCATCACCAGAAAAAAAAGAGGGTTAAACATAATGATACAGAAATTAAAAAATACAAAAACACATTATAATGGAAAAAAAGTTATATAGAAAGATCTAACCATCATAATTGTCATTCTTTTGAGCACTTACTTTGTAATTACAACTGTCTGTGACTTCACATGAACACAATGAATGCCACCAGCTCTGTCTCCCAGGAAGAGAAACTCCCCCTGAGGGATCCAGAGCACCAAGTCTATTGGTGCCTCTAGAACCAGCTGCATGATAAGAGAAGAGCATCCTTCACCAAACACAAAAATGGTGCAGTCGATCGCTACAGCAACATAACCCCAAGCTGTACTGGCACACAGCTGAGGTAAACCATCTACCTGCAATTAGTTTCAACCATTGTTATATGAAATACAGTAATAAGCAAAAATAATTTACATTTGTAATATACAGTACTGCAGTAAATATAACATTATCTTCATTAACAATAGTAATTTCTATATTAAAAACTGGAACTGAACAATAACAACTTTACCGGACAATCTGGCTGAAGGTAAGCTAACTTCACCACTTCATAGAGAGATGTAAGAGAGCCCAGATCACCAGCCTGACGAGTCTCCTCGTCACACTCGGCATCGAGCACCTCCCACTTCACCATCTGATGGCAAGAACAACCTTAGTTTTGTCAACACACTAAAGAATAGCTGAAGAAATAACAGCTAAATGAGATCACATAAGAGTAAAGATGTAGGATTAAGTCAATTTAAATTATTACATTTTGCTTCATAGCCCCTAAGAAACACTTTTTTTTTATTATCAAATTACAGACTCAAGACTTGCAAAATTTGTTGTTGCTAATGCTATGGTTCATGTCAATTTTAATCTTTATATTGTTTATTTGAAGGTTAATTGCCTTAGATGATTTGTTTCCAAATAAAAGGTAGAAGGTTTTTAATGTTTAGTGTTAACTTGTCAGTCAACATTTATATGAAGACTGTCTGCAATTCATTAATTACTGTATCAGTTAGGGTACATGAGTTAGGACTGTTGAAGATGAAGGTACTGTGGTACAGTAATATATAATATAAGCAAATAAAATTGGTTAAAAAAGTTAGGAAGCATTTGGCAAGTCTGACATACTGTGCAGTATATGGGAGTAAGAACAGAGGTTCACAAGTATCCTGCCATAGAGTACTCCTGTAGTCAATAGGACATTGGAAGAGGTTATGCCAGTGATGACTACATAATTATGTCTGGTGTTCAAATATGACAATGTAAATGACAGTGTCTCAGAATTCTGTAGTGCCGAAGTTGAAGGTTATTATGATACATGGTATCAAAAGGTTTTCTCAGGTCAATCAAAAACCCAATTGGGAAATAACTTGTCAAGTTGCAAGTTGATTAAGTCAAGTAAACTGATTATGGCCTCACTGTCACTATTCTGACCTTTCTTGGTTCTGAAGGTAAAAAGTCTCAAGTTACACCCTTAGACAATAGCTTACATCACATCACAAGGTGAATCCCGTTTACCTCATTATTTTGTTGAAGACATTACTGATAAATCCTTTTAGGAATCAAATTTTTTGCATTTCTCTGTTATCTAATAAACTCAAATTTGCCACTGAACATAAAAAAAATACCTAATTAGGAGAATTTTGGAGAATGTGGCACAATGTGACCAAAAATATTAATTCAGATTTTAAGTGCTTTTTCCTTTGATCAATAATTATTTTTGTTTTTCTGAGAATCCTACAAGAAAACTAAACATAAAATTAAGGTGCAACTTTTTATCCAAACTCCACAAGCCAATATCAATATTGGAATTTACAGTACAGTATTTTATTTGAAAGACTGAATATCCCAAGGTAGTATATACAGTACTGTATGGAATTTTTTGAAAAATATGTTGTCTTTTTATTTGTTAAATATTTTTAACTCATTTTCTAAGTAGAAACAAAATTTAAGATCCACACTGCCTGGGCTGAGGGGTACCCACCTCTTCAAGGGTTCACAAAGTGTGAACTTCACTATGGTATCAACGTCAGCTTTTCATTGATTGTATTAAAGAGATACTCAATGGGATACCAGCCCCATGCACCCCAGGACACGCCCAGCCCCCGTGCACCCCAGGACACGCCCAGCCCCGTGCACCCCAGGACACGCCCAGCCCCCGTGCACCCCAGGACACGCCCAGCCCCGTGCACCCCAGGACACGCCCAGCCCCCGTGCACCCCAGGACACGCCCAGTCCCGTGCACCCCAGGACACGCCCAGCCCCGTGCACCCCAGGACACGCCCAGCCCCGTACACCCCAGGACACACCCAGCACTTTAAACAATCGTGTATAAATATTGGCTGTGTGACTGAATAAAGACTTGCGACTACACAGGCACCATATTGTATAATACACCACCTTGTGTGTTGTATAACACACTTGAGCTGGTGCACACGCCGTCAGCCACCACCACCAGTGTCAGCGTGTCAGTGTTGTTATGAATTAAGGGGCGACGACGATGGTGGGAGAGTGTCAGTGTGTCAGCAACCTTCCCGCCAATATCAAATGAGTCAGGGATGGTTACCAATGGTTTATTTATACACATTTATACGGGATCACTTTACAGTAATTTTTCAAGAGTAAAAACTTAAGTTTTTAATATATATTAACATTAGAACATAAGAACAAAGGTAACTGCAGAAGGCCTATTTGCCCATACGAGGCAGCTCCTATTTATAACCACCCAATTCCACTCATATACATGTCTAACCCACGCTTGAAACGATAAAGGGACCCCACCTCCACCACGTTACGCGGTAATTGGTTCCACAAATCAACAACCCTGTTACCAAACCAGTATTTACCCAAGTTTTTCCTAAATCTAAACTTATCCAATTTATACCCATTGTTTCGTCTTCTGTCTTGTGTTGATACTTTCAATACCCTATTAATATCCCCCTTGTTATGTCCGACTTAATATGTTATGTTATTCATCGACTTGTAAACCTCTATCATGTCACCCTCTTGTATCATGTCAATTTAAACTCTTCGCCTTTCCAGTGAATGCAATTTAAGCTTTGTTAATCTTTCTTCATATGAAAGATTTCTAATTTGGGGAATTAACTTAGTCATCCTACGCTGGACACGTTCAAGTGAATTTATATCCATTCTATAGTACGGCGACCAAAACTGAACTGCATAATCTAAATGGGGCCTAACCAGAGCAAGATATAACTGAAGAACAACACCAGGTGTCTTGATAATTCCCAGTGTCCTATTTGCCTTATTTCGAACATTCATGCATTGATTCTTTGGTTTTAAATTCTTACTAATCATAACAAGTTTTAAATATATAGAATACACATGAGAGGATGTGCAGTAGATAAGAGAGGATATGCATACACAACATCTAGTTGTGTTTGCAGGGGCTGAGCTCTGGCTCATTGGTCTCGCCTCTCAACTGTTAATCGACTGGGCCCTTGGTGGCCCAGTGGCCCTTGGTGGCCCTTGGTGGGGGTAAGGTAGGTGGTCCAGTGGCCCTTGTACTCACCTAATTGTGCTTGTGAGGGATGAGCTTTGGCTCTTTGGTCCCGCCTCTCAACTGTCAATCAACTGGTGTACAGATTCCTGAGCCTAGTCAGGCTCTATCGTATCTACATATGAAACTGTGTATGGAGTCAGCCTCCACCACATCACTTCCTACTGCATTCCATTTATTAACTACTCTGACACTGAAAAAATTCTTTCTAACGTCTCTGTGGCTCATCTGGGTACTAAGTTTCCACCTGTATCCCCTTGTTCGTGTCCAACCCGTGCTGAAGAGTTTGTCTTTGTCCACCCTGTCAATTCCCCTGAGAATTTTGTAGGTGGTTATCATGTCTCCCCTTACTCTTCTGTTTTCCAGGGACGTGAGGTTCAGCTCCTTTAGCCTTTCCTCGTAGCTCATTCCTCTCAGTTCCGGGACGAGCCTGGTGGCATACCGCTGGATCTTCTCTCTGGTGGCATACCGCTGGATCTTGTGGGCGACAAGGCTAACAATACTGCAAACCAGGCATGACAGGACGGATCTTATAGAATTTTTTAAAATACTGAACAAATTAGAGGATGTTGATCCGGATATTTTCTTCAGAAGGTCAGATGAAACACAAATAAGGAATAACGGTTTCAAGCTCAACAAGCCACAATGTAGGACTGAGAGCAGGGGATGCTTTTTCACCCACAGGGTTATTAACCCATGGAACTGCCTACCCGCCGAAGCCATAAATGTCACAACTCTGTAAACCTTTAAAGTACAACTGGAAAAGATCATCAAGGCAAATGGGAGGACCTTCTACAAGGTGCCGGCTTCCTGCCCTCGTCGAGGACACTAGTGTTAGTAGCTGATTGATTGATGATTGATGAAGATTAAGCCACCCGAAAGGTGGCACGGGCATGAATAGCCCGTAAGTGGTGGCCCTTTGGAGCCATTACCTGTATCAAGAGCTGATACTGGAGATCTGTGGAGGTGCAACTGCATCCTGCGTGACGGGAGATGTCTCCCGTGTGTTAGTGGCTCTCAGGTAAACCAAGATAAACTCAGGTAAACATATTTCTGGATTTAGGTAAGGGTAATTACATAAACCATCTATGTATACAATACAACACACCTAATGTACACTTGGCATAATATTTGTAATAATTTATGTGAACACATGTATTATATCCTATTATTAGCTTAAATGCAGACGCAGCTAAATCCGGATTTATAAATGTGGAATGTATCCTATTGACTGTACACACAAACGCCCAAATAAATTGAAGCAACGAGAGTTGATTTGCGGATATAACTCCTTAAATACCGGCTTTGCAAACGTTGTATATAATAACTTAGCAAGTAAACAATGGGTCGATATATGTAGATGTCGCGTAAGTTATACTAGAAGAAGAGAGTGTTGGTGTGAGGAGAGAAGAAGGTTGTGTCCATGTGTGGGTGGCGATGCGTGCGTCCGTGCGCAGTGCGGCTGGCGTGCAGCATCAGCTGATACTCCTGTAGGCTGCGGGGGACACCACGCCACGGCTAACCTATGACAGCTGCTCCTGAGGTACACTCGTGCTCTCGTTATGTTGCTTGCGTGTGTGTGTGTGTCCTGGAGGTGTGTGTGAGGGGCGGGGGTTGTGGGTGGAAGTGGGCGGCAGAGCAGGGTGGGTGAAGGGGCCGGCGCCCACAGCTGCCGCAGTCACCCGCAAGTGTAGCTCCTGAAGCCGTACAAGTGTGAAGTGTTGGCGAGGCGTGAGGGTCTGTGAGGCGTGTGTGGCTCTGAGGCGTGTGTGGGTCTGTGAGGCGTGTATGGCTCTGTGAGGTGTGTGTGGGTCTGTGAGGCGTGTGTGACTGTGAGGCGTGTGTGGGTCTGTGAGGCGTGTGTGGCTCTATGAGGCGTGTGTGGGTCTGTGAGGCGTGTGAGGGTCTGTGAGGCGTGTGTGGCTCTGTGAGGCGTGTGAGGGTCTGTGAGGCGTGTGTGGGTCTGTGAGGAGTGTGTGGCTCTATGAGGCGGGTGTGGGTCTGTGAGGCGTGTGAGGGTCTGTGAGGCGTGTGTGGGTCTGTAAGGCGTGTGTGGGTCTGTGAGGCGTGTGTGTGTCTGTGAGGCGTGTGAGGGTCTGTGAGGTGTGTGTGGGTCTGTGAGGCGTGTGTGTGTCTGTGAGGCGTGTGTGGCTCTATGAGGCGTGTGTGGGTCTGTGAGGCGTGTGAGGGTCTGTGAGGCGTGTGTGGCTCTGTGAGGCGTGTGTGGGTCTGTGAGGCGTGTGAGGGTCTGTGAGGCGTGTGTGGGTCTGTGAGGCGTGTGTGTGTCTGAGGCGTGTGAGGGTCTGTGAGGCGTGTGTGGGTCTGTGAGGCGTGTGAGGGTCTGAGGCGTGTGTGGGTCTGTGAGGAGTGTGAGGGTCTGTGAGGTGTGTGTGGGTCTGTGAGGCGTGTGTGGGTCTGTGAGGCATGTGAGGCGTGTGTGGGTCTGTGAGGCATGTGTGTCTGTCTGTGTGGCGTGTGTGTCTGTCTGTGAGGCGTGTGTGTGGGTCTGTGAGGCGTGTGTGTGGGTCTGTGAGGCGTGTGTGGGGTCTGTGAGGCGTGTGTGTGTCTGTGAGGCATGTGTGGATCTGTGGGTCTGTGAGGCGTGTGTGGGTCTGTGAGGCGTGTGTGGGTCTGTGAGGCGAGTGTTGGTCTGTAAGGTGTGTGTGTGTCTGTGAGGCGTGTGTGCGTCTGAGGCGTGTGCGGGTCTATGGGGTGTGTGAGGCGTGTGTGGGTCTGTGAGGTGTCTGTGTGTCTGTGAGGCATTTGTGGGTCTGTGAGGCGTGTGGGTCTGTGAGGCGTGTGTGGGTCTGTGAGGCGTTTGAGGGTCTGTGAGGCGTGTGTGTGTCTGTGAGGCGTGTGTGGGTCTGTGCAGCGTGTGTGGGTCTGTGAGGCGTGTGTGGGTCTGTACGGCGTGTGTGGGTCTGTGAGGCGTGTGTGGGTCTGTGAGGCGTCTGTGAGGCGTGTGTCTGTGAGGCGTGTGAGGGTCTGTGAGGCGTGTGTGGGTCTGTGGGGCGTGTGTGGGTCTGTGAGGCGTGTGGGTCTGTGAGGCGTGTGTGGGTCTGTGAGGCGTGTGTGGGTCTGTGAGGCGTGTGGGGGTCTGTGAGGCGTTTGTGGGTCTGTGAGGCGTTTGTGGGTCTGTGAGGCGTGTGTGGGTCTGTGAGGCGTTGTGGGTCTGTGAGGCGTGTGTGGGTCTGTGAGGCATGTGGGCTGTGGGTCTGTGAGGCGTGTGGGGCTGTTGGTCTGTGAGGCGTGTGTAGGCGGTGTGTCTGTAAGGCGTGTGGGTCTGTGAGGTTTGTGGGTTTGTGGGTCTGTGAGGCATGTGTGGATGGTGGGTCTGTGAGGCACGTGTGGATGGTGGGTCTGTGAGGCACGTGTGGATGGTGTGTCTGTGAGGCATGGGGATCTGTGAGGTGTGAGGGTCTGTGAGGCGTGGTGGTCTGTGAGGTGTGAGGGTCTGTGAGGCGTGGGGGGTCTGTGAGGTGTGAGTGTCTGTGAGGTGTGAGGTGTGTGTGGGCAGTGTGTCTGTGAGGCATGGGGATCTGTGAGGCATGTGTGGGTGGGGTGTCTGTGAGGCATGGGGATCTGTGAGGCATGTTGGCTCTGGGTCTGTGAGGTGTGTGAGGTGTTTGGGCTGTGGGTCTGTGAGGCATGTTGGCTCTGGGTCTGTGAGGTGTGTGGGCTGTGGGTCTGTGAAGTCTGTGGGTCTGTGAGGCATGTGGGCGGTGTGTCTGTGAGCCGTGTTGGGTTGTGAGGCGTGTGGGCGGTGTGCCTGTGAGGCGTGTCGGTCTGTGGGGCTGTGTGTCTGTGAGGCGTGTGGGAGGTGAGTCTGTGAGGCGTGTGGACAGTGTGTCTGTGAGGCATGTGGGTCTGTGAGGCATGTGGATCTGTGAGGTGTATGGGTCTGAGGCGTGTGAGTGGTGGGTCTGCGAGGCATGTGGGCTGTGGGTCTGCGAGGCATGTGGGCTGTGGGTCTGTGAGGCGTGTGGATCTGTGAGGTGTGTGGGTCTGAGGCATGTGAGTGGTGGGTCTGCGAGGCATGTGGGCTGTGGGTCTGCGAGGCATGTGGGTGGTTGGTCTGTTAAACATGTGGGCTGTGGGTCTGTGAGGCGTGTGGGCAGTGGGTTTGTGAGGCGTGTGGGTGGTGGGTCTGTGAGGTGTGTGGGTGGCGGATCTGCGAGGCGTGTGGGCAGTGGGTCTGCGAGATGTGTGGGCTGTTGGTCTGCGAGGCGTGTGGGCTGTGGGTCCGAGTTGTGTGGGCAGTGGGTCTGTGAATCGTGTGGGCTTTGGGTCAGTAAGGCGCGTGGGTCAGTGAGGCATGTGGGCGGTGGGTCTGTGAGGAATGTGGGTCAGCGAGTCGTGTGCGTGGTAGGTCTGTGAGGCGTATGGGCAGTGGGTCTGTGAGACGTGTTGGCGGTGGTAACGGCCACCTGGCCTACACACATCACTCTACACCCTGGAACACTGCCAGAGATTTAATAATTTATCATTTGCTACCAGAACATAAGTGTAATAATATAATGTATTAATATGAGGTCGTATTGAGCCAGGTGAGTCACAGTACAGGTATGTGGCGTTGACAGTGTTGGCACGACATAGTTACTGGCAGAAGTCTGGGTATGGCACTGGTGCAGTCAGGCATACCTTGTCAGTAAGAACAGATGGAGTGTGTGTTGTGTAGGAATTGCCAGGTCCATGCCAGCTGTAACTTGAGTATGTCATTAGGTATCTTAGAAATTGGGGCACGGTTAAATTGTACTCAGACGTTTTCACAAAGCTCAAATGTAAAAACTGTGTGTGTATTTTAGGTTAGGCTTTGTTACTGTAGTTTAGGGTGAGTTTGGTTAGATTTTCAAATGTTGGTTAACTGTGTTGGAGACAACGTAACTTAGTCCCTTGGAAACTTCTGTGGAGCATTTAGCCGGCATGTGCTTTTCCTTGCAGGAAGTGTATAATTTGACTGAATTTCTATTACCCGCTCGTGTGACCCTGCAACTATGAAATTGTGGTGCTAAATTTCCTTGTGTTCAATGTTTTAATCTTTTTAGATTAAATTGAGCCTCATTTAACAAGTATTATTTCTTTAGCTAAAATAATTTGTCGATTGGTTTGCAGCTAATGCTGTATAATCCTTCTCTTCAGTTGTGTACAGCACAACTGTACTGTACTGTACTGTATACCCACATTCTGCCTACAGATGTAACAAGAAAAGGCTACACATTTGCAGGCTAATTATTCTACCTTGTGTATACCCTATGCTGGTTCTGGGGGATCAATGTTCCCTATGGTCTGTTCTCTGACCATACCTACTGGTTGGTGGTCTGGTCAAACAGGCTGCTTGATGAAACTGCTTACAGTCTGACATATGAGACAAAGCCCGATTGAGCAGGTATTCATTGGAGGTGTTTGTCAAGTTCTCTCTTGTTGTAGGATTAGGGGCAGCGACAGCACAGGGCCGTATATAGCCTGTCATTCCTGTGAGCTGGGAAAAATTAAGACCTGAGTCTTTACATTGCCAGTCAACGGGGGAAAAACAAAACTTCTGCACATTACGGCAGACAAATGCACTGCATGGCAGGTACTTTGTGACACAGGTGGCCCCCGGGAGGCAAGAGTCAGTATCCACCTCACACAGAGAGCCAACTGGAAGACGATCAATCGACACCCAGTGACCCCAGATAACAATGCGTCAGTCATCCGGTGGATAGACAAAGTTGATAACGAGTGGCTAAAGCACAAATACCCCCCCAATAATCAAACAAAATTCAAACGGGTAAAATGCACCAACATTTTCCAGTGACCTCCAACAGAGCAATGGCCAGCCACCTACCAAACCCTGAGAACACAAGGAGCCCACTGCCAGATTCTAATGCCCCTCCTGAAGAACTAGCCAAAAAACTGGAAAAAGGTAGCAGAGCCATACCTGAGTAAACAAACTTTGCCAACTCAAAATTAAAACAAACCAAAGAATTTTTGTTTTAAATATCCTTAATAGCTTTCCCAAGGCTCCAACTGTTTCTTGTAATGTTGAGTCCACCTACAAAAATCATAACAAATGTGATTAGTGCCATATCAAGTTACCATTCATACCTCTATATTTCCCATGTTTTGGACTGATTTCACTTGAGCGAAAATTTAATTTCAACCAGTCATTATTTTTCATTGTGGAATTATTCATTTGTATGTAAAAATAAGGAAAACACAAAAATATGTGAATATATATAATTTCACTTGAAGGAAGCTCTCTGCAAGGCTGCGTTGACAATTGACTCTTAGGCAACACCCGGTGCTCAACTTTGGTGATGCTTCCTGTTTTATCTTTGGATGTTTCACCGATTGTTTATCACATGTTTTTCTTTATTTACATCCACAGAGCTATTATATCCATATTTGCATCATACATGTAAAGCTGAGACAATAATTGTTTAAATCTTCATATGATAACTGCATTACACTGTGAATTAACAAATGATGATGTCCACTGCCTAAGGGTTAAATTATTCACACCGTTATAAAGCTCAATAAATTATTCATTCAATTATAATGCTTAATAAATTCACCCCATTATAAATCATAATAATTTCACTGTTATAGGAATTTATAACATTTTAAAATAGTTTTGGGTAATTAATGACCTAACTGAAAACATTTTTGTTTTAATTATTTTAATTATTTAATTAATTGCCTGAAATGCTATGCGTACTAATGCCTTTAGGTATTGTATGTATTAGCTCTATCTATAAATCAATCAGAATGTTTGTAACTCTGCATCAATGTTACCTGGTTGATGGGGTTCTGGGAGTTCTTCTACTTCCCAAGCCCGGCCCGAGGCCAGACTTGACTTGTGAGAGTTTGGTCCACCAGGCTGTTGCTTGGAGTGGCCCTCAGGCCCACATACCCACCACAGCCCGGTTGGTCTGGTACTCCTTGAAGAAAACAATCTAGTTTCCTCTTGAAGATGTCCTCAGTTGTTCCGACAAAATGTATGTACTTTTCATAAATAAAATATTATAATTATTATTATTATTATTATTATTATTATTATTATTATTATTATTATTAAAGTAAACTCCCAGTTGACTCAGTACTTCAGTTAATCAGAAGCGCGAAGTTACTAAGACTTATAACAAGGGAATATTTTGTAGACATCCTATAGCAGTTCAGGACTTGCAAAGGGTGCTTCGTTTATTATGGAAGACACTATTACTTGTGGAAGATGTCAATGGATGGTTAAAGCTTTCTCAGCATGTATGAAAGGTTAGCCATATTTTTAATTAACCCAGAACTGTAATATAATTGATCCACATGTACTGTATAAAATACTGTACTTAAAATTGAGCCTACTGTATATATGATGAACATACATTGATGTCATTGAAGCTAATCTATCTTGTTTAGTACTTACACTAAGGTCAATGAAGCTAATATACTTGAGTTATCAAAGAACACGATACCCTAGTAGAGTACTTGAACATTATCTCTATAGACTCATGGGGTCACCACAACAAAACTTTGAACATAGTGATGGCTTATCTGTATAAACACTCATAGATACATACATTCACAACCTGGAGTTTCTTATCAGTTGTGTACAGTATTTCTTTTTCAGTTCAGTTCCCAGATTCTAATAATATTGGCAATAAATAGTATAAAGAGATACCTGTACTGTTGTTTTGGCATTTTTATTTGCTTAGGCAACATACATTTCCAGGCAGTATTGTAACTGACTTAACACTTCAGAGGTGTATTCACCTAGTTGTCTTTGTGGGGGTTGAGCTTTGCTCTTTCGGCCCACCTCTCAACTGTCAATCAACTGTGATTTAAACTGCATGGCTGAATATAATATGTGAATGTTAGGTATTAGAAGAGAAGAATGCAGTCATCTGTGTGATGGTTGACATTCTGCGATGGCCTCATATATAGTACTGTTCTTCTGTTTCAGAAGATCAGTCAACCAGTTTTGCATGGCCTCAGATAACCTTTCCCACTTCTCTGACCCCACCCCTCCCATGACACCCCCCTTCCCTGACCCCACCCTTCCCATGACATATGATTTTCCTCTGGAGCTTGGCTCTGGCTAGGAGCACCAATCAATTCAAAACAAAGCTGGAATATACTGAGGCTGGGCCAATGGGTGACAAGGCACTACCCTGGGGGACTCCGCCTCTCAAAGCTCAACCAATGAATACAGTGTCACTCATTGGCCAGCCAAACTCTTGACTTGGCTCCGCTCCTAGGCCTCCTTGGTGACATAGGCCTGTCCTGAAAGTATGTTTTGCTCCCGTAGAATCATGTACCATTCCAACGCTCCAACGGGAAACCCAAACGGCCATATGGCTCCCAGCTCCCTCACTCAAAACTTGAGAATTACCCTCCCCTAGACCCTCCACTTCCCCAGACCCCCACTCCCCCAGACCCCCACTCCCCCAGACCCCCACTCCCCCAGACCCCCACTCCCCCAGACCCCCACTCCCCCAGACCCCCACTCCCCCAGACCCCCACTCCCCCAGACCCCCACTCCCCCAGACCCCCACTCCCCCAGACCCCCACTCCCCCAGACCCCCACTCCCCCAGACCCCCACTCCCCCAGACCCCCACTCCCCCAGACCCCCACTCCCCCAGACCCCCACTCCCCCAGACCCCCACTCCCCCCAGATCCCCACTCCCCCAGATCCCCACTCCCCCAGACCCCCACTCCCCCAGACCCCCACTCCTCCAGATCCCCACTCCCCCAGACCCCCACTCCCCCACTCCCCCAGACCCCCACTCCCCCTGACTCCCACTTCCCCAGACCCCCACTCCCCCTGACTCCCACTCCCCCAGACCCCCACTCCCCCTGACTCCCACTCCCCCAGACCCCCACTCCCCCAGACCCCCCACTCCCCCAGACCCCCCCCACTCCCCCTGACCCCCACTCCCTCTGACCCCCACTCCCCTAGACCCTCCACTCCCCCTGACCCCACACATTTTCACTTGACTAATGTGTAGGTTTAAGTGTTTACTGTATTTGTTCCTTCACAACAATGATTTGTTTATTACTATACAGTAATATGTTTAACCAAGTTTTTTTTTTAACCAATTACAGTAGAGATCTATCAGTTAACCGGAACTTGATAATGATTTCTTTTAGTTAATTGATTGTGTTTACAGACAGGATGTGGGAACTGGAGGACTTCACTGAGATTCGCAGGTGGTATGCGCTGCATCTCCTGTTGTGTGTCACTTTTTTTATATCGGGCGTGATAATCAATGCTGTCCAGTGTCTGTTGTATGTCACACTGAGGCCCTTCAACAAACCTCTCTATTGCAACATCAACTACTACCTCATGTATTCGCTCATGTCCCGTAAGTATTTTTTATTGTTGATTCGTGCAAATAATTTATTATGATCTTACATAGTTTGTAGATGTGGTGAACTCTGTTATTCCTATAGGCAAGATCAAATTTGATTGCCAAAGATTTGTCAAGGAAGGGGAAGGGATTGGAGACAGTGAAGCAGGAAATGTGGCACAGTTTTAGATTGCTTGGCTCCACACCTGTACATGATTTTGTCCAGATTTGAGCCCTGGGCAGAGGGGGTCAGCTAGGCAGCAATCTTTAATTATTCACCCTTGTTCACCCAGAAGCAATTGGGGGCTTCATAATAAATTGATTGGCAGATTGTGTTACACAGAAAACTAATAGGGTAAGATAAGTTGTGGGAAGGGAAAGCTCTAAGCCTGCTAATGATACAATAGTCAGAGACCTCTGAGAGGGGGAAAGTTAATTAAATGACTTTAAAGTTAGGAAGTGGAGTCATAGTGTTTGTTTTAGTTTGTTAGCGATTTTTATTATTTTAGAATAGTAGTTAAGAACTATATGCACTGTCCAGTAATTTTATGCATTTCACCTAAAAGAGCTTTACTTGTTCATCAGAGGTGTTATTTTTGGCTGAATGGTGGTCGGGGTCAGATGTACGCGTGTTTACATCAGATGAATCATTCCAAAAATGGGGTAATGAACATGCATTAATTATCATGAACCACACCTATGAAGTGGACTGGCTGATGGGATGGATTATTGCTGACCGTTCTCACACTCTTGGGGTAAGTTTGTTAGTTTTCCTTTAATTTATTAATTATTGTAATTAATGTTATGGTATTTGTAATAAAAAAATAATTATGATAGTGATTTGATTTAGTTATTTACCTGCACCATTGCTACCATTATACTGTATACAGTACTGTAAGTTTATATTATAAGCTTGCAGTATACAGTATGTATACTGCATACTCCTAATATGACTTCAATCACATTTTTAATTATTTTCAAAGATGGGTGGAACATTACAAGAAATAGTAGGGGGTCTTGGGAAAGGCATTGAGCATCTTTAAAACCAAATTCTATGTTTCATTTTAATTTTGAGATTTCCCAGTTTTTGTTCACTAATATGGGTCCTTTTTATTTTAAATGAAATTTCAAGGACATGGGAAATTTACTGAATATTTCTTTAAAGACGGGTTCTCATGGTAGTTGTCCTTCATATGACAATATAAAATTAAAATTTTACTTGGTGAAATCAGTCCATAGAGCGTGGAAAATATTAGGGTATGAATGGTAACACGCTTAATGTGGCCTCAGTCACATTTTTTATGATTTTTTGTTGATGGACTCAGCATTACAAGAAACAGTTGGAGCCTTGGGAAAGCCACTGAGAATATTTAAAACCAAAGACTATGGTTTGTTTTTATTTTGAGTTGGCAAGGTTTTCGTTGTTTCAAGTATGGCTCTGCTACCTTTTGAAAATGAGTTTTGAGGCTGGGGACATGAGAAATAAGATAGATGTTAAATTTTTGGCAGACATGTTCATTTGGTAATTGTCTATAATAGGTTGAAATTCAAATTTTTCTAAGTGAAATTAGCCCATAGGGCATGGGAAATACATCTTGGAGGCATCTCTAGTTGCAATGTATTCTTCACCGCAATGAATTAGGGTTGGTCTCATATAATTCGTTGAATCGAGGTTGTATGGTATCATGATCATGATCCTCGGTGATTAGCCAGTCAGTTGTCAAATGACTCTCTCCCAGGGTGAGGACTTGGCTGCAATGTATGGCTGCATTGGTCCTGTTGATTTCACGGTTCCGGATGAGAAACTTTTGCGGGTTCTGTGCATCCACAGTGGTGCTTCTTATGACCTAGTAGTATCCCATATCCACCAGTACTTCACTACTATGGGGATGATAAGGCTGAAATTTAAGGGCCCTCTACCCTCCAGTTTTGCTCTGGCATTTGGCGTATGATGTACGGGGTATCAGTTCCCGCTCCATCACTGCTACATCATCCACCATTATGTACAGGGTAAGTTGACATTTAGTAAAGAAATAGCTAGGTGCTTAGAAGAAACCATGATGCAGGAATGTAATCTGTATGTGCATGAAATCAGCCCTCAAGTGCGGCAGAACCACCCTTGTATGTGGCGGAACCTGCCCTCAAGCCTGGTGGAACTAGCTCTTACGCAAACCCAGGCTATTTTCAAATTGCTAAATTTGCCACGTCACATGTGGAACTTTAGTCTTTAAAATAAATTTACTTAATATACATAAAAATGTCTTGTTTATACTCGGGGCTATCTGTACATGTGTATAGTGCTGTACAGTGTATTGAGAAAAATGACAATGTGATTTTAATATTTGTATTTTTGTGTAGTACTTTTATTTTAATGCAGTTCTATATACAGTATGTGTTTCCTGAAAAAGAATTTGCTGTTTTCTTACTTGTGGTAATTGTCCTGATTTTTAATTTACCTTGAAAATTCTATTTTTTTTTTTACAGTCTGCAAAGGTGTTTGTAAAGAAAATGATGCAGTATGTACCAACAATAGGATGGGCTTGGCGTTTTTCTGACACCATCTTCCTTAATAGAAATTGGCAGGAGGATAAAACAATCATGCAGTCTCAAATAAAAGAATTCTTTGACTACCCATATCCAGTTTGGGTGAGTAGTATCATTTATGTTCATTTTATTTAAAGAGAAAGCCACATGCAGTACATTATAAAAATCCCAGACTGGGAAACCCTAAGTTTTTTCTAAATGCCATATATTGTACTGTATTTGGCAGTGGCTAAGTGTGACTGGGCGGTCAAATGTTAACCTCAATAACCCAGTTGGATGATGCACCATGTTTAATTAAATGTCTTACGTCAAAGTTTTGGTTTGTAAACAGCATGCTGTAATTTCTGCCACAGGTGTTCTGGCAGGTGGCTGGAATTCTTAACACTTGAAAGAAATAATGTTAAAAATAAAAGTTTCTCTTAAGACGTGGAGTTGAACAAAATACCTTTTGTCACACAATACCTGTCATAGTTGTCTTGTTTGTTTTCCTGGTTAATTTCACTGGACAAAATAGGTCAGTGTCTGATATATTAGACAAGGATGTGCCAGCCAACCATGGCGACGATGGTGGTTCGTGCAGTGTTTCTCCCATGGACATTTCTGATCCCTTTGAGGGTTTTCAGGACCTGTTGTTCCGTGGCATGCCTTACGGTCATGACATTCTCCCGGTCTTGGAGGGGGATCTCGAGGGTGTTTTTCTGGACAGTAAACATCATAGTAAGGCTAATAGTTTGGAGGCGAAACGTCGCCTGCGTGATTCCCGCAATCTCTGTCTCCACTCCCTCCCGTCAGACGAGTTGTCCTGGCCTATGTACGTTCATCATCTCCTTTGATGCCAATATGCCAGCTGATTGGAGTGTTTTTGGAAATATAAAAGACTTCTTGCCCTATTATCAGGCTGTTCCCGAGTTTTTTAAGATCAAGGTGCATGATTTCAGACCAAATAAATGCAGGAACTTGATTGCAGTGGACCACGCTTCCCCCGGGGACTTGATGCTTTTGGACGTTACTGATATCTGTGGTTATGAGGTCTGGTGTTATATGCCTCTGGGTGACCATTTGGTACGATATGTGGTCCAGCATGTTGTTTACGTTAGTGCGGACAACATCAAGGCACAACTGCAGGATGCTGACCTTCCGATCTTTAGTGTCAAGAAATTTATGCGTAGGATTGATGGCGACCTGTGTGATACCGGCACTGCCCTCCTTACTTTGCTTGACTCCCTTCCCCCTGATCCGGTTTGGATTAATGGCTTCCTCTATAAATTGGAGGTGTACGTCCCCCATCCCACTCAGTGCTTTCGTTGTAAGGGTTTTCACCATCCCTCCCATGGCTGCACCAATGACGTCCGTTGTGGCAAATGTATCCACTCGCTAATCTGGACTATATGGGAAGGACCCCCAGCCGGATTATCACGTTTTCCGGATTAACATACTTTTTCACCTGTGAGTCCAAAAGTGACCATTTCCAACTATTTTTATACCACAAACAACATAAATTGAATTACCTTGCCACATAGAACTATATAATATTCAACTAGAAACCTCAACTTACCTTGTTGTTGTTCGTCTTCTTGATTGATGCCACACATCTTGAAGTTAAGAATTCTTGACAATTTACGTAACCTATTCTAACACAACACTAAAATTAACACTTAAAATTACTGTACAATTCATGAGGCAAAGTTAATTTTGACTGCCAGCTGCTGAAGCCTCACTGGTTAAAGGCGCCTGGCTTGCCTGTGACGCCTCACTGGTTGAAGACGCTTGGCTTGCCTGTGATGCCTCACTGGTTGAAGACGCTTGGCTTGCCTGTGATGCCTCACTGGTTGAAGACGCTTGGCTTGCCTGTGACGCCTCACTGGTTGAAGGCACTTGGCTTGCCTGTGATGCCTCACTGGTTGAAGATGCTTGGCTTGCCTGTGAGGCCTCACTGGTTGAAGATGCTTGGCTTGCCTGTGAGGCCTCACTGGTTGAAGACGCTTGGCTTGCCTGTGAAGCCTCACTGGTTGAAGACGCTTGGCTTGCCTGTGAGGCCTCACTGGTTGAAGACGCTTGGCTTGCCTGTGATGCCTCACTGGTTGAAGACGCTTGGCTTGCCTGTGAGGCTCCACTGGTTGAAATGTATTTCAGGTATTGCTCTTTTTGTTTCCTTATATCAGAAACAGTACTAGTGCCTATATTAAAGTCCTTGGCAACACTTGAAGTCGACTGGCCACTTTCACAAAGTTGTATGACATGTAACTTGTCTTTAATTGTTACGGTAACCTTCTTTCTCTTAACACCTCCAGAACAATTGATGCTGCTACCAGACATAGTCTTGCCCAAAAATGCTTGACCAGACCTGGACGGGTCCACTTGGGGCAGGCAGGCACGTTACGTAGGCCGCCAGGCGGAAAAACTCAATATTTTTGGAGCAAACTTCAGCCTGTGTAATTTTTTTTTAGGAAACTTGTATATTTGTTATTATATAGTTATTTCTTTTGTTTTTGACTGTGATGAATTGTTCTAAAATTAATGGTAATTCCTGTACAGTAGTGTATAGGCCCCTCCACATCCCCCTTATACCCCTGGCTATTCCCCAGGTGGTTCCTCCCAACGCTCCCCTCTCTCCGACACCACCTGCCCACCTCACCCCCTCCTAAACCATGCGCCTAGAGCCTCAGCCGTACGGGATTAATACCGCACGGCCCGCTGCCTGTCTTTCTGATCCGGACAATTCACAAGCCACTGTCCGGATTGTGTAACGTCGGCAGCAAGTTAACCGGCTCAGATTTTTTATCCGGCCTAACACCCGCTGGTCCGGCTCCCATGGACATTTTGGCCGGATGGTGAGATAACTTTATCCGGCCACGATTTTGGCTGGATTACGGTGTTTTTCAGATTAGCGAGTGTCTACAGTGCTCTGGTTCCCATTACACTCGTGACTGTGAGTCCGACAAACTCTGTTGCCCCAACTGTGGTGGTGGTCATGCCATCACTTTCAAGCAGTGTCCTTCCTACGGTGCTCACTAAGGCTCTCCCCATCGTCACTTCGCCCTCCAGTTGTTCTTTGCCTCATCCTGCCCATGTTCCTCGTCACCCGTCGCTTTCCCCTCCGCCGCTGCCTTTGCCTGTGCCTGACCTGTTTGTCACTGACATTCCTCTCGCCCCTGAGGCTTCTCTCCCACCCGCCATTCAACTGAGTCCTGATCTTGTTGATGCTATTGTCGCTCGCATTGTGGATGCACGCGAGATGGTGCTGGTCTGTCGCGTCACTAAATTCTTTCCCCAGTCCGTCCTTCCCGTTCCTGAGGCTTACCCGTTGCTCCTCTCCTCCACTTCTTCGGTTGACGTTCATCCTTTCCCAGCTGTCTCTGCTATCTCCAGTGCGTTTGAATTGATGCTGGACAACGCCCTTCGGAACTCTTTGGCGAGCCTTCCCTGTGTGTGTTCCCAGGCTGCCTTGCTGCACATCTCTGCCCCTGGTACTAAGCGGATGCAATCCTCCGTCGTCCTGATTTCCAAGCGCCCTGCCACCTTGCCTGATGGGCCTCCTACATCACATTCTCCCACGACCTGTCGCCCTTTGCGCCCTTCTTAGGTATTCCTCCCGTTGTCCTGCTGGCACTTCTGCGGAGTCCGATGTGTTAGCGTCCCAGTTGTGAGGCCCCGAATGCCGTCTACGTACCTTGCCCTGTCCTAACCTCGCCTGTCCCGTCTTGACTTCCTCTCCCCTTCTACACATTCGCTCCTTGTACCTTTCTCTGTTCGCACCTCCCTTCCTTTCTCATGTCTGCTTTGCACTTGCCTCCTTCACATCCTTCGCTCCTCGCCCTTCGTCTCTTGCCTCCGTTCCTCGCTTTCTTTACTGCGGCGACGCTTTGCGTTCGCCTTCTGTTTTCTTTATTCCCATCCTGCGTTCCTTTCCTCTTGTTTATTTCGCCTTTATCCTCGCCCACCTGCACGGCATCGTTATCTTCTTGACTCGAGCACGTCGTGACCATTGATGTGTTGTTGTGCATTGTCATATATGCATCTTTCTACATTACCACTCGTGCAGTTATCTGGAGGATATACCTTCATGCAAACTGCACGTATTGCAAAGAAGATATATTAGACCATAATAGTTTTGTGAAATGTGAGGACCTTTACCATGAAGTGATGCTGACTGGTGATTGTTGAGTTTTGTGAAGTATGGGCACCTGTAGCATGAGGTGATGCTGACTGGTGATTGTTGAGTTTTGTGAAGTATGGGCACCTGTAGCATGAGGTGATGCTGACTGGTGATTGTTGAGTTTTGTGAAGTATGGGCACCTGTAGCATGAAGTGATGCTGACTGGTGATTGTTGAGTTTTGTGAAGTATGGGCACCTGTAGCATGATTGAATTCCTGGTGATTGAATATATATTGTAAATTGTAAATTATGTGAATATAAAATTAAATTGTGAAAGTTTTAAGTAATACAGTGCATGAATTTAAATTGTAAATTATGTGAAATAGCTAACCACACATGCATAAAACAAGTGCATTTAGTTGTACTGTATACCCACAAGCACTATTTTTGTTCTATTGACTTTTCATCATAAACTTTAGTTTTAATTTTAGTACATTAATATATAAATATTATACTGTATACAACTAAATCATATTAAATTACAGCCAACTAGTATACACTGAACCACCTCTTGTATTTTTGAATTGTGGTACTGTATAACAAAGATACAGTAGCCTTCATGGGGCTAATTTTATTTTAGCACAATCCTTGCAACATAAAGGATTCACTTACACATATTCATGTATCATTCTCTTATGAATGCTCTTGAAGAAAATTATCATCATCCAAAAAGTTTCTTCAGTACAAATTATTATTTGGGGGATCATGTTCATAGCTTAGTATAAATGGAATGATTAGGTATGACTATACACTATATGATAACCTTATGGAGTGATCAGCGCTGATGATTTATTTCCTTTTTTATTCCTGATGCTAATTTTTGTCTTAACTAGATGCTGCTTTTTGCTGAGGGGACAAGGTTTACACCAGCAAAACACGAAGCAAGTATGGAGTTTGCTCGCAAGAGAGGTCTTCCAGAGTTGAAACGACACCTGATCCCTCGCACTCGAGGCTTTATCCAGTGTGTACAGTCACTCCAAGGAAATTTCCCTGTAATTTATGATGTTACTGTTGGGTTTAACACGTAAGTATTTCAATTGTTAATATCTTAATTATCATTATTACCAATTCCCAGTTTATGGAGTAGGGACATACCAAAAAGATAATGCATACCAAAGCTAATGATACAGTAGTAAAGTTAAGTCAGGTTATTACAATTATTCATTGACAGATTTCACATTTATAACAATTTCACTAGTAGGAAAATCAATTGGAGTTCTGAAGTGACTCGAACCCGCGACCGAGAGACTCCCAGTCGCAGACACTAACCACTGGACCACCATGACTTTTACCTCGTGTATTCAAGCATAACCTTTGTTAATTTCTTTTAACTACAAAATTCTGTGAGACTGGAATTATCTTTTCTGCTGTTTGCTGACACCTAAATGTAAAATATAGAGAAAAGCCTAGCACATTAGTCATATCCAGAAATAATGTTACATGTTTCTGATGACATTTTAACATCATGAGCTGCACTGGTAAGTGCCTAGTAGATGCTGACCAATAATGTCCATAGTAGGTACTGCTACAAAAGACAACAAAAGGGAATGTTTAGATGTTATAACCAGCTGTAGTTTCCTAGAGCAAGAAATTATGACTGTAAAGGATTAGTTTGCAGCTTAATGGCGAGCTAAATTTTACATTTAGTGTGAACAAGCTAGATCTATCGAAGCTGGACACGTGAATTTTTTTTATGTGGGGTTGAGGTGTTTCTCCTTGTGACTGTTAAGTGTAGCTGTCTAAGGTCTGGTGATTCTTGAGGTGGTGTCCAGTGGTTACAGGTTTAACTAGCAGTGTGTGGTAAGCGTAGCAGACCCAGTGGAATTGATGCAGTAATACAGAGTTTTCCACACTATCACTTCATTTATGTAAACCCTATGAAATATTGCACACTTTTGATATATGGATTTTATACTTCATGTACAGTGTTATTGAAATTTATAGTATAGACTTCATCCCATCTTTTATAGACTTGGTCCCATCTTGGATTTGTATGTTGTCCCTTCCTTAAATTTTTCCTCTTCTCATTATCACAAAGTTATTTTGGATTGCATTTCTGCTGTGTTTGTTGGTTTGTTGTTCTGTATTCATTCCATTTTTCGTCCTCATCTCTTGCAATCTCTGTTAAATTTGAAGTTAAATATCCTGTATGCCTCAGTCTCTCCAGTATTTTCTGTGTCACCATGGATAGCATATTGAGTGGGTCAAGATCACTTATACTTATGATAGGAAGGTACAGTACTATAATTTAAAAATTTCTTCAGCTTTTGTGAAAAATACAAAATCCATCATTGATGGTCCGTCACATTCCTTTAGACTTCTGGCCTGCTTAACGTGCAGATACATAAAGCTTTCCAAAAAAAAGAGATTCACAAATTGGATAGCTATGTTTCTTTGTTCTTGCCTCGTAAACCTTCCCGTCTATAGTTACAGTAATACACTAATGAGCACTTCTCGTTTTTCATAGAGTTCCTCTCTAGTCCAAGTGTTATTTGCCAGCAAGCTGTATTTGTGAATTTTTAAATATTAATTTATGCACTTGATTTTGGATTTCCATTGCTGCAATATCAACCTCTCGGAGATTATCAAATGTTAATTCTTTGATGTTTATAGTGTTTAATTGGCACTGCAATGCCTCACCTTATTTGGTCTTTATCTGTAGTCTCTAAATTGAATAAGCTTTTGGAAATAATACCCCATTTAATAAGCCTTCAGAAATACCACACCTTTTTAACGTCTTCAGAAATATCACTCCATTTAATATGCCTTCAGAAATGCCACTCCATTTAATAATAGCTTTCAGAAATACCACCCTATTTAATAAACTCTCATAAATACCACCCCATTTAATAAGCCCTCAGGAATACCACTCCATTTAATAAGCCCTCAGGAATACCACTCCATTTAATAAGCCCTCAGGAATACCACTCCATTTAATAAGCCCTCAGGAATACCACTCCATTTAATAAGCCCTCAGGAATACCACTTCATTTAATAAGCTCTCAGGAATACCATCCCATTTAATAATCCTTCAGAAATACCACCACATTTAATAAGCCCTCGGGAATACCACCCCATTCAGAAATAGCCTTCAGAAATATCACCCAATTTAAGTTTTTGTTGATTTCATGAAGGAAAATAACTATTCACACACACAGGCAGAACCGAACATTGCCATAATCCTCGTGGCAAATTTTCTGAAGTTTTTAAACTTTTCAGGAAGGTATATAAAGAAACCAGGTATCCCCACTTCAAGATACTTTGCTCTGAGTATAGAATCTGACTGCATTTCTAATATTTCTATCTGCAAGCTTTCTTCTGCCTTGGCAGCATCAAAGGTGAATGGTGCTGAGAATAATGCAGAGAGGTGTTCAAAAGATGAGAAATCACAAAATCTTTGGATTTTCCTATGGATTTTCTCATATTATTTGTTGTATTGTTTAATTCTAAATTTTTGTTTTTAACAGTAAAGAGGGTGAAGAGCCATCATTACATAACATGCTTCGAGGCAGGAAGGTAATGAGCGAAGTGTATGTACGGCGTATTCCTTTGGACGAAGTTCCTGATGATGAAGAAAGTGCCTCTAAATACCTTCATGATCTATACAGGACAAAGGTACTGCGTTACAAGCTTGATTTCTCTTGTCTTTATCCTGAAAGTATGATGTATGTCATATTGATGTTTAGTGTTTGAATATACAGTACTGTAGTATTATAATGCAGATGTATTAATTATACTTTCCCTATTGTAACTGATGAAAGTAATGGTTTAGTGAGACCTCTTTTTGTATATTGTTTTCTGTAAATTTCTTAACTTTATTGAAATTATTAATGATCTCTTTGTCATGAATTTTGCTTTTCTAAGCAGTGCAGGATGTATATAAATTCTTTTGTCCTTGCTTTTAAGAGCAAAAGTCCAAAAATGTAAATGCTGTACTGTAATGATAATGGTGAATATGTAAATGTTAAGAACTTGTTAGTAAAGTGTACTGAAATATTTTGTTCATTAACAGGACCAGTTATTAGACAGCTACATTAATACGGGAAGTTTCACTAAGGAGAATGACCTTCCAGAGTACTCCAGTCGCCCAATGCCAAGGAGATTGTATTCACTCCTAAACATGATCGGATGGGCCTCATTTGTTCTCTCTCAGATACTTAACTTTTATTACAACCTCATAACAAGTGGCTCACTACTCTCAATATCGTTTGCCGTTGGCATTGCCATCTTTGGTAAGTGGGTTTCAGTTTATTCTGTATAGGTTTAAGTTTATTCTGTATAGTTAGTACAAATTGGTTTCTGTTATTTGCAGTGCTCTTGTTTCTGCCACAAGTCTTCCATATATTTATCTAGTAAAATAGTCTTAACATATTTATCTGTATCCTCCGGGCTACACTGGCTAGTGTTGTGCCACCATGTTGTTGTTGACAAAGGGGGATGAAAATCAGTGGTGCAATGCTAGAACTGTTGATAGAATGTACTTTTACCACAGTTGGAATTTATAGGAGAATCACCAAAAATGTTTAAAAAGTTTTAGAATGAGGATATAGTTTGTATATATTAGGTATAAGAGAAATCTCTCTTAGGGAAAAAGAAGTTGGAAAAGGTGGAGAAACTAGATTGTATGCAAGAAGGTTTGAACAAGGGGTCTGTGTGGGGTTGGGTTTTGAGGAGTACAAATGTATGGAGTCATGTGACAAGCCTTTGTGGTGCAAGTAGTACACAAACATAACTTTTCTGTGAGGCTCAGTATTCCATTGTACATTCTTGACCCACTCCTATCCCCGGCCCCATGGACATACACTTTTACTTTTCTTTTGAGCATGGAATAACATTCCAAACCCAAACTATACAAGTACTTGTCATACTTAGTTTGATACTCTATTTTCATGATTCTGAATCTGAAGTATAATGTATTCACTTTGAGATCCAGGCATTGTAAGAAGTTTACAATGGAATTTATAGTTGGAATGAGATATTTTTTTATATGAAAGACTGAAAATATAACCGTGTATTATCTTTATCGAGCCTGGCTCCAGGTCGGGCTTGGAGAATAGAACTCCCAAAACCCACTTGGGGTATACCCTCTCCAGGTATCTAGTTACAAAGATCTTGGTTTCCTACCTCTGGCTTCAGTGTTTTATAGCTTCTCCAGTTTGACTGTGATGGCTTGGCACTTTTGGGATAAACTGTTATTTTATTGATCTTCACAGACTGGTTGTCCAGAGTTTTCTTATCTGCAGTATGGTTATTTGTGCATTCATCTGAGGGTATTTTAATCTTGTGTTTGAAATGTGCTCATAATATTACTTTTAATAACAATCTGATTGTTTTGTTGCTGTATTTATATTAATTTAATTTCTGCCATAAATGTTCAATTCAATTCAATTTTTATTCAAAATAATGCGTATACACAGAACATAAGAGTAATGTACAGTTGTAGGGACAGGAGTTCTACAGTCTATGAAGCCACTATTACACAAAGCGTTCTGGGCAAAAACATAAAATAAATAGACAAAAAATGTAACTTTCCTGTGTGGCATTGTTTAGACAATCTCTGTTTTGCATCATACTGTGTTGTACCATTTATACTACAAATTCAGTCAATAGTTTATAAGAGTTAACAAAAAATAATAATCCTAAGTTTAATGTGAGTTCAGAGTGAATTAGGGTTTGGGAGAGGAGATTGAATAACAACATTTGGAGACTTTCATTATAAGGTAATGTGGATTTAAGAGGTTGCACTGTATAATATTGTGTGGGTACAAATGGCTGCTTCTGTCACTGGTGGGGGTGGGTCTTAGTTTATTGTGTTATTCCTGTTATCCTACCTTACCTTACCTTGAGGTGATTCCGAGGATCAGTTTTCCTGTGGCGTTTCCACTCTCTCATCTGCTATACAATGACAGCCCATTTCAAAGCTAGAGAAATTGCTGACCTGGAGAGCGTGCAGAGATCCTTTACTGCTAGAATTCACTCAGTAAAACATCTAAACTACTGGGACCGACTAAAGAGCCTAAATCTGTATTCCCTTCCCTTAAGCGCAGGCGGGAGAGATACATAATAATTTACACGTGGAAAATAGTAGAGGGGCTGGTCCCAAACCTGCACACAGAAATAACATCACATGAGACCAGAAGGCATGGCAGGATGTGTAGAATACCCCCGTTGAAAAGCAGAGGTACAACAGGTATTCTGAGAGAGAACTCTATCAACATCAGAGGCCCGAGACTTTAACACGCTTCCGCTACACATAAGGGGCATAACTGGCTGACCCCTCAAATTGTTCAAGAGAGATCTGGATAAGCACCTCCAAAGGATACCTGATCAACCAAGCTGTGATTTGTACATCAGGCTGCGAGCAGCCACGTCCAACAGCCTGGTTGACCAGTCCAGCAACCAGGAGGCCTGGTCGACGACTGGGCCGCGGAGATGCTAAGCCCCGGAAGCACCTCAAGGTAGGTGGCCAGGGCTCTGACCTGGCCTCCTGGTTGGTGGTCTGGTCAATTAGGCTGTAGGAAGCGGCTGCTCGCTGCCTGATGTGTGAATCAGAGCCTGGTTGATCAGGTATCCTTTGGAGGTGTTTATTGAGTTATCTCTTGAAAACTGTATGAGGCTGACCAGTTATGCACCTTATGTGTAGAGGGAGAGTGTTGAAAAGTCTTTGGCCTTTGATGTTGATAAAGTTTTCTCAGTTTATCTATTGCACCTTTGCTTTTCAATAAGGCTGTTTTGTACATCCTGCCATGTCTGGCTAGACTTGTAGGCCTCTTCACCTGGCATTTCAACTAGTCAGAGGTTTTGGTTGTAGCCTTTTCTATGCTTTGCTAAGTTTTGAGTTAGTCAAATTGTAGAGATTGGTCCAACACTGTTGGTTCACATTGAAGTGTGTCAAAATGGGTGTCTTTTCTGTCTCTGGATTCTTCCCTCATGACTTTACATACTTGCCTTTGTTTCTCTTCTGGCTTCTTGAAATACTTTTCTCCCAGCTGTTATCTGTTGCGTAGTGTTGATGTTGCAGATGGGCACCCTTCTTTGTTTTAGTTCATATAGGATGTATCTGGAGCTTACCTACCAAAAGAAGGCTAAGGAAAGTGGCACTGTTCACCATTCCTTGGAAGGCTGTGTATTCATGATGCTATTGTATTAGGTTTGTATTCATGATGCTATTGTAGAAGCCATGCCTGATGGAAATATTTTTGTGTGTTCTCTGGTCCAGTTGCCTTTAACCCTTAAACTGCGCATGGCGTATATATATGCCATGAGTAACATGTTCCACATTGTGCATGGCATATATATATATATGCCATGAGTAACATGTCCCGCTGTGCGCATGGCGTATATATACGCCATAGGGTGCCAGGCACGATTCAAATGGCCCGCGGCTACACGGGGTTCACATCAGCTTCCTAAGGGCAATTGTAAACAGATGCCATGTTTAAAAAAAATCGTGGGCAATATTCTCTGGTGAGAGAGCCACAGTACTGTGGGAGCAACCAAGGCTGGCGCATGCAGCATGAGCTAACAGCGTTGCTGTTTAGCTTGTGACCACAGCATCGCCTAAAAATGTCATAATAAATATGTAAATGCTATTATTTAGCGATGACAGTATTACAGATGACCCCTGACTGTGATAAAAATGTCCAGGATTGTGATAATAGCAGGATTGTTATGATAATTAGCGCTGTGTGGGGGGAATAATGCTGAGGGAGGGAGGGAGATTACTGACTGTGTGGCCACCTGTTAGTCTGCATTCACTATACCAGCTCAGTGGTTCTCTATGGTGAACACAAATGTAGATGCGAACAAGCTTGAATGGCCTCCAAACTATATGAGAGAAGTAGATACTTATATATAATGTGTGTATTAATGTAATAACAGCAAAAGTATTATGTTGGGAGGAGCCATTTGGGTGACGGAGGTGACGTCGTCTGCATGACTTGTCTAGCTGTGTAGAGGGTGGCCACTATGCTCTTTGGACACCCTACAAGCTTAGGTGTACAGCTACGGTGCATACAACATGTAGATACTTATATATAATGTGTGTATATAGTGTAATAACACTCCAAACAGTATTGTTGGGGGAGAAATTTTGTGTACCTGACCTTGAATGAGTGAAGGAGGCAGCCGCCAGCTGACTGTGTGTATAGAGATGTCTCCTAGTGCCTGAACTAACTGTATCAGCTTAGTTGTACAGTTGTGGTGAACAAAACATGTAAATACTTATATAAAATGTGTGTATATAGTGTAATAACTGCAAAACTATTTGTTTATTGCTTTATGAACATAATAATTAAATCACTAATATGAACACCATACTTTTGAGTATAACGATGATTCACACATTTTATTATAGAACTCTATCACACTACACACACTACTGAATAATACTACTGCAAAAAACTAAGAAAAAATCAGACACATTGAAATAATTAGGTGATATCTTTGTGGCAACTCCCACCTGTCAGCTAGGGTGACGCAGACCACCATTGACGACCGCTCTGTCAACGCCCGCATTTTACCGGCCTTCCTCGGCTTGAGTTAATTACCTTGACTTCCGTGAAACCGTTATTACCTGTCCAACTGACGGATAATATGCAACCGACAGTACTTAAAATACAAGACTTCAGCCCTCCCGGAATTCCTACAACCTGTCTGACTTCACCTGAAGTGATTGCTTGGCTAGGCTCCCTAACCGACCAACAACAGTTCCTTGGAAAATAATTAACCCAAACGTATCGTACGTTACTCAAATTGTCTTATGACAATTTCTCTAAGCGATGGGTGTTCCTTTGGTTACGTTACATTAATTGCCTCTCGATCGACGTTCACTGAATACTGGACTTCGATGACAACCAAATATACAGAAATAATACCAAGTACTCGTCCCAATGACGAGTTCACTCACGACACATTAAATCACCTCACTCGGTGATTTAACACGATTACAATCTGGTTGCAATTGACAAATTACTGCAGAACACCAGTAAATAACACCCTCGGTGCCCTAAACCATTAGAAAACGGCCCATACAATTTTACTGAACTACAATAACACATTCGGTGTTTGATCAATAACACTATTAACAATCACTTCCCAACCGTTAGCAACCCCTTTGCAATGACAAACACGTGGTGCTCTAATTTCACTATATTAGAACACGGTCCAACAATTTACAACCCCGTTGCAATGACACACACACACACGCTCGGTGCTCTAATACCACTTAGAACACGGCCCAACACTTTACTAGTCCAGGTGCATGGCTATTTATGTGCCCACTGCATGGCGAGCGTCACGTGCACGTACACTAGTAGAAGGTTTAGATGGTGTCAACCCATCCCCTCACACAGTCCTTGGTGTTATTCAACCACCTCTTGAGTTCTCTGCAAACCTTTGTATATGGAGTTGCCAGGGCAGACCTTACCTCCCATGAAAACAGGTGGCACCTGTCCACATCTTGTCGTGTCTTTTTTTTTTTTTTTTTTTGTACAGTATCTCAACCATTGAACTTGGGTACTACATACTAAAAAAAAAAAAAAAAAAAAAAAAAATCTTCCGCTTTTCTTTCTTAAGTAGCCCAGCTAGGTTAGCCTCATTCCTCTACAAGGTCCAGTGCCCTTCATTTGTGTGAAACACTTACGGTATTCCTATCTTCAATGCCATGTGCTGCTGCTGTTGTTGGAGGTTTTTAAGTATCCACATGTTAGCCTCCTTGCTGCTGCAAAGGTTCCCTACCTGCACTGCCAGCGTAATTAAAGAGTCTTGGGCAGGCTGTCTTCTTGATGACCTCTTGTGGCAAAGTAAGGTGATGTAGGGGTAAGTGTGAGGGCACAGCTCTTGTTCCTCCTCCAGTTTTTCTTTACAGGGCTTTGGCTGTCTGAAAGTTTATTAACCCAGATTACACTCTACAGTAATGTATTGCAATACAGTGTTTATACAAAGTACATGTTATGCAATATAGAAGAGTGCAGTTGATGTTAATCTAGTTCCTTCTTATAGTTCAGAGGTAGGAAAGAAATGATAAGAATAATGGATGAAATTTTATAATTGTAATGAAATTTTACTTAAAAAAGCTACCAAAATATTTGTCAATTGCTTTCTTCCATGTTGTATTATTGACTTTTTCTTTCAAGATTTCTATTTTATGCAAATAATCATATCTTTATTTATTTTTGTGTGTTTCAGCCTACCTGATGTTATACAAGATGATTGGCTTGACAAAAATTGACAAAGGATCCAAGTATGGAAGTACAGGAAGCAAGAAGCGTGATTAATGTAACTATACATGGTAATGTTTCCATGAAGTACGCCTACAATGTTATCAAGATAGTTAATACATAGGTTTTGGTTTATTCTTTACTTTAAATATCATAGTAGGCATAATTTGAGTTTAGGGGTAATTCCGTTTTTTTTATTTAATAATACGTTATTTTATTTGCTTTGCACCACCATGAGTTAATAACTATGGTACTGTATATAATTTTGTTTCTTAGTTTTTCATGTTAATTCTTCAATAGATTTTTATCATGATTTTTAGATCAAGTTCTTTAATCATTGCTAGGTACTGTAGGTAGTAGGCTGACATGCAGCACACACTCACTTGGTGGTTATAAAATTTAGTCCTTGGCTACCTTTTATCAAATTCCATACAAACTTGTTAATAAATTTTCAAAACACCGATGCAGTACGTAGCTTGCAGTTGGAGTTTTAGCAAGTGTTCGAGGTGTGGTAATGTGTGATTGTGGAATCGTAGCTGCCATGTTTAATAAGAGAGTAGCACCTCACGTTGTACTTACAAATTAGGCATTTCTTTTTTATTTGCGGAAAGTTTACAATGAAGGAAGGCAAGATTTTTCACGCAACTTTTCTGCAGATTGTTTTAAAACTTGTGAAGTATATTGTTGAATACTTAATAGGAAGATGTATTATATTTTGTAACTGATGATTGTGTTAGGCGTATCATCTCGGTACAAATAATATCCAATGAAGAAATGTGTTGATAAAACTTAAGATGGTTACAAGATCAAAATACATGAGCTCAGTAATTACCTTTAAGTCCATCACAACTCATCACAACCACTTATGTTAAATGCCTAGTTTACTGTTAGGTGTTGGCGTGAAATGGAAAAGGGCTTTTATTTAGTGTCTACCTACGCAGCGGACAGCTATTATGAACATATTTATGGACTCCAGTATTACTGTTTTAGGCACACTTTTCAAATCCATACAAATTCACACTGCTGCACTGGTTGTATTAGTGAACTTAGAGTTGCTAGTAGAATTTGAGCAAAGCTCACTTGAAGGTTGGCGGAGTAGGACATGGTTCATTCAGTACAAGGGAGAGAGACCGGTCAGCCTTGGAGCACCTGAGGGCAGCCTATTAGAGATGTATTCATGTGGATGATACAATGCAGGATACATTACTGTTTATGTTGTCTACATGGGTATGCATGTACTTTTGTGTGCATTTAAAAAAACAGATATTTACTAAATAGGGTGAATTTCACTTTTTATTTTTCTAAAAAAAAAAAGAAACCTTAATTACCAGGTGAAAATTATTTGATCACAAGCATGATTACATAATTAAACACAACTAAATGAATAATATTTACAATAAAGTTAAACTAGCAGCCTTGTCTAACTTAGCCTAATTTTATGAATTTTGAAATTGAACGATAAACAGCATATAACTATGGCAGAGAACCCTTGTACACCAGAACTTGAGTTTTCATCAAACTGTAGAACATTAGCGAGGCATCAAACTTGCCCATGTTAAGTGCAAGCTGTCAGTGCATCATGTTAAAACAATGACAGTATTATGCTGTAATACTTACTCTAAAAGTTTTGAAAGCACTAAAGGATGACCTCATTCATGTTGATGATTGTGACATTGATGGCTGTGTGGTGGTGGTGCAGGGTTCTGGCACATAGGCCATAGCCTATGTGGCACATTGTGTGCCACAGCTCCATGACATCTCCCACAGTAAATACAGTTACTTTAATTTTGTTACCTTCCTGTATATTATCTTCTCTACATATGCCCACCTACTAAAAGAGCTCTCGTACAATTCTTAGTGCAAGCAAGCAGCAGCTGGTGTGTGTGCCTGAGAGCCAGATCAGCACTTATAAACAGTTAGCATGTCTGGGAAAGCTTCCCTAAGAGGTCTTCCTAACAGGCAGTGGTGTGGGAGAGGGGGAGGGGGGAGTTGTGTTGCCTATGGGAACAAGGGTGTCAGGCATAGATAGGCAGCTATAATTATATGGATTTGTGATACATGGATCATCAAATACATCATGGTCACAGTGAATACTGTGGTGACTATGTATATATGTACTGATTTCAGTTAATATTTAGATAGGAGACCTGAATATATAGCATTTAATTATAATTGTGGTTGATATGGTTGACAGACAGTAGATTGGTGAGTACAGAAGAGGGTACGATACTGGATGCTTTGGATAGTAAATGTACATGGTAATTAAATATTGGAAGAGGAACATAACAGGACATTGATATGGAGTTAGAAATTGTAATCTTTAACATATCCAAATTTTGAACATGGACTAATTATTTCATTTGCAAATTATTTCATACTAATAATTTTTGCTTTGAGTTTGCATAAATTAAGCCTCACACAAGTTTAATAAATATTTGTTTCTCATGCAAATGTCCTTGAGTTCCATTAAAACTCACTAGGAAGATTGTAAGGCTTGATTAGTATTTTGGTTTAGGATCTTGATAATGTAGCCTTATTTAAGGCTCAAATATGGTTATCAAAATTGTCACTGCACATGTACAGAAAGTCTTTTTTTTTAAATGGTGATATGTATTCAAAAGAATGGAAAGTGCACAAAAATATATCGACCTTAATTTTGGCCCGGGCAGTGTCAACATTCCTTTTTGGCACTCAACACCATTACTCTGTGATGGAAGTCAGGACAAAGTAAGGAATCTGTAGACGAAAATAAAGAATACTAAACTGAATATTCTGTATGCAGTGAAGATCTTTGTTGGCCTAGACAAGTGGTAGGCTGATATAGTGGAGAATTAAGAGCTGCATTGTATCTGACTAAATTATCTTGTGGCCTCTGTGATTGCTTGGAGATACCATTGAGCTTTTGGAACTGTAAAGACAACATTGGTATCTAAACATTGAAACAAAACATATCATCCAATTTTTTTTTTATTCTGTACTGTTGAATAGTCCAATATTCCCATTTTGAGGGTTAACACATTATCTTGATCCTCAGGCTGGATTTATTGTACTTCCCTGTCAATACTATACAACCTTTTATTTATTTTTTATTTAAGAGTCCATTTTTCTGTAAAAAAATGTACATTTTGTCAGATTTTTGTATAATTAATGTCACAATGCATTGGGGATTCTTAGGCATAATGGCTTAAGATTTACTGTTTATAATTATGTATACTACACTATGAGGAATGATGGTGAATTTTCCAAAGGCCAAACTAATACATATTGCATTGCTGTTTGAGTGATAGTGTTGAATGGGAGCTAGAGTTCTCGGTATTTTATATTCTCTGGTGTAGGTAAAGTTACGTTGTCGAAAATCAATTACAAAATTTATTTTAAAAGATCATGGTAAATTTGGTTACATATTGGTGAAGTTCATGAAGTTTTCACTTATCAGAATACTGTACGTACAAGTGGTTAATGGTATATTAACAAGCATTATTTTTATTATTATATGTGTACACGTATACACAAATGTACCCTCATATGTACACCCACTCACTTGTACACACACACAAGCACACAAGACCTGGGCTGTGAGGACAAGCTCAAGGAATGTACCTACAAACACTAGGGAAGAAGATCCAGGCAAGTAAAGACTTACTGTACAAGATACTGTACTGGGAAACGAAGTGTGTAAAATAAGACTGTTCCTGAGGAGAATTAGGACCAGGATGCAGTTGGAAACTGGAAACAAATCAGAGATGTGAAAATGTACTCCCTTCAATGTATACAATGAATGAACTGAGGGAAGCAGTCGAGGATAATTCTTTCCTTGTCTTTAAAAGTAGATATACTGTAATCTTCAGTAGTGGATAGTAGGTTGTGGCAGATTTCCAAGTACTGTACTGTAATGACATTGGCCCCATCATGATCCTCTTCACCAATATGCACATTCAGTATGGAAAGAACACTGGTCCACACATCCTCAACACCAAACGTATCATGCCAAATACTTCACACACAAACATGTTCTTTAAAGATTTTAGTTTTTGACTCTTGTTAATTGTAAAGTGTATTGTTGTACATACAGCATTACAAGACTAAGGCCTTCAACATGTTAGTGTCTTGTTACTCAACAAATTCAAGTTATAAAACAGTTTAAAAATAATGACTCGTGTAAACATAAATTAATAATTATTTGATTGCTTAAGTAGTAATTTGCATTAAAGTGTTCAAACAATGTCCTTGATACATTTGTAGTGTCTAAACAATGCCCTGGATTTTCAGTGTCCAAACAATGCCCGATACAATCGTAGTAGCCAAACAATGGCTTGGATACATTTGTAGTGTCCAAACAATGTCCTGGAAACATTTGTGGTGTCTAAACAATGTCCTGGATACAATCATAGTGTCCAAACAATGGCTTAGATATAATTGTAGTGTTCAACCAATGTCCTGGATGCAATCAGTGTCCAAACAATGTCCTGGGTATTTTGGCAGTGTCCAAACAATGTCCTGGATATATTGGTAGTGTCCAAACAATGGCTTGGATACATCGGTGGTGTTAAAACTATATCCTGGATACATTTGTATTGTTGAAACAATGGCTTGGATACAGTCGCTGTATCCTAGGCATTCCTTGGACACTGGTAGTCTTGAATATCACCAAGTGTTTGTGTACATTCCACTCGGGTACAAACTGCTGAATGAGGCTGACGATACCATCTATGAGCTGGATTTTGACTGGGGGTCAGAGTAGAGAGAGATGTGTTGAATCTTTAGGCTGTAGTGAACTCTCCTGCCATTCTGTACCCTCTCATTTTAGTGCTTTTCCACCACTGGGGCTGATCCTATGTGCAGATGAAATACTAAAACATGATTATAATGGCTATGGTGTAAAGTTTAATAATGCAAGGCAGCTAATGGAATAAAGAAAAATGATAAGGAATTATAATTAAAAATACAGTATTCAAAATGGAAAAGCAATATTAATGCTTGCTATTTTTTGTTGTTGTTGTTAACTGAACTTTGAAATGTGTATTATTAAGGAAGATATTACCACAGACTTTAAAAGGTAAAGTTTTTGCTAAAATTATTTTTGAAGTATTCCATTACATAATAGTTTTAAGTGCTCGTAGAATAATGGTTCAGACCAGTAATTTTCTGCAAATTCCTCACGCCATCTCTTAGATGTGTTTGAAAAATACATTGTCAACGTAGTAAAGGAGCTGGTTAAGTAGCAGCTCTATCAACATGTTATACAAGAGTGTGTGTAACATGCAGAGCGATTTGTTATGAGGGCACTTGAAGGGCAGCCGTAATCTAGTCTTGTGTTGTCTTTACTAAGCATTCTTCAAAGAGGGTCAAAACTGGCATGATGTTATTTTTTTGTTTTCTTCACAAAAACAACTGTCTTACAGTGTAAAGAGACACTTAATTTATGTTCCCTGCGACTGTAAATATTTTATACATATTAAAATTTCCACATTGTTGCCCACTTCTTCTTTTTATTATGATAACTTTCACGTGTTGTTCAGGTAAACAAATGTTAAGCATAATAGTATATTAAGGCATTTTTGAGTGATGAAAGTGGACAATAATATAGTATTCCAAATAAGGATTTAAAAGGTAGTAGGTTCATGTGAGGGAGGTACTTGGTACTTGGACAAACATGGTACTGTCGCATGGTTGCTCGGCTACTAGTTACCCTGCAGGTGTGTAGGGTTCAAAACTTCAGTGCTTGGCCTACTGCATTGGTCATTTATTTATGTTGATTTATGTCCAGTACAAGGTATAATAGATCATGTTATTACAGGTTTTGGTGATTAACTCAAAGCCACTAACACGCACCACATTTTGGACAATCCAGTAGACATTGTCACTAGAGCAAGTGAGAGAGGTGTAGAAAACTTTTATGAGAGCACACACAAAACATTAGCTAATGACTTTTGGTTGTCTTCATCCCATAACAGGTGAAGAGGCAAAAAGCAATAGCTTTAGACTTACTGAGAACAAATGCAGCCGGTGGAATGGTTGCTCAGAAGTTGCACATTTTGCTGGTTATAAAGAGGTGCCGCTGTATGGGAACCTCCAGGTATCCCGATGAACGAGAAGTATCCAGGGATGGAATGGTGGCACTTCCTGAGCATTTGCCACCAAAATTAATTGAAATGAAAATTAAATTGAAATTAATTGAATAGAAATGAAAAAGTGAAGGTGTTTGCATAAAGGAAGATAACATACTTTCAACGATGTAAAGAGAAACCTCACTACATGGGTAAGTACTTAGCAGCAGCCTCACTACAAAGGTAAATGCCAAATAGTAAGCACTTAGCAGCAACCTCGCTACGTAGATAAATACCTAGGAGCACCCTCACTATTATAATGAATTATTTAAAAGAGTGAAACACTTGTATTCACAAAATATCACTCTACCTCCATTTAGAATAAGGAACTCTGCCACCTGCCCGAAACGGTGTGTGTGTGAGTGGCTTTGCATGAATGTGAAAATACCAATCTTGTGTAATCACCAATCCATTGTACCTTGCAAATAAAAATTATTATTATTATAATTAACTAGATAATCCCCAGTAGATCAGTTTGTGGTGTGCTTGCCCAGTCAGTCATTCAGTCTTTACAGTCTCACCATGGTTAGTACATTCGCTTTTATGTCTTGCGCATGTACAACCTGTTCTTCCAGGGTTAATTTCCTCCCCTGTTAATTCAGTGCTATACCCCCTGTTAATTCAGTGCTATACCCCCCTGTTAATTCAGTGCTATACCCCTGTTAATTCAGTGTTATGTCCTTGGTAAAGATATCCATAGAAGTTGATAATAATGGATCACATTGCCTTAATATTTTCCTCACTGCTAACGATACCATGAGGATCAAGAAACAATAAATTGCCAAATAATATTGGCACTACAGGGGTCAAGTTTACAACGGATTCCAAATAAATTTGAATAGTGCTGAAGATTTGTTTTTCAAAAGGTTAATACAACATAGTGTGTATGCAGTACTTATCGTATAGTTAGTTTCAAATAGTTCCTTACTCGCGTTAACGAGTGTGATCGTCTAGGATATCCAAGCATGATGCTCATGGCTTCATTCTGTACTATATCTTGTCTTTGTTTAGGAGAAAAGTTAAGACAATGTAAGGTATGATAATCAACTACAGATCATATGAAGGCAATGTGAGATGAACGAGCATCTCGTGTTGGCATTGTCGTTCAAGAAGGTTGTAGCGAAGGTTGCTGATGTGATCAAATCCACAAGGGCCGTGACGAGGATTCGAACCTGCGTCCGGGAGCATCCCAGACACTGCCTTAATCGACTGAGATACTATAGGGTTAAAAGGGTTGAAACTGAAGTTCTACTGAACTTCTCTATGTTGCTGATGTGGTTTGTATAAGCGGTTCCGCGATAAGATTCGTCAGTCTCCAACAGTCAGACAATATGTTTGTCTTAAACGAAGCACAGATAAAATTATAAAAATGATGAATTATGAAAGGCTTGTATTCTTAAAGAGGAGGTTTATTACGATGTATAGATATCCCAAAGCTATCTAATCAGTTACCCAAAACCTCCATAAGTTGTGTCAGAAGAAATATAACATATTTGCTTACTATGATGGTGGTGGTGAATGTGGCACGCGTGGAACTTCACTTGACCAGAAAATATGTACAAAATAAGACCAAATACTTACAAACAATAGCAACATTACAGGTGGTGACAGTGATAAAGGTGCACATGGCAAGTATTGTAGACTCATGGTCATCGCCCACCACTAACCTTGGTATTATTTCATTATAAAATGAGTTTATTTTAAAGTAGATTTGTTTTTCCACTCCTTATATTCAACACCAACATTATAGTAGGCGAATATGTTATTTGTCTTGTGTAATTTAAGGAGGCTTTGGGTAACTGGACCTATTAATATAATGATTAATATTGATATAATTATTATAATGCAGTCCCCGTGGTGTAAGGATAAGACACTCGCCTGGCAAGAACACTCGAAAAAAGGACCAATTTAATACCACTTGAGGGCAGCAGTAATTTAACTCTTAACACAATTTAATAGACCTAAAATAAGGTGAAATTTACACAAGCTATCCCATGTATCACCTTACTATGTTGTTGTTGATTTAGGGGCGACGACGATCGTGGGATCGGATGCGCCCCGGCGTACCCGTTAAGGGTGAATCGCGATGCCAGGAAAGGTGGAACGCCAAGCCAAATCGCAAAACGAGTGACGCCAATCACTAGAAACTAATAAGCCATACGGCAAATAAACGCACAATCAGACAGATGATTGGGGAGCCCCAGGAGCCCCTCAGGGTGATAAGCACCGGCCCCGCTCCACACAGAGAACACCAGGTAGCAAAACCAAAACTCTGCCCCAACTAAAACGCAAAAAGTCATCCAGCGTCCTCCGACAGAGCAGAAGCCAGCCGCCCACCACGGCTGAGGGCACACCAGGAGCCCCAGGGCACATCCGATCCCACGATCGTCGTCGCCCCTAAATCAACACAACAACACCAGGAGCCCACCAGGACCCACCAACCCCCGGCACCTCGCGGCCAAGCCGGCCCCCGAACACCGTCATCCCACCGGGAGAACCAGCCAGTACACGTCAAAATAAAATCTATCAACAATCCCGTGACCCAAGGCGATATGTGCGCCAGGCGTCGGACAATCGGACCGCTGAAAAGGGAATGCCAAACGGCAGTAGCAAAGCCAAAACGCGAAAACAAGACGTGATCAGGCGGCACCCAGGCGGAGGAGGTGACCAGACGTCCACTCGGCGTTAAGGTTGAACCAGTCCTATTACCTTACTACTGTGCAGGATCCTATCAAGTCGGCACGCATCTTGATGTTACTACTACTCTGGTTAGTTTAAGTTACGAGTCCCCGTGACGCAGTGGTAACACACTCGCCCCTCACTTCGAGATAGATTTGGCCTGGGTTCGTATCCTGGTCGAGGAGGATTGACTAGGCGCCACTCCTTAACTGTTCGCCTATGTTCACCCAGCAGTGAATGGGTACCTGGTTTTAAATGATTGGCAGGTCGTGTTCCAGGGGAAACTAGTGGGTAAGGCTTACCATGAGCTATGTGAAGGGAAAGCTCTCAGCCTGCTCACAGGAGGCAGAAGTCATCTGCTCTTTTACCCACCTGTGTTAAAAACAACAAAGTACTTCTTGTCTGCACCATCTGCTGATATACGCTGCACTATTTGAAAACTTTGTCAATGTGTTTATAGTGATCAAACCCAAGAATTCACTGACAGTTATCACAAATGTTCACGAAATGTCCATGTACGTGTGACGAGTATATTATGCAAACAGTATACTCGCTCCATACTCTCATTAGCTTAATGAGATAAATCTACTTAATCTACTAATAACGAAACTCATACCTCTTCACTAGTTACAATTAATACTTCAATTAAATGATAACAGAAAGAAATACTCAGGTCTGTCAGGGAAAAGACAGAAAACGGAAAAACAAAAAACGGACACTGCCCAGACTGTTACACCAGTAACTACAATAGAACTAATCAACATCAACGAACTGGAACATGCATACATTCAACCAATTGAAGAATTTGAAGGGGCTTACCCTGCAATGGCCTCTTCCTCCCACCTTCGTTTGCCCACTTCCAAGGAAACCCCACCACAAGAAAACTTCTGGCTATAGAGTGCAACAGGATCTTCGCCGGGATAAGCCGCATCAAGTTCCCGGGCCGCAGAATCGTGCATGTCAACACGCTAGAAAGCTTTGTGGACATCACCCTCCTGAAGAAAAAGTACCTCGACCCAATATTTACCGAACAAATCAACTTCCCTGACTAGGAAGATAACCAGGAGTGAACTCCGATACCCAAGCTGTAGTTAGGACTATTCTACAGAACGTTCTCTTAGAACACCCAAATTCACCATCACCATAGGAAAGACGCCTCCTCCAAGCCAGACAGAAGACCTCATCTGAACCAGACCAACACCTCACCGCCTCAACACTAGCCTCCTGCAGCCTAAGGAGAACTCAAGCTACAAGCTTCGACCGAAAAAAACATCTCCAATCCGCGGTGGAAAGGCCACCGAACTTTCAAGCCACCTCTCTCCACATCCAGATCCTCTTCCAAGAATTTCACCGCCCCATCCTTCTTCCTCTCGCATCCTTTGCAAGCTTTGGACATCAAAGCTTTCAAATGTCGCCTTCTAAGGGTGATATTTAATGGAGTGAACCAAAATAAGAAGTTACAGCAATGATAGGCTGGTACATTGTGTGTTAATAGCAGGTATGGACTCGTAGTGTGTGTGTTAATAGCAAGTTATGATGGGCTCGTAGTGTGTGTGTTAATAGCAAGTTATGATGGGCTCGTAGTGTGTGTTAATAGCAGGTTATGATGGGCTCGTAGTGTGTGTTAATAGCAGGTTATGATGGGCTCGTAGTGTGTGTTAATAGCAGGTTATGATGGGCTCGTAGTGTGTGT